GCCCAGAGTGGCTGTCCAAGACAACAGGGATCTTTTTTGCGGCACCAGCTCCAGTCCAGCATAGAAGAGGGGATCGTATCAGGGCCTCCCTCCATGGATTGGCTTTAGATCTAGCGTATCCATCCCTAGCACTACTCCACCTCTGCCTCCATAATGCTCTGTTTTGGAGCCTTATGCCAGCTACAGCTGGTAGGAATACCGTGAGCAGTATTGCTTCTGCTGTACTTTTCATTGCTGCAGAAGGCAAATTTATATATATTTATAGATATATAAATAAAATTTATAAAATCAATTGGTTGTTTATATTCTTTTAAATACTGCATGCAGAGTCCTTTTAAAAACGAATTAGCTACATAATGTATTAATTATAGAAGATAAGGCTGATGTAATGCAGTCACCTGATATGTTTACTCTTGAGTGCAGGATCTATTACCATATAAAGAATAACAGCAATTTTGCTTTCCACTATTTCATTAGTCTTCATTCAAAGTTAATCATTCAGGAAAATGACAACTAGTGTTTCTTCTTCAAATGGATTAAGAAAAGGTCTGGTGCATTCAGGGCAGTTCTTGACTATACTGTAGAGTCTACATGGAAAAACACATGTTCACTGTGCAATCCCAGATAAAACCGCCAGAAATTCTTAAAATTTCTTAAGTGCCCTTCAAAAAAAATGAGAAAGCAATTTGTAAGCCTCAGAAGAACCTTTAACGTTTATTGGAATGTGGCTGCTATTTTATACTTTATGCTTTTGTGTTTTTTATTTTTGTCTATTTTATATGCTTGACTTGCCCACTCTTCTTGGGAATTCCTGAGGACTTACATGGCTCCTCAAGATTAAGTCTAATTTTCTGCTTAGCACTATTTCTCTAAGATTTATTTATCTTGCATTTGCAGTGGACATGATTTGAGGATGGGCATGCTCAGGAAAGTCAGCTGTATCACAGCCGATAAAGCTGCTTATTTCTTTATATTTCATATAAAGTGATTACGAGTTTTACTACTACTATTACATTTGAAAGTGAACACGTTTATGCAAAGAACAGCTCTGTCTACTATTCCTTACCAACCACCAAATATTTGTGAATAAGCAGTACTGAGTTCTTCCAAATAACTCAGTTTATTTGGGCTTTGAAGTAGGATTTGGACTGAATATCATTCTTACTAGCTTACCAACATTTGAAAATCTTAATTCTTTCTTCAGTTCAGTATGTGGCAGTGGGCTAAATATAGCCCACAGATAATAGAATCTATTTCAGTTAGATATGCCTGGACTAACAACTTAATTAAACCTTAACTGCCTGGAAAGAGTTTAAAACATTGTCTAGTGGCATTAAAGGAAAATAGTCATATGGCCATTAAGTCCAGAAGACATACACCCCAAGACAAAACACTTTTGTCAGCCTTCTTCTAGTCAATAACCAGAATTTGGTGTGCTACAGAAAAAGATAGAAAAGAGACAGCCACTTCAGTAAACCTAAGCAGCTGTAGATATTTTGCAGGTAACTTGCATGAAACATTCAGCAATAAACACAAAAGGTGTATTGTTTGTGTCTAACTTATACATATAAGAAGCATGTAGTTTTAATTAAGATCAATGGGACCTCTGAATGTAACAGCACACTGCATTGCCTAACAAGCCTCATACTCAGAAGTAAGTCCCATTGTCTGCAATGATTCTTCCTTCCAGGTGTTTATTAGGATTCCAGCTTTAAGGAAGTTTAATGAAATGAAAAGGTTTCCTGCTTAATAGCCAGCGCATCTTATTGGAAATAAAGCTGCCCAAGTTTGCCTCACTCGCCTCTGTAATCCTAGCACTTCATATATTTTAAACCATCTGTTCTTATGGGTGAAATATCTGAATCACTGTTACTGCTGTTTCTCATGCATGCTCAAATTGGCTCATGGCAGTATCTGATAAATTCTACACATCATTTCAGGTTGCTGTAAATAATAGCTGTGAATAATGGTAGTTAAGGGCATTGTGTTACTCAAATAAGATTTTTCTGATCTTGGACAAAAGCAGTTATGCTGAAGTTAATTTAATATGTTTGTTAATTTTTTTCAGAGTGTTTTTATTAGGTTTTCAGACATATAAAGTTACAAAAAAGAAACACAGCAGAAGTATTACAAGGAAATTAAAATTGTCACAGCCTAGGGAACAATTTAATCACTTTTTTCAGGTTTTAGACAAGGGGGGAAGCAACCCTGTTGTTTTTAACCAAGCATTTTCTACTGCTAAGAGCACTTGCAAGCATAATTCAATACTTTCAAAAGAGGATGGTTAAAATAGTTTCACAAGAGGATTTAAAAAAACAACCGTATAAGGCAAATGATCACCTATGTGCTTGTCAGTCAAAAGTCAGCACATGCTTTAAATCAAAGTTGTACATTTCCAAATTGAGTCAATTAATGATAGTGTACATTCACTATTTTTGCACCACAATAAAACAACATAGTGGTAATCTAAAGATGCTGTGTTTCCAGAAAGATGATGAACTTGGGAGCGGATTGCATGATCCAACCATTAAAGTAATGGATTGTGCCTTAAGGTGATGGTAAAGAGTTGCTACATAGTAGGAGGGCACTGCTTAATCATTCATAGATGGGCAACTTGATTTGTGTGGTTTCCATCTGTGTGTCTCTGGCAAAGTGGCAAAGAACAAAACAGGAACTTCAGAGTATCTGGACGGCCAGCACCTCTGTGTTTGCATCTACTGCACCAAGGAATGAGTCCCATCATTAGTTCTTATAGATTAGGGTGAAGAATCTGTGGCCCTCCAGTAGTTGTAGGACTGCAGTTCCCTTCAATCTTGACCATTGGTCCTGTTGGCTAGAGCTGATGGAAAATATAATCCTTCTCATATCAGTACTAAGTTACTGTATCCTATTAATTATGATACCATTCGTTCAGGTTCTCAGTGTGAGGGGAAAAACAACAACGAAACTTGTATCTGATGAAGTTTACTCTAGTCCACAAATGCTTATGTCATATTGTTTAGTCATTAAGGTGCCGCGAGACTCTCTGTTATGTTTGCTACAAAAGGCTAACATGCCACCATCTGAAAACAGTAAGGAAAGGATAATTCAGCCTTGTGACCTTACACTATGAATGTATAATGGAAAAGGTAGCTGTGGTTTAAATATTTTTATGGCTGGTTTCATCTACAAGTAATGAGTCACTGTTGCACAGTTCTGTCACTCAAATAATTTGAAATATTTAGAACATATGATTTCAAGTTTTGGGATGGGGACATCAGTAGTTTACTTCTTATCATGATTCCATCATGTTCCTCTGTTTTCCCCCAATGAGATGCATGTAGAGGTGACACAAAAATAAGCTTAGGATAGGAACGTCATGATTTAGAATGGGTGCGCATACTTGAGGCTTATAGGAACTACTTTGTTATTTACTAGAATGCCCAAATCCGCCAGGTACAAACTTAGAATTAAAGAATACCTTGGTTTGTTTAGCAGTTGCCGCCAAATGCTTGCTTGCTAGATATGATTGGACTAGTTATAAGATGATCTGCAGAACAAGTTGAGGGAGCAGAGCAGCCACCAAGAGTGGAAGCCCTAGGCATTGTAATCTCCTGCACATATTATATGGTTCGATACATATGAGTATGTGCATTTTTACTGTAAATATATGAGAGAGTGTCTTCTCCCATTATAGCCTGCCCATTCATTTCAATCAGACAGTGAAGCTATCATGGTAGGCCCTGCTTTGAATGAGGTGTGTAGTATGTAGTTTGTAGTATGGGGACCAAGGCAAAGTTTTTTTCTGTGGTAACTGCACAGCTGTAGAATGATCCAAGGTGCCACTTGCCTCTACAGTGGTACCTCGGTTTAAGTACTTAATTCGTTCTGGAGGACCGTTCTTAACCTGAAACTGTTCTTAACCTGAAGCACCACTAATGGGGCCTCCTGCTGCTGCTGCGCTGCCGGAGCCCGATTTCTGTTCTTATCCTGAAGCAAAGTTCTTAACCAGAAGCACTATTTCTGGGTTAGCAGAGTGTGTAACCTGAAGCGTATGTAACCCGAGGTACCACTGTACAATATATTTGTTTTGTCAGCAGGTGAGAACTTGCCTCTTTTGTCAGGCTGTTAGAGGTAGAGAGGTATGATGGGTAAAGTAAATTCTAAATATGACTATATATCCTTAAGTAGTTATTTTTGTTGTGTTTTGTTGTTCACTGTGGCAAATTTGGTGAAGGGCAGTACAAATTCTTTAATAAATAAAAGTTAAAATTAAGTATCTGTCTTTAAAGATTTGTTTTTAGGACCGTGTATGGAAAGTGCTCCTTTTGCCTTGTTACTATGATATTCCTATTAAGAATTTGAACTTCACATGCAAGTCTTAACTTGGAGCCCTTCCTGAATTGCACTGGTATGAATGTTTTACCAGTAAGATGCAGAGTAGAAAGAAGCATGTAAATTGTACATATTTTCTTGAAAGTACCATAAATGCATTCCATTCCTAGAGGGATTTTGGTTCAACTTAAGTATCTAAGAAACGCAGCCAAATTAAAATATATCTCAGATATACTGAAATCTAATGTCAAAAGAGCCATTTTTGTCAACTCTAAAAGTGTATTAAGGCCCCATACATATAAAGAAGACCACAATTAGATTTTGGTTCATTCAGCATTTTGTATAAATCACTGTAATTTAAAGTGTTAATAGCCAAGATATCAATGTTTATAAATCCCCTGGAGTGCAACAAATGCAATTTGTAATTACAAGCATACAGCAATTTGTACTACATGTCATCTAAATCAGCAGTAATTGTTACCCTGGCTAAGAATAATTCCAAAGTTAATCACATGGAATACACTGGAATTCAGCGCACCCCTAAAAGTGTGAAATATATATTTAAACAGATCTTGAATTCGTTTGTAAAAGGATAGGAGGCCATTAAAAAGACAAACATAATAGAAAGAGGCCGGATTATCCCTAAGAATTAAATTTACTATCTTAAAAAAAAAAAAAAGTGGTCACACTTGATTAATAAATTACATGAGAAACATAAAAACACATTGTGTTGGATAGCATTTCATTTTTATTTCTATAACTACATCCAAACTTCACTGTTGCGGGTAGATACATCCCCTAAGCAGAGTTCTCTGCCTAGGAAATGCTATGATTATGTAAGGAGGCATGGGGCATCTCTATTGGAAAAGCTACAGGTGGGGGGGGGGAGCAAGATGCTGAAGATTTGAACAGCCATGTAAGTGGCACAGCTGTGAGACATCTTATGCTTCTTCCCTCTTCCAGTTTCTCCCTTATCATGGGGGGAGGGGGAGAGAGAGTACAAGTGTGGCAGCTCACTCCTATAGGAGGCAGCGATGGCCTTTGACTTGGATGACTCTGAAAAAGGATGTGCCAAATTCATGGAGGATAAGCTATGGCTACTAGCTATGATAGCTTTTCTATTGCCTCAGTGGTTGGAGGCAGTAACACTTCCAACTACCCGTTGTTGGAAACCACAGTGTGCTCTGTGCTCAGGTCCTGCTTGTGGGTTTCCGAGGGGCATATTTTTTGGCCACTGTGATAACAGAATGCTAGACACGTCTTATAAGGGCCTTTGCAACAGTCATCTCCTGCTTACAGAATACTCTCCCCAGTGAGTCCCACCTTGTGCCTACCTGAATATACTTAAAGTGCCAGGCGAAGACTTGTTTTCCCATGTATTTAAAATTTAATTAGATTTATTTTTAAAAAATATTCTCTCCTCTCTTTGATCTGGTTTTTATCTTAAGTTTTTTAAAATGCCTCACTTCATTTTGCTGTATTTTTATTGTGCTGCTTTTACCAAATTTTTATTTTGTGAGCTTCTTTTTGTTTTAGGGCAGCTTATAAATCAGGGTCGGGGGAACTTTTTTGGCAGCTAGCCATGTTTGACATGTGGACAGAGCCTCCCACCTGTCAGTCACCTGATATTAATATGGTGTCAGGTGATGCTGGGCTTTGAAGCTCCAGTTGTTGGAACTTCAAAGTGCAGCAGAAAGATGAGAGGAAGGGAAAGTCCGGTTGTGTGAGTCGAACTGTGTGTAGCACACACAGTGTTGGCTACAACCCTATGTAATTTTGCCTAATACATACTGTACATACTGTACACATTTTTGCAAGCAATTTTCCCAGGTATTTTCTTCATGTTATTTTGCATTTTAATGTACACAGTACAAACCAAAATGTTTGGATTAAAAAACAACAACATAAAATTTATATACTCCTTGATTAGGTGAGCCCTAAAAGCAGTTTTTGCCTCCCCACTCCAGCTGAGAGGCAGGCAGTGGCTATTTGACCACATGGAGCTGCTGAACAACTGGAGGGTATCTCTAATAGGGATACCTTATGGGGAACAAGGACTGAGAAACTATGTAGAAAATCCCTTAAATATTAATAGGCACAAAAAATGACTTCAAGGCTGTAACTTTCTGGTGTTCAGTTCTGGAGACCACACTTTCAAAAGGATATGCACAAAGTAGAACAGGATTGAGAAAGAGGGCAGCAAAGGTGGTCAGCAGCAAGGAAAGCAAATCCCATGAGGGAAATTTGAAGGAACTGAGTATGTTTCGCCTGGAGAAGAGTGAGAGAAGACATGACAGCTCTCTTCACATAACCCTGAAAGGCTGTCATGGGCTTAAACTACAGAAGGTTAGGCTTTGGTTGAAGATCAGAAGACGCTTCTTGTCGGCAAGAACAGTTCGACAATAGAACCAATTATCTAGAGGCGGATAGAATCTCCCTCGCCAAAGGTCTTTATGTGAAGGCTGGGCAGCCATTTATTAGGAATGCTCTACCTGGGGGTGGGGGGTCTTATATCCTATCATTCTGTGAAATCCATGGAATTTAGCAGCACTTGACTATCAGGATTGTGCCCTGCAATAGAATAGCAAACAAGCACATAAAATTCCATGAAACAATAGTTTATTTTTAAACAAGTAGGAAAAAGGGTTGTTGTGGTGTCTTAATATAAGGCTGTGTGTTGAGTCTAATCAGTGACACAACAATTTGAAGCGGTACAAGACATCTCATGCTTAGATTTTATGTACAAAAATTCAGTTTGGTTTTTTTTCCTGGTTGTATGGGGCCTGTGGATGAGATATATAATCTCCTGTCTTTCTTCATTAAAAAAAAGGTTAATCTGCATATATATGTGTAATTTATTTTTAAGGTCAGAGAGCGATAAAAACAATAAGCTGTGTTTGCCACATACGATATGGATTTGCCTCAGAAAATTCTTAGGATTGAAATCCCATAAAATCCCCACCCATGAATATTCACATCAATGGATTATAAATGTTATGGAGAGATTTATCGCATCAAGAGACAGAATGTGTTGAAAAGGACTACACATGACTAAAAAGAAAACCCGACGCCTTTTGACTCTGCTATTACATAAATAGCTATCTGCAAACCTAGTCTGAATGAATCTGATCTAGTTTTCTCATAGATATTTAAATATAGATGAGGATAAATTTACACTTGGGATATTTGGAGGATTTTTCTATTTATACCATGTGTTGTGTTTTAGTAGCAAGCAGCTCATTAAATTCCAGCAAAGCACATGTTTAAATCTCTCCTTGAAATGAGGGCTCTTGCTTCTGTTAGGCAGAACCACCATCAACACTAAATAGTCAAGATAACAGGATAAAAACATGGGCATGGTTGATTTAGGCCACAGTCCTATGATCTGTGGCAGGACAATCCAGGGGTCAAAGGATGTTCAGCTCTCCCTCTCCAAGCAAGGCTAGAGTAGAAGGTTTGCATGGTCAGCTCCTGTTGTTGTTGTTTAGTTGTTCAGTCGTGTCCAACTCTTCGTGACCCCACGGACCAGAGCACGCCAGGCACTCCTGTCTTCCACTGCCTCCCGCAGTTTGGTCAAACTTATGCTGGTAGCTTTGAGAACACTGTCCAACCATCTCATCCTCTGCCGTCCCCTTCTCCTTGTGCCCTCAATCTTTCCCAACATCAGAGTTTTTTCCAGGGAGTCTTCTCTTCTCATGAGGTGGCCAAAGTATTCGAACCTCAGCTTCAGGATCTGTCCTTCCAGTGAGCATTTCCTTAAGAATGGATAGGTTTGATCTTCCTGCAGTCCATGGGACTCTCAAGAGTCTCCTCCAGCACCATAATTCAAAAGCATCAATTATTGGACCTGCCAAGGCCCAAATGCCAGCAGGCACCTGCACCAGGTATAGGGGGTGCTAGCGGCTCCATCCCCCTCAATATTTTGAATCAGGGGGCCCAGTTCCCCCCAATATTGAGGGGGCCAACATCCACCGCCACTGCCAGGCACCCTCCGAGCGTCTCATCCCCCACCCAGGAGCAGGTTCGGACGAGCAAGGGCGAAGATCGCCCTCCGCGCATCTTACCCCCTTGCACAAGCCGCAGGGAGGACGGTATGTCACACTGGGCGGGACACATCACGTGATGCACCCTCCCCCAATGCGAGGGGCAAGTTGGCACCCTTGCCGGTTGGGGACCTACTGACTAGAGTCATCTAGGCCCGTTCCTCCTCTTCAGTATTGGATCCTGCTACTTCACCTTCCTCTCACTCTGGCCCAGGGATGAGAAAGCAAACAAGAATGGTGGTGGTGAGGAGGAGGAACTACCATTGGCTGCTTGTTAGTTGGCTTTGTTTGATGACAATGATGAGCCAGAGACGGAGCTGTAGGTGGCAACAGTGGCAGTGAAGGGGTAGATTCATTGAGGAAGTGGAAGAGCACTGAGGATGTTTTGCCCAAGTGCCCTCCGAAACCTTGAACCAACATTGTTTTCCAGCGTGGAAAGAGTAGTCCGTCCCCAGAGAGAGATCCAGCCTCATAAAACCACCTCCTCCCGACACCGGAGAGATCTCCACAGCCCTTGGATTAGCAAGCTTAGGGGCAGATCAGGGGAAGGTATGGATCTCATTCCTCTGACGCTATCTGAAATGGTGTTGTTGTGCATATGTATTCTGTCTCCTATTGGAAACCACCACCACTGAAAACAGAGCTGTAGCTACAGGGGGGATGGGGAGCCAGTTTTTTGCCCCAGGTGAAGCCTCCAGAGGGGTGCCATTGAGGCTCCCAACCTGTGTATGTGTATGTACACGTACATGTACGTGGGTGGGTGTGCCAAACTGGGTCTTTAAAGGAGGCGGGAGGAAAAGCAGCATTTCATCCTCCCTTCCAACCACATTCCTGACAGGGCTCTAGATACGGCATGTTGTCCATCTTTGGTTCTCCGTCACCCCCTTTGGATTGCTGTGTTTTAAACCATTTTTACTTTAAACAGCAGCCCCAAGTCGCATCCCACGCTAAGCAGCAAACTTATGGGGATCTACTTTGATCCTCAGGGTTTTGTTTTGTTTTGTTTGCCTCACAATGACTAAAAGTGCATATTCTTACTCGTCATGGTAGTAACATTTGGATACAGCAAAAACTCTTGGGAAAAATTACTCTACTGTGGGTAGTGTTTTTTTACCGTGTACATAAAATCTAGCAATGCCGTGAATAATTATTTGGAACTTCTACAGGGTTATTTTTAGTGCTACTATTCTAGCCAAATCATAATTTTAAAGCCACGTGCCTGGAACAAATGTGTGGAGGTTGAGAGCAATTTTTGTTACAAGTCTTGGTGCAATAGCTGACACAGATGAATTTATTTTTGTGAGCAACTTTTTCCTCTCAATGTTTTTTTTTTTAAAGTGGGCAGGGGGACTCAGGTTTGTTTCCTTACTTTTATGCACGAGGAACACTTAGTAAAAGTAGGTTTGAATAGATAAAGTGGTGTCATTGCACAAAAATAACGGAGTAGATTTTTTGAAGTTTGTAGTCTGAAGCTCATTTACTCTGTTTTCAAAAAAAAGCTCAAAGGAGTTCAAAAGAATGCTGTGTGCATTGATTTTTTAAAGCAGTGAAAAGCAAAAAATGTAAAGAAGTATTTAATCTGCCTAAGTTTAAAGGGGAAATGTCAAAAGACTGAAGAGAAGGTATAAATATGTCACCTTACCTTATACTGTAAGTTTTTAGTTTTTGATATACAGCAATGTACAGGGTCGTATACTTTGAGTAAGCCTCATTGAGAAGCTGAACAGAAGTGCTGTTCTGATTCACATAAACAATTATTTCAATGTGGTGGCAAAAGCAACATGAAAAAAAAGAAGTTTCCATGTGGTGCATGTGTGGGTGTACTTTGATTCAAAAATCACATCTTTACTGTCTTGCCATAACCCCCACACGTTAAAGTTTTACTGGCTTAAAAACAAAACCATCTCAAAGCTGAGAGATGGGCACAGTCCAAAGGTACAAGGCCTTACACACCCCAATGTTCATTTCGTAGTCATTCATCTCTGTGCAAGCAGCTCTTAAACTGCTCCAGCTGCAGGCGCTTGGGAGTTGTTAGCTTGCCGTTTATAATAAAGAGTTCCGCAGTCCTTTTATCTTAAGATTTTAGTTTTAATTAACTCTAGGAGCAATTACGTCCGAAAGACGCCCTTCCCAAAGATAAGAAGAAGGCATGCATCGCTTATATTGCAAAGCATGCCAGCTGAAGTAAAACCGGGGAAATCAAAATGGGGCGGGGGCACAGAGAGAGAGGAGGAAAGAATGAGGGTCTCCGAAAGCAGCTCCAGGCGCTTTCCAAGCCAACGCAAACATTTGTTGCTACCCAAGCCAAGTGTGTGCCTGCCTGGGGGAGCAGCAGCTTCCAGTGACAGCGAAGCTGCTGAATAGCAATGAAGCCTGCCTTTCCCAGTCTGAATGCAGCTATTAATAGCGCTGCCAGAGCCCCCGCTCTTTCCGTCACGTGAAGAGAAGCGGGGAGTCAAGCGGGCGAGCGGGAGGCGGCTGCTCCTGCCTTCTCCTCCTCCTTGTCACATTCCTGCAGTGCCAAAAGGACAAGGAGAGCGGGACACACACACACACACCCCTTCCTGTGGCGGTCCCTACCGCCCCCCTCTTCCACCCGCGCCCCGTCCTGGAAACCAGCCTCGGCTTAATAAGATCAATGTTACCCCTCCCAGCTCTGGCATTTGTATTCCCAGCTCGCGCTTCTAGCGGAATGGATGTGTAAGCGTGTGTGAGTGGAGGGGCGGGAGCGCGCGAGCGAGAGCCTCCCAGTGTGTGCGCGCGCCGGAGCTTGTGAGAGGGTGGACCTCGCGAGTGCCCGCGCCTTTCCCGGACCCCCTCCTGAGCTGCTCCCTCCTCTCGCCCACGGAGACGAGTTGGGGGCGCTCCTCGGTGCCGTGGCCCCAGCCCCAGTTGCCTCTCTCGGCTGCCTCAGCGCGGGCCCGGAGGTGTTAGGGGAGCCCCCGGGGAAGGATATGCTGGCAGCTCGGGGGCCCCTCCTTGTGACTTCTCTCTCCAGCCATGTGGTGCTTGCATTGTAACTCGGAGAGGACTCAGTCACTGCTGGAGCTGGAGCTTGACAGCTGGTAAGCCATTACCCTCTATTGGAAGCAGCAGCGTGGGTTTCCTAAAGCAAAAAGAGTCGAGCTTGGAGGGGAAGGAATTTTTTTTTCTCTCTCTCTCTCTCCCATTTTCTTTTTGGTTGCTTTGTGTTTCAGTTCCAGCCTCGGAACAGCTTTGTTTAAAATTAGTTCCGAACACTGGTTTAGTGTGTTGGTGGAAGGGAGAGAGGACCGAGCGTGTGTTTAAGCAAGCAGGCGAGCAAAACGATCGGCTGCTGCACATACATACAATACTAATCCCGTGACACAAAGGGTTTTATAGTGCTCAATCTCGCGTACTTTTTCTTCCTTTTCCTTCCACTGTGAAAGCTAAATCATTTTCTACAGAATTTTATTCTAGCTAGTATCCTAAATGCCAATGTAGAAATGACAGCTGTTGGTCACATAAATATGCATTCAGCTTTACTTACAAAAACTGAATGCATATTTAAAAATGCCACAGTGTGTACCTTCCTGATTTTTTTCTGCACCATTGTATGCACGCAAAGGGTTCAGTTTGCATATTGCAGGATGTAATAAACCCTGTTGCAAAGTTTTAAATGTTTTGCAAATGTGTCTTGATTACAGCCAACTGTAGCTTTGTTTCCAGTGTATGTTGTCATTTTAGGAGCCTTTATATTCCATAGCTCATTTATTTGACTTTCAAAAACAAAAAAAAATCTTACTGCAATGCCATCTGTCCTTCACAGAATTCAAATTAACATCTTATTCATTTGAATATGGAATTTAAAGTTGTTTAACTCCTTAACCACACAGCTCTTACTTACAATATGAAACTGGCAGCAGAATCTTTTAAAAGACATTACTTGTTCCACATATTTGCAGCATCTCAATGCCTCCTCCATTTTTTCCTCACACAATACCTTTCTTACGCATTTTCATTATTCATTTAACAAAAACCCAGGCATTATGAAGATAAATGTCTGTCTTTGCACCAATAATTGCAGTTCTAAACACACTTTAAAAATGTATTTTCTACTGTTAGAGCTTGCCTTTCTTCAAGAAGCTGAAGGTGGTATACATTGCTTTCCCCTTTACCTTTGCAACAACCCTGTGAGGTAGATTAGACCAAGATAGTGACTGGCCCAAAATTGCCCCATGACTTTTGGGGCTCAATGGGGATGAAAACCTGAGTCTCTCCAGCCCCAGTCTGACTCTATAACCACTACACCACTGAAATCAGTGGGGCTTGCTTCTGAGCAAACATGGGCATGATTATTTTGTGCTGCTCTATATTTTGTCACATTCATGGGATGTTAAAGAGAACATAAATCAGTGACTTCAGCTATACATTGAGTTACAAATGTTGAGGGCCATTGGCTTCAGCTGAATTAAGCCTATGTTCAGAGTTGAAAATCACTACAGAGTTGAAAATGCTCAGCCGCTCTCACAGGGCCATTCATCTCCCACAAGAGGGGTGCATTTTTGGAAATATTCCAGGTGAGTGTTGAAAGAAATTATATGTTTCTGGGAGTGGTCTTTATCTATCATGGTAATATGGCAAGGGGTTGCTATCTTTGTTTTCCTGGAAATGTTTGTGATGGTTACAATCGGGAGCAGCAGCCTGTTGGTGTTCCTTAGTGAGAATGTGCCAATGAGCATGACACTACTTCACAGTGATATGGTATGATGGTTTAAGATAGCTTATACCTCCTTGATTACATGCTTTTGTGAGAGAGGTGAGGACAAGAATAGGACACTAAATAGTGACAGATCACTGGAGGTTGTGTGGATTCTACCACACCTTCATGTGAGTCCGAAACCATGTTCTCAAAAACACACACTTGAGTGGCATAGTTATTGTGAGTTTGGTGATTGTTTTGAAGCTGTTCTAGGTAGCATGTATGCATCTTCCAGCACACGGAACACTGTACGATTATGTTCTGTTTAACCAATGTAGTATATAGTGGGTGATTTACAAATATCAGTAAAATACAATTCATAAAAAACCCACATTGACATAAAATCCACTTAATAATGCAACATTCAACCAGTTTCAGAGCATGTGAAGGTGTCAGGTGTGCCAACTCTAGGAGACCGAAGGCACCTCAGCCCCCTCAATAGTTGTTTTAAGGGGGCTGGGCCATCTTAATGTTGAGGTGACCATGCACTCGTTGTGTGCATGTGATGTCATGCGCCATCTGGTCCAGTGGCCGGCTCCTCCAGAGTGCTTGACCGCCTCCATTGCAATGTGTAACGCATGTGACACCACACACATGCTGTGCCCCCTCAATCTTGGGAGCAACCTGGTGCATGTGAAAGGTGTTAACAGGCTTGGTAAAAACAAGGTTTCAACTGGTACCAAAAATACCAGTTGAAGTAACTACTACACAAGAGCATTCCATAACCATGGTGCCACTGTTGGGAAGGCCGCGCCTCTTATGGCAAGGGCATCCAGATAAAGCTCATCCCTCCAGAGCTGGTTGCCTGCATTTACTGATCGGAAAAGATTCATAAGATGAGTTATTTCATGACTTATTTTGTTAAAAATTATTTTACTATTAATTTAAGAGGAGAAAGATTTAGGGAGCTTGCCTTGGGGAGTATGCTAAGAGTCTTGGGTGAATATTTCTTCTTGGCAGAACTGCCCTCTTCTACCAGATCATTTTTGTAATTGACATATTTTATGTTCCTTTCAGGAAGACCTGATTATATGTGGTGCTTGAAACAAAATGAATCATGAAGGATTTAGTTTATTGTCATTTGTTTTCAGGGAATCTTCTTCACTCAGAATAAGTTTTATTGCATCAAATGATTGAATTTTACAGAATTTAAACACAGTTGAGAAAAAGTATGTGTAGTCTAGGCATCTCCTTTTTGTATAGTACTTAAAATTATGTATCTATTTTTATGCCGCTTTTCCATAGTTCAAACTACTCTCAAGGCAGCTTATAGCATTAAAAAATGCATACAGTGGTACCTCTGGTTATGAACTTAATTTGTTCTGGAGATCCGTTCTTAACCTGAAATCGTTCTTAACCTGAGGTACCACTTTAGCTAATGGGGCCTGCTGCCGCCGCTCGATTTCTGTTCTCATCCTGAGGTAAAGTTCTTATTTTTTTATTTCTTAAATTTTTTATTGATACAGCAAGAAAAAACAAAAAAACACAAATGCCGAATTACACACAGGAATAACCATAGACACATAATTTTCTTAACAAACAATAAAACATATATTGGTCTTAACACTAAAGACCCAACCTGAGGTAAAGTTCTTAACCCAAGGTACTACTTCCGGGTTAGCAGAGTCTGTGACCCGAAGTGTTTGTAACCCGAGGTACCACTGTAATTACAAACATAACAAAAGTAGTCATAAACAGTAAATAAAACATCAAAAGTACACAACCAAATTAAACAATTTCCACATAATAAGATTTAAAATAAAGATCCAGAAATTAATATTGATATTAGTAACAACAACCCCCTCCTCCCCAAAACCGCTAAACAATATTCCCGCTCAAGGGTCTGTTCAACAGCTTCAATTTTTGTAACTGGAGTCAGTCAGAGTCCCACCCTCCCAGGCCAGGTAGGAAAAGGCCTGCAAGGCAGGGAGCAGGTCTTCCAGGACTCACAGCCAAGATAGCAGCTAGTAAGAGTAAGCTTGTGGTTTAAATAATATCCAGAATGTAACAGGTGATCACTTCATCACCATCAGATGATAACAAAGCAGTTGTCATGTTTATCTCAGAATACTCTTGATTAAGACCAGGAGCGGCAGGCACTTGAGGAAGAGGATGTTGAATGGGAGTAGAGTCCAGTTGACAGAGCCTGTAGCCCCCGCCTCTGAACATATCTGGCTGTGCTGTTGTAGGAGTTCCAGAGGCTTCCTCTTCACTGCTCATAGAAGAGAAAGGTCTGTCAGAAACTATGGACAAGGAGGGCTCCAGGGCAAGATCTGAAGTGACAGAGGATTGGGAGGTGGAGACAGCTCTGCAGTTGTCTTCTATGGAGAGGTGGCTCATCAAGAAAAACATGGAGACGTGCCTCTAGGCCAGTGGATCTCAAACTTTTTTCTCTGGGCCACATTTTCAGAACAAAAAATTGCTCACCAATATCTTTTCATCTTGTTTGGGGCCATATTGGAACTGGAAAGCTTCTCACCACAGATCAAACGCATAGCCTGACAGATGTTTTCATCTCCAGTCCATGTGAAACAAACTCAGATATCTATCCACATATTGTTGACAAACTTTCTTTTTTGGAGGTTTGCCTGGGCTTGCTACTGGTGTCGAATTAAACGAGTCTTCTCCAGGACGTTCGGACAGCAATTCCGAATTACTACTAGGATTGCCCTCAGTATCACTTGGTGCGCTTGCTCTCATATTGAAAAGATATCTAGCCACAGTCTTCAAATAAAAAAAGTACTTTATGTAATATGCATGTGTCAGGGAACTGCCATCGGAAGGAAGGGAGGTGAAAGGGCTCACACAGGTTGGGAGAGACTCAGCAGCTGAAGAGGGAACCAGTAGGGGGAGAGGAGCTGAGCTGAGGGAAAGTGAGCTGGAGGGATGGCTCAGAGACACTTCCAGCGAAAACAGTGGGGAGGTTTCAGGACCTCCTGTAGGAACACCCACTCCTCGCCGGAAACTGTCACGCAGAGAGTCCAGAAGACGTGTTTCCGTTAAGGAGCTTTTATGTTGGAAGCGATTCCGAAAGCAACCACTGTCGGAATCTGCTAGTGACTAGAGGAGCCATGTCTGAAGGGCTCCGTCACAGACAGAGGTTTGTGGACTTGAACAAACTCTGAGGGGATACTATTTTACGCACAAGCAGCTCATCATCCCATCACAGCATTCCGACAGTCTTTGAAAGCAGCTTGTGCAGGAGAAGGCATCATGAGCAACCCAGCCGGAACCGGAGAAGCAGGAGCTGGAGCGGGTCCAAGCCTGGAAGAAAGGTACCGGGTGTTGGAGGTCCAGCTAGCGCTGCAGACGGCGAGGCTTGAGGAGAGGAGGGCTCAGGATGCAGACAAAAGGGGGAAAGCCACCCAGCTCGCCAGAAAGGTACCAGGATTGGTGCAGAAGTTTGGGGGGGAGCCCAAAGACTATCATGGCTTTCGGACAGAGATGCAATATGCCCTCAATCTGCAGTTTGATGAATTCCTGACGAGGAATCACGAGTGGCTTTCGTGATTGGGCATCTTGAAAAGGGGGCGAAAGACTGGGTTAGACCCCTGATGGCAGCGAATAGTGACGTCCTAAAGGACACGATGAAGTTCTTTCGCGCCATGGATCTGATGTTTTCCAGCGATATTGAACAGGGAGTGGTGCGCAGACAGTTAATGGCTTGCAAACAGGGGAGCCGATCTGTCCGTGAGTACTGGACTGAGTTCACCATGTTGGTTCACAGATTGGGGTGGGACTTATCGGCGGAACCCATTCAAATGCTCTTTGAAGAAGGGCTTTCTTCGGCTGTGAAAGACGAACTTTCCCGGGCGCCCAGGGCAGAGTCTATGGACCAGCTGACCAAATCAGCGCTGACCATAGGAGCGCGCCAGGAGGCGAGAGCATTGGAGAGGCGGGAAGGGAAGGGGGAACGTTGGAAGGAGTTCCGCATTCCAGACATTCCAGAGCCAACTTTCCCGCCGGCAGAGCCGATGGAAATCGGAACAGCGCGCGCGCGCAGTTTCAAAGCCCAGTGAGGGGGGAAAGAAGGAGGGAAAACGCGTCCGGAAATGCTATCTCTGCCAACAGCCAGGTCACTTTGCCAGAGTCTGCCCCCAGAGGAAGGAATGGCAAGGGATGGTAGGAGCTGTGGAGGGAAGAGAGGAAGAAATACCGGAGCAAGTAAAAGCCAACGCCTGGCTGCCACCGTCGGGGCACAGCAGCCAGGCCAAAGAGCAGTGAGAGTGCCCACGCCAGAACCTCCTAAACCCGCCCTAGTGATAGAAGTGGCGCTAGAGCTGCCAAACGGACACCCTCTAAAGATAAAGGCGCTGTTGGACTCAGGCAGCTCCTGCAATTTCATGAGCAAAGAGTTTGCAGCTGAACACCAGATACAGACGATCCCTTTAAGCAACCCCTGCAGGTGACCACGATCGATGGCAGGGAGCTGTTGGGAGGAGAAGTCAGCTTGCAGACCGTCCCAATGATAATGAAGGTGGCAAGGCACACCGAACTGATAGCGTTTAATGTGGCCACCTTGGGAGGAGCTCCCATTATATTGGGGATGAGCTGGCTAGCGTTACATGATCCGCTGGTGGGCTGGCATCAGAGAGTGGTTTCTTTTGGTTCAGCACATTGCTTAGAACACTGCAAAGAGGGAAAGGGTTTGGCAGGGGCCCAAGCCACCCTAGCAGGGACTGAAGTAACGGAGAACGTGAAGGTACCACGACAATACGCAGATCTCCGCGACGTCTTCAGCGAAAGGGAAGCTGACCAACTACCCCCGCATAGACCCTTTGACTGTCAAATCAATTTACTCCCTGGGGCACAGCTCCCTGTAGGCAAGCTGTACGCCATGTCAGACAGAGAGATGCAGGAGCTAAGAGAGTTCATTGACAAGAACCTGAAGAGAGGGTTCATCAGAGAGTCCAGGGCGGTGGGGGCAGCCCAGTGTTTTTGTGGATAAAAACACGAACAAGCCGAGGCTGGTGTGTGACTTCAGGGCCTTAAATGCAGTGTCAGAACCAGTGGCCTTCCCTATGCCCAGGATTGACGACATTTTGACAAGGGTGCGGAAGGGAAAGATTTTCACAAAGCTGGACCTAAGGGGGGCGTACAACCTGGTACGAATAAGGAAGGGGGATGAATGGAAAACCACCATGTTCACCCCTTTAGGGGCATTTGAATATTTGGTTATGCCCTTCGCCTACAAGCAGGCTCCGCATGCTTTCAATCGTTTATGAACCACGTCCTCGGGCCTTTGCTTTACAAGAATTGTGTGGCCTTTTTAGACGACGTGTTGGTGTATTCTGAGAATGAGGAGCAGCATGTGAGAGACGTCAGAGAAGTGTTGAGCAGGCTGCAAGCCAACCAGCTGTGGGTGAAACTGGAGAAGTGTCAGTTTCATACCAAGGAGGTGGAATTCCTGGGGTATCGCCTGTCAGACAAGGGATTGGCCATGGATCCCGGCAAGGTCCAGGCGGTGCTGGAATGGAAAACACCCAAAACAAGGAAGGATGTGCAGAGGTTCCTAGGATTTGGGAACTTCTATCGTAAGTTCATCCGAAACTTTGCCCACCTGACGGCGCCCATTACGGACTGTCTCAGCAGTAAGAAGAAGTTCGTTTGGACTGAGGAGGCGGAGCGAGCATTTGAGGAACTAAAAAGGGCTTTCGCCTTGGAACAACAACTCCTGCATGTGGATTTACAAAAACCGATGAGAGTGGAAACTGACGCATCAGACAGAGCGATTGGGGCAGTGCTTCTGCAGCCAGGGAAGGAGGAGTCAGAGTGGAGACCGTGTGCTTTTTTTTTCGCGAAAGCTGAACAAATCCGAGAGGAACTACACGGTGTATGACCGAGAACTACTAGCCATTCATTAGGCGTTCCGGAGATGGAGGCACCTGCTAATTGGCGCACAACATAAGGTGCAAGTGTGCACTGACCACAAGAACCTAGAGTATTGGAGGACGGCACGAGTGCTCAACCAACGGCAAGTGAGATGGGCCCAGGAGTTCTCCAAATTTAACTTCGAGATTGGTTACGTGCCAGGCCCAGAGAACATTAGGGCGGACGCTCTCTCACGCAAACCTGAATATTTGGAGGGGGAGGGCGCACCCGAAGAGAGACATGTCATTCCAGAGGACCGCTGGGTGTGTGGGGCGGCATTGGTGGGACAAAGAGAACTGGTAGAGGAAACAGAGAATGATGAATACGCCCAGAATAAGCTCAGAGGTCTTAGGGGTGAGGGAGAGGAACCAGGGGTTTCGAGGAAAGAAATGGAGCTTTGTATTACAAAGGGGCACTGTATATCCCTGAAGGAGACTTAAGGGGAGGGTACTCAAGCAGTTGCACGACAGCCCTACGGCGGGGCATTTTGGACAACACAAAACCATGTGGTTGGTCACCAGGGAATTTTGGTGGCCTAAGGTGAGGGAAGATGTACGTGAGTATGTAAGAGGGTGCGAGCAATGCCAGCGAGCCAAAGGGGAAAGGCGGGCGCCGGCGGGGCTATTAGAACCCTTACCAACCCCAGAACGACCTTGGGAGGCAGTGTCGATAGATTTTATGACTGATCTGCCGAAGTCCAAAGGGAAAACAGCCATCATGGTGGTGGTAGACCTACTAACAAAGATGTGCCACTTTGTAGCTTGCTCGCATGCAGTCACGGCGGAAGAGACAGCGAAGTTATTTGTAGAACACATTTTTAGGTTGCACGGGGTGCCATTGAGGGTGGTCTCAGACCGAGGAAAACAATTTACTTCCAGGTTCTGGAGGAAGCTCATGAGCTTACTGCAGGTGGAGGTCAATTTTTCGACTGCCCGGCACCCTGAAACCAACGGGCAGGCGGAAAGAGCAAACGGGGTCCTCCAGCAATACCTGAGGTGTTATGTCAATGACAGAGAGAATGACTGGGTAGAAAAGTTGGCGCTGGCGGAATTTGCCTACAACAATGCCGAGAATGTGTCCACAGGGATGAGCCCCTTCTTGGCTAATTATGGGTGTCATCCCAGGGCTTTCCCAGGTGGAGATGGGGAGAGATGGAGCGTCCCGGCAGCCGAGCATTTTGTGGAAGAAATGGAAGCAATCCATCGTCAGCTCCAACTCAACTTAGAAAGGGCGAAGGAAGAATACAAGAGGCAGGCAGACAAGAACCGAAGGGAAGGTGAAACCATAAGGGTGGGAGATAGGGTGTGGCTGTCAACCCAAGGGCTGCCGTTCAAAGGAGGTTGTAAGAAATTAAGACCCAGGAGGTTGGGTCCCTTTGAGGTCATTCAACAGGTCAACCCAGTGGCTTTCAGGCTCCGGTTACCCAACCACATGAAACTGCACCCAGTATTTCACAGGTCGTTACTGTCACCGTACGAAGGGGGACGAGAAGGGATGGCCACTCGGGGACCGGTCATAGAAGAAAGAGAATGCAGCAGCCATGTGGCAGAAATCCTCGACGCCAGGTGGAAGGGGGATCAGGTGGAGTATTTGGTAGCGTGGGAAGGAGAACCGGAGTCAGAAAACACTTGGGTAATGGCCGAAGATATCAATGACGAGGTATTGATAGAAACGTTCCATCAAAGGTTCCCAAGGAAACCTCAGCCTGTGGAGAGGTTCCGGAGGGAATACTTTGGGACCACTGATGAGGAGGAGGAGTTGGAAGGATTCCCGGACTCGGAAGGGGAAGGGGAGATGGACTCTGAGGAGGAGGAGTACTTCGAGACCAGGAACCGCAACAGGTAGAGAGAAGTGTTCGAGACATCGGAAGATGAAGGAAGTTCATTCCGCGGTTTTGCCTCCTCACCGCCCGTAGAGGAGGGGGCGAGAGGGGGTGAAAGGGGCCCTGGAGGGGAGGTGGATGTCAGGGAACTGCCATCGGAAGGAAGGGAGGTGAAAGGGCTCACACAGGTTGGGAGAGACTCAGCAGCTGAAGAGGGAACCAGTAGGGGAGAGGAGCTGAGCTGAGGGAAAGTGAGCTGGAGGGATGGCTCAGAGACACTTCCAGCGAAAACAGTGGGGAGGTTTCAGGACCTCCTGTAGGAACACCCACTCCTCGCCGGAAACTGTCACGCAGAGAGTCCAGAAGACGTGTTTCCGTTAAGGAGCTTTTATGTTGGAAGCGATTCCGAAAGCAACCACTGTCGGAATCTGCTAGTGACTAGAGGAGCCATGTCTGAAGGGCTCCGTCACAGACAGAGGTTTGTGGACTTGAACAAACTCTGAGGGGATACTATTTTACGCACAAGCAGCTCATCATCCCATCACAGCATGCATGTAGGATGGAAAAATGCAATATATTGGATGGAAAACAGCCATATATTGCCCTCATTTCTGGCAAACAGTAAGTTATTGACCTGATGATTTAATTTAGGATGTTTAGGTTGGTGCTGTATTATGCAATATCACAAATTCCTTATGGGTTATTGCTAATAGTGTTTTATAGTTGCTATGTCAAATTCCAATAACTTTAAAGCTTATATATAAATATATTTAAAGATGTTTCAGATTTCAACTTTTACTATTTCAAAAGGTTTCACAGTATGGCAGATACCGCAGACTTCCTTCGATACAGTGGTACATGGCACCTGTGTTTTGAAATTGTTCGAATTTGCAGGAATAAAGAGAAGCTAGTAAATTTCATTTCCAGTTACTTAGGCAGGTCATACAGGGCTGTTTCAGAAATAACTATCTTGACTTAGTGATCATTGAGCTTGTATTTTCTCTTCTCTCTTTGCATTCATGCCAGAATTGGGGTCTTCTAAGTTTATGAAATCATTTCCCTCTACATTCCAACCAGGAAATTGTGTTTTAATCTGGGCGTACTAGCCATAATATAAAATCGGATAAAAACTATGGTGTAATAAATCCTGGAAATTTTTAGTTCCAGTAACAGAGTGAAGGAGGCGGGAGTGCCTGGCCCAACTCTCAGCTTAATAAACTATGGTTTATTTAGTTGAGATTGCTCCATCTGAACCAGTCTCCTAGATGAACTGCTAACGGCACTGGCTATTAGGCTGCTGGAAATGAAGAACCTTTAATAGTTCACTTGCAAATCTCTTAATTCTGTAGTCTCTGAAGCACTATATCCTTCTAACCCAGGGGTTGGCAAGGTTTACATTGGTTTTGTTAGGGGCGACAGACTTCTGTTAGGGGGGTCTGAACCTCAGATTTGTATTTTACTTATTGGGGGGCAGCTGCCCCCTGCCCCCCCCCCCAGCTACACGCATGGGGGGCCCACAGGAAGGAAACAAGATCAGAAGGGGGCCACGGTCAGGAAAAGGTTGGGAAACACTGATCTAGAACAATGTGCAAGATGAATCCTTGTGGTGAAAGATATGTACTCTCAACTTGTTTTTTATGTGAGTTCTTTAAAGAAGCAAAGGCCAGAGCTCAGCTAGTTTAGAAGTGGCCAGATTCCAGAAATTCACACCTGATATAAGGTCTCATAAAAGGGTATATAAAACCACATCTAAACCTTTGGGAAATTTCATGTGCATATTTGGGTCTGCGATTTGTAACTCTGAGTAATCGCTTTAGAGAAGCATTCGGAAGTTGTCCTAAAGGGTGCTGAAGAGTATAGTCTGTAGCTGTAGTTGCCAGGCTGTGATGATCCTGCAAGTTAAGCAGGGTCATGCTAGGTCATTACACATGTACAGGAGTATTCTGAGACAAAGCTGCCAGAAGTAATGCAGTGATTCAGTTAGCAGCACTCTTCCCTTCTGACTTTAAAGTGAGTTGAATTAGGAACGTCTCTGCTTCCTCTTGGAAGGGTCTACCATTCATGTTGTTACTGATCATCTGTTGCTCCTAAAGATTCAAGAGCTTTTCCTGTAAAGGTATGAAATCTTAATCTGGGATCCTGATCAAATGTCAGCTCATGTAATTACTTTTCAGTTCTTTCACTATCTTGTGGTGTTGTGTGATAGCATTAAAGAACTGTAGTACTGCTTATAAACATAGCATATACGTTACCTTTGGTAGTATTGCAAGTTGCAAAAAGTCTTGACTGGGGCAGATTTGCCAGGTTACTAGTTTTGCATTGTGGTTGTGTTGTCCTGGCCTTTTCTCTTAGTTGGGAAACACCATAGTTGTGAAACAGTGTGACATCAGTTTTAGAGGATGTTTTTTTCCAGTTGTAATAGCACTTGACAAGAGAGTGCTTGAGCAATCAGCCATTTGATTTTACATTATACCAAGAGAAAACATTATCTGTGATTTTCAACATGAGCGAAATGCTTCTAGCTGCTAAAAGCTAACCACCGCCTCTTTGTGTTTTCTCCGATAATTGGTCATGGAAACAGTTTCTCTGAATAGGTAAGAACAAGAAAAAAGAAATAAAATACAGTAAGGCACTGTGTGTGCAGATTCCTATTAACTGTGAGGTATCTGTTGGTTAATTCATTTTAAATGGTTAGTTCTGGTACAGTGGTGCCTCGCAAGACGAAATTAATCTGTTCCGCGAGTCTCTTCGTCTTGCGGTTTTTTCGTCTTGCGAAGCATGGCTATTAGCGGCTTAGCGGCTATTAGCGGCTTAGCGGCTATTAACGGCTTAGCGGCTTTAAGAAAAAGGAAACAAACTCGCAAGAACTCGCAAGACATTTCGTCTTGCGAAGCAAGCCCATAGGGAAATTCGTCTTGCGGAACGACTCAAAAAACACAAAACCCTTTCGTCTAGCGAGTTTTTCGTCTTGCGAGGCATTCATCTTGCGGGGCACCACTGTATTTGCTATGGGTATCAAGATTCCTAAAAGCACTGAAACAGATGTTCAAGTGTTTGGTTTTTTGTTGTTTGTTCTGAAGAACACGTAAGCGAACATTCATTTGTGGCTCTTAACTTAATTAGTTTAACTTGTGTGTTTATCGGTGACACTCAGAACGCTTTTGGGTGTTGCATCGCCTGTTTTCTGACCACAAATTGGGGCTGTGATAAAGAAGCAGGTTTGATTCTTAGTGCGTTTCATTGAGTTCTCTGGGATAAAGTAAATTCATAGCAACCTCCTTTTCACTCAGGATGTTTGTTCTGCGGTCAGGAACAAGTTTTGCTCTTTCCAAAGTAGTTTCCCGAATTCATTCCTCTTATTTTAGGGAAGTATGGTATCCATTCAGTTTTATGGGGATAAAGTAAATAGTTTTTCAGGACAATAAGGGAATCCTACACGGGACTGCAGTAGATCTGTATTTACTGTACAGAACATATGAGACTTGCACATACAGCCCACTCGAGGTCCATCAACAACTGCTCCAGCTTAGAACTCATTTCTTTCACAAATGAGCTTGTGGAAACGGCTGGTTTAGTTGATAAAACTTGCTTTACAGTGTTTCATGGTAAAACTGTCCCCGTTCCCTGACTTGTTCATACTGGAATACTAGTGTGCCATACACGATAGGTCAGTTGACCAGTCAAGAAAAAAGAGGGGGAGGGAAATGGATAGTACTCTGATCAAATAATGCCAAATGTTAAAAGGAACAACTTTGGAATAAATCTCAATTAGAACTCAATAAAATGCTTTAAAAATAGTATATCACTGCTACATGTGCCCAGCCAGATTATAGAATTAATCATAAAACTTCCAACCTTTGCTGGTGGGAATGCCATTTACCCGGCTCTCTTGTACACATGTGGTGATTTTATCAAAAAATTATTCCCTTTTAGAAGAAAGTTTTTCAAAATAATAATCTAATAATAATAATGATAATAATAATAATAAATATATATATATATATATATATATTTAATATCCCGCCCTCCCCAGCCAGAACCGGCTTATGATGGTGCAATCACTATAACCAGACCCAAATAGCCTTACTATCATATTTTACTCCTCAGATTAAGAACATAACCAATAAAGACCTCATCCTCCATTTATTAGCCTCAGCTAGATTAGTGCTTTCAGAAAAATGGAGAACTTTAAATGCAAATCTTTTTGAAGCCTGGATTTCTCAAGTATGCTACATCATGCTTATGGACATGCTTATAGACTCACACCTTCTGTACAACATGGCGTTCTTTTATTGGCTTGGTTAAGACAATTGAACACATTTACACCCTCCATTGACTCATGGAACCTTTTAGAGAAACACTTTTATTGGGTTGCCTTTCTTGGAATGTCTAAAACTACAACCATCCATCGCTATTTTTCTTTCTTTTCTGTACTACTACTAAGCGCTGCTTTCCTTGTATGGGTATGTTTTGTTACTTATTTTTTTTTTTTTAAAGTCAAATGGTCAAGTATTTTTTTTCTTTGCAAACATTAACTTTGTTAGAACAACATTTTTATTGTTCAGTGGGGGGGCATTTAGTAGAACAGAAACATTCTTCAATGATCAGTTGGTTTGATGCATATGCTGATTACAAAACAAATTAGTTCAGCTATTGTGAAACTGTGAGCAGCATTCAGTGATGTCTGCCTGTTTGCGCAATGGGAATCTGCATGCGTTGCAGGACTTCCAGTTTCTCTTCTCGCTCCTCCAGCTCCCCTCAAAATCTGCTCCATAGGGCTCCCATGTAGCTATTGTAGGGGGAGAGGAGGAATAACCTCTGTTTCATGAGCAGATATCTGCTTATGCTACATTGGTTCTCACACTATGAAATAAGCTTTTGTTCTTCTAAAACAACAACAACATGGAATTCTTAAATGTAACATTTAACATGATGTAAAGTTTCTGCATATGTGAAATATTCAGAGCTTATTTTTAAGGAAATTTTTAAAAAGAAACAAAATTAAGTAACGGCAGTGGTGAGGAAGCCTAAGTCGGTTCACATGAATTTGTGCAAAAGAGGTAGCAGGCCAGTCTTTCACCAGCTTGAATTCCCTTGTTTTTGCATCTGGCAAGACACAGTCACAGGCAAACCTTCCTAGGCAGCGACCTTTGCCTCTTACCACTGAGTGTATTCCTTTTGGGAAATTCCCACAGAGCTAACAGGCAGCCAGTAAGAGAGCTATGCTGTGCCAGTAGTTGTGCACCTAATTGCTGCGGGCCCAGAGGGCAAGCGGCCTTTGCCCCTGCCTTAATGAAATAAAAAGAGATAAGCTGCCACCTACACATTGCCATTCTTGGCTTCAAATAATAGCTGACAAGCCCGTTGGCAGCTTTCGACCAATATAGCGACCAGCATGTCAAACCCTACTAGTGCACCTTCCTTCTTTTTAAGAAGTGCGTGCAAAGTAAACTGTTGCTTTATTTCTCAAAAAGGACTGAAGAACATGCTGTATGTGAGTGCGTGCAGCCTGGATTACCATTTCTAGGCAAAGTGCTTTTGTGAGAAGGACAGTTGTATGGAGAAGCTGCTAGCAAGTTCTTAACCTTCCCTTTGCCCACTGCTTTCTTCCTGTAACTCCCTTCCCAAGCTGATTTTCTTCCTATCAAATCCATACAATGCACATACAAACACTCAGTCTGAAAGCACGCAGCTTGCATACCCCCCTCAATGGTTCTGTTTTTTTGTGAGAGAGAGCATGGTGGCCATTTTTGGTGCCTCAATTTTTCCACAGAAAAATACACTTGGGGGGGGGGGCTATGATCTTGTGCAGGTCATGTGACTCGCATGGCAATGCAAACCTGGAAGACGCACATCCCGGGTTTATACCTCAACGTGCTGGAGGGTATGAGCTTGAGGTTGGGGAAGTTACAATGAAAAGCAGCACACTGATACATCTAGGAACTCTTCATATTGTATATTGCCTCCTCTCAATATCGCTTCACTTAGCAGTAATATTTGTATATGTATTGATGTGTAACATGGTGTTGAGCCCCAGCTTCCATAGGAGAAAGCAAAACGTTTTACTCCAGGGCACTTATTAGAATGAGGACCTGTGGTATATATTACTTAGGTCTTCTATCACTGCTAAAATGCACTTTTTGCTATTTTACATAAAAATCTGTGGGGGCTTTAAGAAGATAAAATGGGTTTTCTTCCACATGCATGTGATTAACAACCTTCTCTGAATTTATCATTTGCCAGAGAATTAAAAGACCTTAAAAGCAGTCAAAGAAGAATCTAAAGTTTCAGCTAATTGTAAAATATTATAAATTCACGAGTTGGATTGTGTTGAAGTGACAATTTACCCTATTGTTATACAGTGGCTTGTGAATATGAACATACATTTTTAATAGAAAAAAAGTATGTTTTGTCCAACCTTTAAGTTTTTTGAACAGTTTACGTAAAAGTCTGCAGTCTTGTACATATGTATTTGGGAGTAAGTCACATTGAACTTGTTTGGATTGACAGTCATAGGAGCAGGCTGCCTCTGCTGTTTCCACAGAGTTTTACTGAGCTGTATGACTGTTGTTTGAGGCTGCTTGTATGCTATTTGTTTACTGATTTCCTACTCACAGTTCTCTTGGCCTGTGAATACAGGGACACATAGCTTGGTCAAAACATTCCCACTAGCACTGTATCTTATAGGCATTCATTTTAGGCAGCAGAGAAGAAATTACTGTCAGAATGAACCTAGAAGCAGAATTTACTAACTTTATTTCATTTATATCCTGGTATAATTGCATTGTCTGGATGGCATATTTCAACACATGAAACATTAAATGCAGTTTAATTAAAGCTTAAAAATGAATTCTCAAAAGTACCCAATCTGTGTCAACTAGGAAAAGGATGTTGCTGTGAAGAACTGAAAAGGGTCACAGAGCTGAAAGCTTATGCTTAGCTTCCTACAGATCCTAAATACCAGCAAATTGAATGTTCTGTAGACAAGGATGTCATCCAGTGTTGCCTCCCACACTGACTGGCTCAACATAGCAGCTGAGTCCACAGTCAAGTGGAAATACAGTGTTGGCTGGTATGAAGGAAAGGATTATTTCACTGTGGAAAATTCACTCTCAGCTGTGTGTGCAGGTTACCAACTCTTTTTTGACTTCAGAAAAGCCAAATGATTCTCCTTAATTCTCAGAGTACACTTACCACAAAGATATTCAATGCAATGTATTCAGTGCAAATTGCCAGCTTAAATAACTAGAGGTTGTTTTAATAATATCACAGACCGGGTTAGTTGTAGAGCACAAATGAGCTACACATGGCAAAATTATGCCTGAAATAGTTGAAAGTGGCATAGTGACTTAGAGACTGAACTGTGAGTCCCCATTTTCAAATCTCTTCTCTGCTGTGATGTCGTTCTCTCTCAATCACAGTCCTTTCCATCTGCAATAAGTGGGATAATACAGGCTTACATTACAGTGTTGCTATAAGGATTACAACCAGATAATGCATGTGAAATGCTTTGGACACTCGAAGTTGCTATCAAATTATTGTTATTGTTGAGTTAAAACTTAAATTATGGACTTGGAAAGCATGTTTCGGTTTTTAAACCTACGATTTATTTATTTTGTTGATTTGTTTAACATTGTGGATTTAATATTAATGGGAATCATTTCTTGCTTTTAAAACTAAAATTACCTGTGGATTTTCTCCTTGCTCTTCTGTGTTGTGAGGTCAGTGCTTCTAGATAGCTGTGTGTGACAGATGTGATTAATTCAAACACCACACTTGCACTAAAAATACGCTATTTAATTCTGTGGGTGTGATACTTAGCGCATACTTATTTGCTACAAGATACTGTTGACGTAAATGCTACCCCCTCCCCTTCTATTAGGGCTGGGAAGTGTTACCCAGCTTTAGTTGTTGCAGTACAAATAGCAGTTTGGACTGTAAATGCTACAGTTGCATGCTGTGTATGGCAAATGGGGCAGACACATCTTTTAGATAATGGTGTCTCTGTAGCAGGCAAATGGTCCAATAACAGCTTACGGGCTGTTATTAGCTCCTCAACCATTCCACCCATACCCAATCCCTGCTCCACAAAAGGCCGTGCTACAGATGTGCTTGGATGGGCAGGCTTCATATGGTAAGAAATGGCTTGCTGGGTTAAGCCATCACTTCACCACCACTGATGAGTCAGATGCTATGTGAAATTCTAAAGCAGATCATTCTGGAGAAAACTATCCCTTATTTTTCTCCCCAGTATCTGGTCACTAGAGTTGTGCTGTCTTGGTTGACCATTCGCAGAGAATAGCTACTGCAACACCTACACTCTGTGAAACTGTCTAACCCTTTTTTAAATAAGCCATCTAAGCAAGCAACCATTGAAACCACACTCTGCAATTATTCTGAAAGTTAATTGTGCCAGCCACTATATCACAGCAGCTCAAGATTGCTGGTTTCTGAAGTCACCCTTTATAAAACTTTATTCTATTTTTATGTATTTTCAACAATATTATTTATTTAGGGTCTCTGGAGGCACTAGCAACAATTGGACTGATGCAAAGACATGTACGATGCATACATCAAGCAATATCCTGTCTTAAGGCTTATCCACACTTGCCTCCACCTCCCCCCACCCCCACCCCGGCTTTCCAAGCACAGGTCTGCGCTTTAAAGCTGTATTTCCAAGTGCTCACTCTTTTGCCCCAGAGCTTTCCCTTTGAAAACTCATTCTTTAAAGCTGAAGCACAACAAACAACAATTCAGGGTTTCTGTGGATTGTTGTTTGCTCCGATTCAGCTTGAAAGAGTGGGGCTTCACAGGGAAAGCTCCAGTGGGGGAGGGGGGAGCTCTTTGACACAGAATTTTAAAATGTGGACTGTGCCTGGAAAGCACAGAGGCAAGGTAAGTTTTCATTATAAATTCTGTATTTTTGTCGTTTAGTCGTGTCCGACACTATAAATACCTTGATAAAATAAACATTAGATTACTGGCCACTAAGGTTCTTTCTTCCAGACTGTTGCCATGAAATCTCTTTTACTGGCTTCATACTCAATTCCAAAAGTTCTCTTTTGCAGTTTGGTCTTTAAGCTTTAAGCTGTTCTTGCTAGCCACAAAAAGGAAAAGCTATCTTGTAATCCCAAAGTGGTATTCTCCATATGGCTGCTAATAGCTCCAGAAAGGAAAGGGAAACTGCCAAACCCTGATCCTAGGGTTTCAGGACTTTACAGAAAGGAGGTAGCTAGGTGCGCCTCTTGCCTAACCACTAGTTCCTAATTCTACTGAGGATGAAATCATATTTCTTTCTCACTATAGACTCCCTGCTCCATACTGGAGCTCTCCACACTTCACTTCGCTACTGAGCATGTGCATAATTCTTAAAGGAGCATATGCATGTGGGATACACTTCTTCAAGTGCACCTAAGGTTAATGAGGCTTTTTTTTACCCTCTTTTCAGAGATGCCAGGCTCACTGGAATCAAGCCCTGATACAAGTTTTGAGAGCGCATAATACTCACCATTGTAGGAGCCATTGGAATAACTTTCTCAAGCACTACTTTTGCCTTATCTACTGGCATGCCAGCATCTTTGTTAGAGAGGGGGGTGAGATTTCAGATGTCCACCCATCTCTCTTTTCCTGTGCCAGAGCTCTGCTGCTGCCCCACCTTGATATGCATTGTTTAAAAGGTAGAGACAGTAAATGAACAGGATTAGAAAAGCTGGATAGGTAGAAAGAAGATTATGGATGATGGATTGGTGCAAAAAAAAGAAAGTTTTTAAAAGTCTATTTTTGTGAAATAGCTTATGTTCTGAGCCAGTCAGGTGTGACCCAGCAGAAAGTCACTGTTGCTATTCTTTTCTGTTGAACAGCACATCCCTTTGCCATATCATGAACTGCTTTTGAAAATCACCAATTCAAAAGTGATTTGCCATGTGGTATCAGAGGCTGCTATTTAAGAAGCATATGTTTAAAGTCATGCAGAAATAGTTGTGTGTTTCTTTGGATAGTGACCAATATTTTTATCCCTGCATAAGTATCCAAAATACACAATCTTTGGATTATACATTTGTGGCCTTTCTATCTTTATGCCTTTCAGCAATATAAATAATTCTCTCTCTTTTTTGCAATGCTTTTACTGACCTTTGATAGCTATACTAAACATAACCTTTGCAATTTGACAGAAAGATCCCCTACTCCACAAGTTTCTTTTCAAGTACAATGTGTATTCATATAGTACTTCTTTAGTTAATCCTTGGTAACATGGAGGAGAAAATCAATTTGCAGCTGAAGCAAATTTCATAGTATTGGTTAACATACTTTATTATCACTTAACATACTGTCTAGTGAAAGTACAGAGACTGCGTAATTCCTTACTTTATTGCAGGAAAACAAATACTGTAACTATGACATATGATACTTAAAGAAAAATTGAATACCTCTGAGAATTATTACTTATTATTAATCAGAATGTTGTTTTGTAAAGGCCACTAAACACATAAGCCTGACTTGGACAGTTTGGGATAGATGAAGGCAGTTACAAGTTGTTTAACCTTCACTGCCTCACCTGGAATCTGAGGGTAATCTCAACTAAGCTCTTTTTAGATGAGTATTTTTAGTTCTTAAATCTAAGAACCCACACATTTTCATCTAAAAATGAAAAGTTATGAAGAGAGGCGTTTCCACCCCCCAGCCTAATCTCATCTTTACATGCTCCCAGTTATAAACTATATTTTATTCATAGGTGCCTTAAGTTGGATGATTGCTTACTAAAGTCGAAGTCCAGTTGAAAATGTTGCTGTATATATCTGTTTGCTAAAAGTGCTTTGCAGTCCACATGACATTATTCTGAAATTCTGGTCTCTCTTTTTAGGAAGAGATTCATGTGCTTACTGATGGGGGAAATGGGGAATCTCAACTGAGTGCAACCATACGGACATCAGATGTAACATTTACCATAAACTCATCTGGCATCCAATAACCTTCCTTGCTGTTTCATCTCTTAGAAGAGCTGTATCTTGTTGGGATTTGGCTTTAAACAATTCTCGATTAAAACTCTAGCTGATATATGGTCTTACTGTGATGTGGCTTTGATGGTTTCCTTTCTTTGGCTTTGGCACAAACAGCTGATCTTGTGCATTTGTAAGGAAAAGAAGCTGGCCAATGTTTTTCTTGCTGATCTGCCTATGGACTCTGAACTCAGTGCCCTCACAAGCAGATTAATTTACTGATAAAACCGTTGCAGCCTTTGAACAAAATAAGCAAAAACCGTTTTCCTGTTTATTCAACCTCTGTCTGCTAAATCAAGAGTGGGCAACCTTTTTTTTCTGCTGAGGGTGCATAGGAGAAGCCAGAGTCTTTTTGTTACTTTGCCCTCCTTGCCATCCACATTAAATTGGGCCAAGAGGTTGCCCAGTCCACCCTGACATAAACCATGCTTAAGATACTAATGAGAGTATGTCATATCAATGTTGCTTGCAATCTTTTTTTAGCTCATATGGGCAAGATAGACTGGGATCTACCAGTAGATAGCTAGGTATTTTGAAGTATAGTGTCCTCCTCCCTTAATTGTACCGCTGAAATGAAGAAATTGAGCAGGTGCAGTAAACTGGAGTGGAAGGACTGTGAGCTCTGCTTAGTTCTGGCCTGCAAATTCCTGAACTCTGGATTCTTTTGCTCTAAGTGTATGCCTTGCACACCTGATTCTGGCTGGTGGGTAAAAGAGTAGAACCTGCAAGAGTAGATCCTGAAAGCTAGAAGTCTGCCTCTGACAGTCTCTGCCCTCTTTGGTCAAAGAAGTTGGTCAACTAATGTGGAGAACGTATGTATCACAGGTTTCAAGCAAAAGTTCTCCTCTGAGAAAGTTGGAATGCATGAACAGTACTCATGCTTAAGTATTGCAGTGCATGCTTAAGCATCCTCCTGGGCTGTGTTCAGAAAGTGGTGGTGGGGGATGAGTGTTCAGACCCCAGGACCCTCACTTATGGGGTGCCTCAGGGTTCCGTCCTCTCCCCCATGCTTTTTAACATCTATATGAAGCCGCTGGGAGAGATCATCGGGGGGTTTGGACTGGGTGCCCATCAATATGCAGATGATACCCAGCTCTACCTCTCTTTCAAATCAGAACCAGTGAAGGCGGTGAAGGTCCTGTGTGAGTGCCTGGAGGCGGTTGGAGGATGGATGGCGGCTAATGGATTGAAGTTGAATCCTGACAAGACAGAAGTACTGTTTTGGGGGGACAGGGGGCGGGCTGGTGTGGAGGACTCCTTGGTCCTGAATAGGGTAACTGTGCCCCTGAAGGACCAGGTGCGCAGCCTGGGAGTCATTTTGGACTCACAGCTGTCCATGGAGGAGCAGGTCAATTCTGTATCCAGGGCAGCTGTCTACCAACTCCACCTGGTACGCAGGCTGAGACCCTACCTGCCCGCGGACTGTCTCACCAGAGTTGTGCATGCTCTAGTTATCTCCCGCTTGGACTACTGCAATGCACTCTACGTGGGGCTACCTTTGAAGGTGACTCGGAAACTACAACTAATCCAGAATACGGCAGCTAGACTGGTGACTGGGGGCGGCCGCCGAGACCACATAACACCGGTCTTGAAAGACCTACATTGGCTCCCAGTACGTTTCCGAGCACAATTCAAAGTGCTGGTGTTGACCTTTAAAGCCCTAAACGGCCTCGGCCCAGTATACCTGAAGGAGCGTCTCCACCCCCATCGTTCAGCCCAGACACTGAGGTCCAGCGCTGAGGGCCTTCTGGCGGTTCCCTCATTGCGAGAAGCAAAGCTACAGGGAACCAGGCAGAGGGCCTTCTCGGTAGTGGCGCCCACCCTGTGGAACGCCCTCCCATCAGATGTCAAAGCGATAAATAACTACCTGACATTCAGAAGACATCTTAAGGCAGCCCTGTTCAGGGAAGTTTTTAATCTGTGATATTTTAGTGTATTTTTGGTTTCTATGGAAGCCGCCCAGAGTGGCTGGGGAAACCCAGCCAGATGGGTGGGGTACAAATAATAAATTATTATTATTATTGAAAGTAGTCAACTGCATTTAAAAGGAGGTCTTTCCTTCAGCCTGTCAGAAATTTGATAGGTTTGCTTCCTACTTGGTGAAATCTGTTGGGAATGCTGGACAAGAAGACTCATTGAATGATAACTCACATGGTTTACCCAGAGCTCCCATCTCTCATCTGCCTCAGTTCATGGAAAGCACAATTAATACAATTCCATGTGCTCCGTAGGCTGGGTGACTACTGCAGAGTGTCTAGCTTGATGCCTGCATCAAGCTGAGTTAGCGCCAAATCATGAATGGAAATCATATGTTTCATTTATGCTGGTTTCTGTTTGCTTCTGCTGCTCAAGTGTTTCCTCTCCTTCCTCTCCACTTCCCAAGTTCTGCTATTTCAGAAATTTCTAAGTATAACAGCTGCTTCCATGGCTGCCATGCTTTTTGTTTCTAGCCACTTCAAGAGAGCTTCATTTCTGGTCACTGCCACTACAGTAGTTTCCTACAATTGTACCAGCAAGAGGTCTTAAACCTATTATAAAATCATTGTTAGAAGCAGTAGGACATTTTGAGGCGAGTAGAAAGCTGTTCAGAATCATCTAGCATTTGTGTATGTCAGCCTAAAGACTTGGTTCTGGGCATTGTAGCAGTTTTGGGCCATAATCGCAGGGAAATATACCAGAGCAAACATTTGGGATGGGTTTGATTAATCAAGCACAGTCTTTGACCCGGAAGTTTGTTTGAACGGACAGTGACTTTTTTGTTCATAGGTTTATGGTTTCCACACAGTGCATTGTTGCACAATGTGTGCATGATCATACAGAAAAGAACCTTGGCTTCCTTCGTGACATTTCTAGTAAACTTAAATGACCTGATGTTACTCTACATAAGGGGTTTTTACTTTTTAATAAAGCCTTTACCTATGGGGTTACTTTAGGAACCTGATCTTAAAATTCCTAGATCCTTTAAATGCTGAATGCTTTGAAATGCCTATATTAAGGAATATTACAGTGGCTGGAGCACTGAGTCTGAAAAGGATTGTTTATGATGCTCTGAAACTATATTTTCTATATTTTCTATAATAGGCTACATTATGATGGTGGATTGGATAGACTTAAGGAGGAAGAAGACAGTATGGCAGGAGCAATGGTGTTGTTAAAAAAGGATTTACATAGTCAAATGGTCTTTTGCCAAAAACGGAAAGCAGACCACACACTTAGACTTTAATACTTTTCACATTTTGAGAGTAACTGATACTGAGCTTGGTGGTACTTGGTTCATACATAGCACTGGGTTATTAGGCATTTACAGCACTACAAGATTATTCTGAGCAACAGGTTATCTGGATCAGTAGCAAAACAGGGATAAAGAAATTCTACCATGTTTATCTTCTGTGGCCTACATTTATTATAATGCTGCATGTATTATAAATTTGGATCATTGAGACCAGCCCTAAAGCTCATTGCTCCAGCACAGAAGTGTGTATACCCTATCCTACAATTGGCTGCTCTGCTGAGATGCCCAAAAGACTTAGTCATTGCGTTACATTGCAAATATGCAAGCATAAGTGTTTAGCAGGTATTTTGACTTAATATAGCCAATATTTGATAGAAAAATTGTTCATCTGTGTAGAAACCTTAAACATAAAAATAAGGTTTGTGTTATTCTAAGCAAGATCTGTGGGAATCCATAATGCGACATCCATAATAGGAATCCTATTAGAAGAGGTTTGTGCAGAACAACAGAGAAACATATAAAAGCAGATGTTTCAAAACCAGCCTCTTGAGATTTTGACTGGTCCTCAGAGTATTAATCAGAGTTACTAAAACATACAAGCAGACACAAAGATTTTTAACCACTTTTTTCTTCTAGTTTTCTCCTACAATGTTAACGCAACTCTTAATAGCTTGATGAAGGCCTTTACTGATTTCAACTGACTATACAACAGCTGTCTGCAAAGTATGAGAATTCTGGATCAATGATTGAAGGTAGTAATTGAGAAGAGTGCACACACTTCATCTGTCAATTTAAAGGGGAAGAGAGTCTCTGGTGATTTGATGAGCTTCATTAGTTGGCAGACATAACAGACAGTAAATTTGTAATTGATTGTAGATTATTTTGCTGGTTAGGTTAGGTTAGGTTTGCTTAGATTTTCTTTCAAAATATTTTTGTTCTATCATGGGATGACAAAGAACAATGTTTGTTCAAACTCATGGAAATGTTTCCCCCATGCAACAGGATCTTATTGGGGAAAATACAAAATGTTTTAGAGAGCAATCAACTTGGGCACTTAAATGATTCAGTAGGATTTGTGTTTTTTATTTGCACACTACGTGGAGACTACTCCTATTTTTGGCAAGTAAGCCATACTTTTAAAATGATCCAATTCCTATGGGGCAGAATGTGAATACAGTGGTACCTCGGGTTAAGAACTTAATTCATTCTGGAGGTCCGTTCTTAACCTGAAACTATTCTTAACCCGAGGTACCACTTTAGTTAAATGGGGCCTCCTGCTGCTGCCGCCACGCGATTTCTGTTCTCATCCTGAAGCAAAGTTCTTAACCCGAGGTACTATTTCTGGGTTAGCGGAGTCTGTAACCTGAAGTGTCTGTAACCTGAGGTACTACTGTATTGCCATAGACAAAATGGGCAAAGGTTTACCATCTGAATGCATTATTAGACATTTCTGTTTTTAGTATCTTCCAAGGGCTTTGGCACATCTTTCAGCTAGAATACATGTCATTTATTTACACTATGTCTTTTATCAAAATTCTCCAGTGCTGTTTCAGCAGCTGCAGTGGAAGCAGAAGCTTGACTCACTGTAGGTAAAACAGTATAATATGCTAGGAACCATTCTGCTTGACCACACTTGTTCATTTTCACTGTACCTATCCCTCCCATTGATGCTAAAATCTAAAATGATGCATTGGCATGGCAAGCCCATTCCAGTGTTGTGGCTACTGATACACAGCCTTGATACTGATAACAAAACACGTATCAGTTTTCATACATTAGGTTAAAAATGTAATTCTGTCTTTTATTGTTGATAAGCCAACAGGCAAGAGCATGCAAAGAGAATGAGCACCACGTTAGCCCCTTTCTGGTAAACCTGAAATAAATAACCTTTGTAAAAGGCCTTCTCTTTCTTTATGGAAACATTGTGTATGGCTCCTTCACATAAGCCAGGTTACTACTGCTGTTGTTGGCTGCTTTAATATAAACAGGCCCCAGAGTAGGTACAGTCATACCTCGGGTTGAATGTGCTTCGCGTTGAGCACGTTCGAGTTGCACTCCGCGGCAACCCGGAAGTAACGGAGCGCGCTACTTCCGGGTTTCGCCACTCGTGCATGCGCAGACACTCAAAACGATGTCATGCGTGGAAGGGGCAAAACGCGACCCGCGCATGTGCCGTCGTAGCTTACATTGCGTTCAGGATGTGAATGTGGCTCCAGAACGGATCCCGTTCGCATCCTGAGGTACCACTGCTTTAGAATCCACATATTTTGTTCTTGACTCAAGTTCTCATCATTTGCGTGTTCAGATCCAGAGACCTCCCTCCTAAACAAAGACACATTTGACTCAAATTTTAGTTTTGGTTTTTGGCAGAATTTAGGCCACAACTTTATTGATTACAGAAAAGTGAGTGGTTGCATAGGCTCTGGTTCGACTAGCTCCCTACACCCTTGCAGGTAGCGCTGACCCAGAGCTCTATCATAGTCATCCAAGGGTGAAGACCTGAGGAAGGTGAAAAGGCTGGGAGCAGACTCTGTTCACTCCCTAGATGCTCCCCTGGACTGAGGCACGGGCACAACCCCTTTTCAGGGGTGGCCAAACCAAGTTGAGTGCCTGGATTCCTTTAACGAAATATCCTTCACATAGGAATGGCGAGACCTTTCTCCCATCCCTATCACATGAACCAGTGCCCATCCGCAACCTTACAAGTTGTGACGAATTGCTACGCAGCAGGCAAAACCCAAATGGCAACAGCCAGTTGGCCAAGTGGGAAAATTCATGCCGTGTCCTGTCCTAACAACAGACTACACACGACGGCATAGCAAGGTCAATTGCAAAAGGCCCTAAAATTAGGGAGAGGTGGGCGGGTGTTCCGATGCACAAGCAGAAAGATGAAGTTCTGGGTCACGTGCATGGGTTTATATAGGTCCCTCTATCCATTTAGACTGCAACCCCATTGGCCAGATTGAAACCCAGCATCGCGGGTGTTATGTATTGAAGTGCTCACCCTGGCCACCAGGGGTATTGTGTACAGTGGTACCTCTGGATGCGAACGGGCAGGCTGGCTGAGCTGTTCAGTTCAGTTCCAGCTTACTATAAAGAACCACTTGGAGAAATCACTGTGTCATCTACTTTGTCAACCCGCTAATTAATACTGGCGACGAAGGTGGGAGGGAATGGATGGACATCAGAGCACAGCCAGATTCGACACTCACTGAGCTGAAACACTGAGCTGAAACACTGAGCGAAATCACTGAACAGAACCCAATTCAGAGCTAACTGTACTGGCTAGAGCACTGTGTTCCATCCATCGCCCTCCGTCGGCATCGGAACCATGGCTTCACTCGTGCCTCTACTGCCATTCGCCCCAGCCTCTAAATCATGGGACTCATACCTCGCTTGGTTCGCCTGCTTCCTCCAAGCAAACGAGCTGACGGAAGGGTCAGAGGAGCATAAGCGGGGCCCATTCCTCAGCCTCCGTGGGCCCAATTGGGTGTTGTGGCTATCCAGTGGACCCACCCACAACCAAGAGGTCAGTCTCCAGATCTCACTGCAACACGTGCCCTCTTTTAGGGAGGACACGATTCACAATATCTGTAAAGAAAAATAATCCTTTTACCTGACTCCACTATTCTTTCCAACTGCCAGCCTGAAATTTAACTGCTACTTTGTCTTGTGTCAGTTATATGCACCCATATAATCCGTTGTGATGAATTTCATAGGCTCAGCTGTATTACCTACTTTTGGGCCACCCTGTATACACATAGTGTTATTGTCTCTGGTGGCGACCAGCTTAAGTTGCAACCATTTTGTGGTGGATGACCCACCAGTCAAAGACCAGTTGATCCCCCACTTGTAATTATCTGATCACCTGTGATAAGAAATAGTTCCACATAACTGGACACTTCAGAAATTGGACACTTTTTAGAACACAGATGGCTAACAGTAATGTGCTGAGATCTAAATATGTATGGGTTTATAAATTTTCGTCACTTCTGCAGGCCTGTGCACATTTAGTTGGTTTTAAGGCTGATTAGTATGCAGTTTGTATGTTTTATTCCAGTTGTGTATTTGTGTTTTAAAATGGATGTGTATTTATGCTTTTAATAACAACAATTTTATTGTTGTTTTATAAGAAAAGAGGATAATATTAGTTAGTATAAACTGATACATATGACATTTCAAAATGGCTGCTCTCCTTTGCTTCTGAAAAGCGCTTTTGGTTATATTACATTTTTTAACTCAGTAGAAGCCAGAAAGTCAGCTATAGGTTCTCCTGATATGAAGAAAATGAGTTGGAAGTTATGAACACCTTGTTTTACATCTTTACATAGAACCATTTAATCAGCAACAAATATGAAACTATTGTTAGAAGAAATTAATTAAATTTCTTTTATCTCATGTGAAACAGGTGGTTCAACTCTGGTAGCTTAGATACACAGTGTGCATATCCTGAGTCCACAAGCTAAAATACAAGACAGGCTTTATTTTTCATCAGCTGCTGTCTGCATGTTGGTAGTTTTGTTTGATCAGAATAGAGCAGTTATCTTTGTCCTCTCTGGCATTCAGAATTCAACATCCCCCATTAGTTAGATGACCATTGACTGACTTTTTGATGAGGCCAACAGATGACCTTGTTTTGACATGTGTTTCTTCAGTTGATGTGCTACAGTTTAGAGGGGAATAATGGATAGATAATTTGTAAGTCATGTATTCAAATAATGCAGAAGAAAACCTAGGCTTTGATAATGAGGACTTGATTGAGGTTATAAAGCTTCTGCATCCTTTTTTATATTTGATTTTTTAATTAAAATCAAGGTTCCTGATTCAGAGAAAAGGCAATGTTTCAACATACATATTTTCTCTAAAATAGATGTGTATGAGCTTTTGTAAAATAACAACAACAACAACAACAATTTATTTATACCTCGCTCATCTGGCTGGGTTTCCCCAACCACTCTGGGCAGCTCCTAACCGAATGTTAAAAACACAATACAGCATTAAACATTAAACAGGGCTGCCTTCAGATGTCTTTTAAAAGTAAGATAGTTGCTTATTTCCTTGACATGTGCTGGGACGGCATTCCATAGGGCAGACACCACTACTGAGAAGGCCCTCTGCCTGGTTCCCTGTAACCTCACTTCTCACAGTGAGGGAACCGCCAGAAGGCCCTCAGTGCAGGACTTCATGGTCCAGACTGAACGATGTGGGTGGAGACACTCCTTCAGGTATACAGGACAGAGGCTGTTTAGGCCTTTAAAGGTCAGCGCCAATACTTTGAATTGTGCTCAGAAACGTACTGGGAGCCAATGCAGGTCTCTCAGGACCGGTGTTATATGGTCTTTGCAGCCACTCCCAGTCACCAATCTAGCTGCTGCATTCTGCATTAATTACAGTTTCTAAGTCACCTTCAAAGGTAGCCCCACGTAAAATGCATTGCAGTAGTCCAAGCAGGAGATAACTAGAGCATGCACTCTGGCAAGACAGTCTGCGGGCAGGTAAGGTCTCAGCCTGTATACCAGATGGAGCTGGTAGACAGCTGCCCTGGACACAGAATTGACCTGCTCCTCCATGGACAGCTGTGAGTCCAAAATGACTCCCAGACTGCGCACCTGGTCCTTCAGGGGCACAGTTGCCCCATTCAGGACCAGGGAGTCCTCCACACCAGCCTGCCCCCTGTCTCCCAAGAACAGTACTTCTGTCTTGTCAGGATACAACCTCAATCTGTTAGCTGCCATCCATCCTCCAACCACCTCCAGACACTCATACAGGACCTTCACTGCCCTCATTGAAGTATTTCCCCCCAACGATTTCCCCCTGTCTTTCTTATTTGTTGTTACCTCCATAGTAAGAATCACCATAACCAGTGCTGCTTATAAGCAGATAGATTTGTCTTCAGCTTCTCAGATCAGGGCTCATACTTAGCCTATGCATGCAATGCATGAGCCATCTTACTACTGCTGTTGTTTAGCATATCTACGTATGGTGGTATTGTCTCTAGTGGTGACTACCTTAGGCTGCAACCAAGGGGATGACCCACCAGTTAAATACCAGTGAATTAGACAGTTTTTGAAGAATGTGCTACAATTTTTTAAGTCTCTGCAGACTTCTTGTCACTGTCAGCTACAGTTGTAGTTCTGATACAGGCAGCTGTAACACCTTGTTTTCAAAACACTGGAATTGCTGCAGAGGAATAGGATTGTGATTGAAATACTACAGATTCCTTCCTTTACTTACTTCCCGGGACCAAAATACTTCTTTAGAACTCATACAGGCTTTTCCAAAATCTTATTCCAGAAAAGCAGCATGATGAGTTTTCTTAAGGTTCACCTGACATTAGCTTTCTGAACTATAGCTGGCTGGTTTGTTCATTCATCTCTACAGGATTTGGCAGGAATTGCATCCTGGTCTTATGAGTTTGGCATATTACTAAATCCTATCCTCACGTTGAAGCATCTCAGTGCTATTGAACTGTATCTCTTAACAGTGGAAAGATAATGCATATTCTAAGTTTATGAAGTTGCTGGGGAACATCTGGCAGCAGAGTGGAAGTGAAAAGACAATTTCAAATGACAGGAGAAGGCATGCAGTTGTCCCTCTTTCTATACCATAATTGCCTGCCAGCTCCTGTGACTATGCATACATTCTCCTGTGGCTCTTCAGAAGGAGATTCCTTCCCCCCACCACACCCCCCCACCCACACTGATATTCTCACTTATAGAGATAGTTGAAATATGGGTCAGGGTGAACCTACCTTCTTTATTCACGGTCACCTACTTAATATACAGTTCGTATTTCTTCAATTTTAGCATTGCTTATCTGTGAAACTCACCTTCAAACTTTATTTTATTAGCATCACAAAAATATTAGATTCGTTTAATTTCTGCCTGAGGGGAAAAATGAAATTCTGCATACCTATAGTACTATCGGTGTTTTAACAGATTTTACATGGCCATGTAAATATTCTCACTGATTATGGTAATCGTGATAGCTTTACAAGTAGTAATTACTGTGATCTGATCAGACGACCATTGCCTTTACTGTGACAGCTGTGCCAATTCGTTGACTGATTATTATTGTGGGCCTGTATGTTCTGTGCTTATCCTAGTGCCACAAGCATCCTCTTACACTTGCTTGTACTATAGCCACTTCAGAGATGCAATGTGTCACGTCCTGTCAAGCTTCTCTAAAAAAAAATATCAGAATGGGTATGACTGCCCATGTATGCAGCCAAGATTTTCTTTGTAGCACCCTGAATCCCTATATCTCTCTTAAACTTCATAGTATGAGTTTGCAAATAGTAGATACTCCATTAAAAGTGCTGAGCAGAGTTGTTATACCTGTCCATCATGGAGGAAGCACGTGCAAAACACAAATTGTTATCATTTTTTTAAAGTGCTGAGTGAAATCTCAGTCTACCTGATCAAACTGTTCTACCATTGTAAAAATTCACCCCATGTCAAAATCCAGTAGTTTCATTTTAATGCAGCACATATATTTTAAACATTACGCCACATATACAATCTTAATGCCTTGTTTGAGGGAAGATGGGGAGAGAATGGCGGCTTATAGATGCTGAGGAAATGCTGTAGAGGTTTTGCCTTGCCTTGCCTTGCCTTAGATGTATTTTCTGCCCACCCAATCTCAGCTGGGGACCTCAAAATAAGCAGTGTTTTTAACGCAAGACATTTCCTGAAGGATGTTGCACCACAGGGAACTTCCCCTTTATTCTTCAAGGAGACACAGGATGAAAATCAAATTATGAAAACTGGCATTACAAGGATGGAATGTCTTTGTTAATGATAAAAATGTGGTTGTTACAAGAAGATGAAAGTTCCTAGTTTCAAACCAGTATCTATAATCAGTAATAGAAGAAACAACTGTGCTTTTATAATACAGCATTATATGGGTCGAGGAAAATGCAGTTTACGCATATACAAGCATTTTTTCCATTCTAGCCGTGATACTTCTAAGTTTTCACTCTGTGTTTGAAGCTCTGTGTGATAGTTAAGGATAAATCTTGTACAAAATATTGTCAAAATATGCATTGATTAGCTTTTTCTGTTAGTTCTTATTTTAAAAATGTAATACATTCATTTTTGGAAACATTTTGGTATTCTTACTTGCATGGCATTGCACTAGAGCAGGGGTAGCTAAAGTAGTGCCTTCCATATGTTGTTGGATTACAGTTCTCACCATACCTGACCTTTGACCTTGCTGCCTAGGATTAATGGGAGCTGCAGTCCAATGATTTCAGGAATGCAGCACTAGAGAATTATCCAGTTTTTATAGAAACTTGCATCAGTAGGTGTTAAATATGATAATCTATAGAAGGAATAGATGTCAGAACTGCCAGCAGCCTTGAATTGCGGCGCTCAGGAGAGATAGCAGTCCAGGAACTCAGCCATAATTTACACTCTTTATTGCTTCTTGGTGTATTTACAAGCAGTTCAAAAAAGGCGATCCGATCATCATGGAGAGTTGTTCCGTCTGACGTCTTTTTTCTTGGGGTGGGGCCAGCACAACCACCTTCCCAGCCCCCTCCTCCTTCCCCTGTGACGAGAGGCACTAGCTCTCGGAAGTACCCCCTCCCTCTCAGAATCACTCCCCCTCTGATCTCCCTTCTTCTTCTTCCCTTTCCTCTGAAGACAAAAAGCTACTAATCAAAGGAGATTTATCCCGGTAACCTCCCATCCTTTCCTCCCTCGCTGTCTTTAGTTCCCTGACAATAGGTAACCTGTGACCCTCCAAACTTTGTGGGACTCTAGTTTCCATGAGTTCCAACCAGCATGGCCAGTTTTCAGGAATGATGAGAACTGTAGGCTAACAACACCAGGAAGCCTACAAGTTTCCTGCTCCTGATCTGCAGCTTTCCAATACAAATGACAGCAACTGAATTATTATAGATATGCATTGATTGTATATGAAGTTTTACTTGAAACAAGCTACTGGGATCTTAATCTTAATTGCCTTTTCTATTTCTTCTTTTTGTTTAGTGTTGAGGGTGAAGCTCCTGGAAGTGAAACAGGCACATCATTGGATAGTCCCTCTACCTATCATCAAGGAGCTATAACTCACAGTTCAGCTCTAAGCCCAGACCATTACGACCATTCTCCATACGGGCTGTATTCTGTCTCCCCAGGGCAGCAAAGGCCCCGGAGGCCAAAGCTTCAACACTCAACATCCATACTCAGAAAACAAGCAGAGGAAGAAGCTATTAAAAGGTCGAGGTCACTTTCAGAGAGCTATGAACTCTCATCGGACTTGCAGGATAAGCAGGTACTTGAACTGTGCAGTTCTATGAATCAAGCTAAAGTGTCATGGAAAGGTTATTCAGCCATTCCTGGAAAATAACAGGATATTATTTTTTTTGCGAGTCTGTTCCATAATTTGGCATATCTGAATAATATTAATGTTTCCTTCTTCTGTCTTTTTCCACGACTTGCTAAAGAATCAGCTGATATTAATGCTTAGCGAAATGACTTTTCCTTCAAAGAAAATGCCTCCCTGTATTTGTGCTATGAATTTGCATATGTGGCTCATTGCTTAACTTGTGGAGCTGTGCCAATTTTTTTACTAGAGACTGTACCGTTTAAAACCAGAAGGACTTGGTTAGTATATAAACAAACTCTCTGCCTGGCCTCTGTATTAACAAAGTCCCCATGCTTTCAGTCAATCAGTGCTTCTTTTAAGCTTTCTTTTAAGACTATGAACCAGGGTTTTTGCAGTTCTAGGCAAGATTGGCTTAATGATTTTTTTCTGCCCTACCTCTGACTCTAGCAAATCCATATTACCAAGACTACAACTTTACATGGCAAAGCCCACATTAACACACATTTCTGGTATTTCTTTTTCAAGAGGACAGAAGGTTTACTTTTAAAATTAAGAAATGAACAGATGCTCATTAGAAAGCAGGCTACCAGTTAAATTATTTTACTTACCCATAAAGTTGTGAATACTACAATACTTGTCAATTTAGGATCTCATTTGAAGTATTTTCATTTGTATCACATCATTTGTGCTGTTTACACAGTTTAGAATGTTGAAATCCAAGATGAATATTGTAACTAGTAATCAGGACATGCTTAGTATAGGCAGAGGGCCTTCTGGGCAGTGGCACCCTCCCTGTGGAATGCCCTCCCATCAGATGTCAGGGAGATAAAGAATTTCACAACTTTTAAAAAACATCTGAAGACAACCCTGTTCATGGAAGTTTTTAATGTCTAACATTTTATTACTTTTTATATTTTGCTGGAAACCACCCAGAGTGGCTGGGAAAACCCAGCCAGATGGGCAGGGTATAAACAATAAAATTAGTAGTAGTAGCAGTAGTAAGCGAGCATGAAGAATTTATTAAAGATAGAATATTATTATTTTGACAATTCATTAAGGGCCTACAATTTTTGAAGCACTGGATAAAGATAAAATGATTCAAACATGATAATTTCTTCATTCCTCCTTTTGCCCTTATTCATCTCTCTCATCATAAGCTTCCCAGGAGCACTGAGTTCACTGCTGTTGGAGACATACTGTTGAACCAGATTGACCCCTCCTTTATGTTCTTATTTTGAATAAAGGGAATTTCTTTATGGTCTGCCTGCTGTGGCCAGGTGCAGACATAATATTCCCAATTGACTAGATTGTTTGTCCTCTGACCTTTGTGAATACTTCCCCTCTTCCTTGGTTTCACCTTAACCATTACATTTGCATCGGTACTAACTATGGTTCATGCTAATCAGCATTGCCCTCATAATCATGAACTTGAAGTGGGTTTGCACCTAGTTATGAGGGAATCTAGTGAATGTTAATAAATGCAGATAGAACATTGTTGCATAACTAAAGCAAACAGATGCCATGAAGGAGCAGTGGTGCTTACCTGACCTCCTAATAGCTGAGTCGCTGCTGCATACCAGAAGAGAGAGAGGACAGCCAAGTCGCTGCCAGCGTTTTTTCACTACATTGACCTGTCCCATTACACAGTAGTGATTCAGCTGTCAGGAGGGCACGTAAGTGCTGCCACCCCACCATGTCATCCTGTACAAAAGCAAACCATGGAACAACAGCAGCAGCAGCAACAATTTATTTATACCCCGCCCAACTGGCTGGGTTTGCCCAGCCACTCTGGGTGGCTCCCAACAGAATATTAATAACAATAATAATAAAGCGATAAAACATCAAACATTAAGCATTAATAGAAGGTAAATAAGGATTCGTTTAGGGGAGGGGAATACAGATGCCTGCAACATGTTCCTGGTATTCTCACTGTGAATTTGGAAGCAGAATCATTTGAAAGCAAATAAAACATGCCTGTCCAATAGTTTAGTACCGTAAAATGACTTGTGATATTGAGACTATTAACTGATCCTTTTTTTAAAAAAAAAAATGCTTGAGGTGAAAAACCTCAACTTTTTTTTATTAAAAGTAATCACTGCAAGCAGTTCTATAATGTGAACTTCAGCTTAATTCAAATTTTAACATCCTATTTTTTTACTACTTTGCCTCTTTTAAAAATACACCACTGCAGTGTTGAGAATCATTGGCAGTGTATCATATCAACGTAGCCAAGGATTTTCATAATTGCAAATGCACACAAAATTCTTGGTGGAAAGAATATAAAATAGATTAACATGGATCGTAATAACTCTTGTTAAATCTCCTGCGGGTATCTGTGAAGCAGACAAGTTTTCTCCCAATTCATACAAGGAAAGCCTGAGGGAGGAAGTTTAAGTGTGAAATGTCATCAGTAAAATTGTTCATAACTGTTGAAAGGAAAATCTGACAAGGAATTGATTCAATTATACTCCAAAGGCACAGAGAATGCAATTTCTTGCTTTGTTAAAATTTCATGTATGCAGCATATACAGTGGTACTTTGTAAGTCGAACAGAATCCGTTCTGGAAGTCCGTCCGACTTCCAAAACATTCAGAAACTAAGGCGCGGCTAAGGCTGCAGCCAATCGGAAGCCACATTGAACATTCAGGTTCCAAAGAACGTTCGCAAACCGGAACACTCACTTCCAGGTTTGCAACAATCAGGAACCCAAACGCAAGGCGTTCGGGATCCAAGATACGACTGTATTGGAACATAGGAAGCTGCCTTATATGAAGTCATACCACTGGTGCATCTAACTCAGCATTGCCTGCACTGACTGGTAAGCAGCTCTCCAGAGTTTCAGACAACGGACACTTCCAGTCCTGTCTGGGGATGCTAGGAATTGAACCTGGGATTTTTGTGTGCAAAGCAGATCCTGAGCTATGGCCTTTTCCATGGTGTGGCCACTCTAAACATAATTTAAGCTTAGGAAATGCAAGGGTCAGTAACTGGTATCATTAGTTCTATAAAGGAGCAATGCAACGTGACCATAGGAAACTAGGTTAGCTGCAGACCTAAAAAAATACTTCTTCAAGTTCAATTACAAAAACCGTTTGCATTTAATGTGGTTGAGTAAATAACTATTTTTGCCAAATTCTTTTCATAAAGAATACCAGTTGTTCTATTTAATTCTTATCTAACTTCTAACTGCTTGTATCAGCATTTAAAAAAAACCACACACACCTCTTTATTTTATTTATTTTGAGGTTTCTATCCCATACTTCTAGTATCTAAGCACTACTCATGGAAGCATACAATTTAAAATCACAACGCCATGTGCAATTTAAATTGTTGCACTTGTTTTATGTGCAGAGGTAAGTGTCATATCTTTCTGTGTTAATAAAATATACTTGTGAGACAGTTATGAAAAGTATCTTCTTGGTGGATCATTTTACGTGCACTTGTACAGGTAATTTTCTATTGTCCCGAGGTGGCCTTTACTTACTGAGCATATTTCCATCTCAGAAATCTTTTTAGATCGTAAGTTTCCTAGGAGATACATTTTTCTGAGCTAATTTTGAAACACTTATTGCCTCAGTACTGTATTAGAGAGCCATGCAGTAAGCACTCTTAGTGCATGAGTATTATCAAATATTTATATTTTCTTTTTAGGTTGAAATGCTAGAACGGAAATATGGAGGCCGTCTCATAACTAGACATGCCGCTCGTACAATACAGACTGCTTTCCGCCAGTATCAGATGAACAAAAACTTTGAGCGGCTTAGAAGTTCTATGTCTGAAAATCGTATGTCAAGACGCATTGTTCTATCCAATATGAGAATGCAGTTTTCGTTTGAAGGACCTGAGAAAGTCCACAGTTCCTACTTCGAGGGGAAGCAAGTTTCTGTTACAAATGATGGGTCAAAACTAGGAGCCCTTGTCCAATCTGAATGTAGTGACCTTGGTGAATCGGCTACAATGAAATCTCCAGCAGCGTCCACTGACTTTGCTGATGCCATAACGGAACTGGAGGATGCTTTTTCGAGACAAGTAAAATCTCTTGCCGAGTCCATTGACGATGCATTAAATTGTCGTAGCATGCACTCTGATGAGGTACAGATACCTGATCAAGTCAGAAGTCGGGAAATAGAGAGGGACAGTTGTCAAACTAAACCAACAAGCCATAATGTGGACCACAGGAAACTTGATGAAATGACTGCATCTTATAGTGACGTTACATTGTATATTGATGAAGAAGAACTATCCCCACCACTTCCTCTTTCCCAATCAGTAGATAGGCCATCTAGCACAGAATCTGACCTAAGACTTCGGTCAATGAACCCATCTCAAGAGTACTGGTCTATGACACACAAGGATCATAAGATAGATACGGACACGAGCTGCAGAAGTACCCCTTCACTAGAATCCCAGGAACAAAGAATGAGAATGGATCATTTGCCTTTGCTAACTATAGAACCACCTAGTGACAGTTCAGTGGACTTAAGTGATCGCTCAGAGAGGGGATCATTAAAGAGACAGAATGCATATGATCGAGGAATTACTAGTACGCAAGGTAGTCCCAAGCATATCTCACATGGCATCCCTACCAAGATAATTTCCCGAGAGGACCAGGAGACTAGACATAGACCAAGGCCTATTGATAGCCACTTAGCCATTAATGGCACAGCAAACAGGCAAAGCAAATCTGAGTCTGATTATTCTGATGGAGACAATGATAGCATTAATAGCACTTCCAATTCCAATGATACAATAAACTGCAGCTCAGAGTCTTCTTCTCGAGACAGCTTAAGGGAACAAACATTGAGCAAGCAAACGTACCATAAAGAGACTCGCAATAGCTGGGATTCTCCTGCCTTCAGTAATGACATCATCAGGAAACGTCACTATAGGATTGGATTGAACCTTTTTAATAAGTGAGTACAATGCATTTTTTACATAGAAAAGAAATTTATCACCAAATCGCAGGATAATTAGATATTTCTGCAGCTCCATTGTGAAGGTTAACATGATCGCCAACAATGGCTGTCTTTGGGTGTCATGCTAAACCAGGGTTGGGGTTGGACTGCAACTCCTATCATCCCTGATTATTAATAATGCTTTCTGGGGCTGATAGGAGTTGAAGTCAAATATGGAAGACCACAGGTTCACTATCCATGTGCTAAGCTATGGTTTAGCAAAGTGTGGGTGAGCCCAGCCTCCTCCTAAACATGCAGCCAGAAGGATGAGTTCAGAAATTTATGGTTTGTTGTGTCATCCGGACCAACAAATGGTGGTTAGTTTCAAGCATCCAACATCGAACCATGGTTTCTGAAGTAGTTTGTTTGAACTAACCATAGTTCACCATAGCTTCATGTTCTAATGAAATAGCAAGCTGTGGTTAACAGATAGCGGAAGCAAATTCTTTCAAATTCCTCCTGTGAGCATGTTCATGTGTCACCAGACCATAGTTTAGAGTCATGTCTGATGCAGCCCTTTTGTGTGCACACTTGTCTTTTCCCTGTTTTCAGCATGTTTACTTTCTTCTCTCTTCCCACCCTTCAGTTGCCAATTTACTGCTTTAAATGCCAATTATTATTTATTTGTATTTATTTATTTATACATACATACATACATACATACATACCCCGCCCATCTGGCCGGGTTTCCCCAGCCACTCTGGGCGGCTTCCAACAAAACACTAAAATACAATAACCTATTAAACATTAAAATCTTCCCTATACAGCGCTGCCTTTAGATGTCTTCTAAAAGTTTGGTAGTTATTTTTCTCTTTGACATCTCAAGGGAGGGCGTTCCATAGGGCGGGTGCCACTACCGAGAAGGCCCTCTGCCTGGTTCCCTGTAACTTGGCTTCTCACAGCGAGGGAACCGCCAGAAGGCCCTCGGCGCTGGACCTCAGTGTCTGGGCAGAACGATGGAGGTGGAGACGCTCCTTCAGGTATACTGGACCGCAGCCGTTTAGGGCTTTAAAGGTCAGACCAACACTTTGAATTGTGCTCGGAAACGTACTGGGAGCCAGTGTAGGTCTTTCAAGACCGGTGTTATGTGGTCTCGGCGGCCGCCCCCAGTCACCAGTCTAGCTGCCGCATTCTGGATTAGTTGTAGCTTCTGAGTCACCTTCAAAGGTAGCCCCATGTAGAGCGCATTGCAGTAGTCCAAGCGGGAGATAACTAGAGCATGCACCACTCTGGTGAGACAGTCCGCGGGCAGGTAGGGTCTCAGATCAAAACTTTCAAGGTGTTATATGGTCTTGGCGGCCGCTCCCAGTCACCAGTCTAGCTGCCACATTCTGGATTAGTTGTAGTTTCCAGGTCACCTTCAAAGACAGGCCCATCTGCTGCATCCAACCAAGTTCTGTTACACATGCCAGGTCAAGTCCTCCATCCATGATCAAGTCATGGATGGCAGTGGTCTTATGAATCATTGACCTGGCATTGCACAGCAGCACCTTCAGGTCATGTTGATTCTAGTATCCATCCGGTCAGGACCAGACCCAATGTGTGTATCTTGGACACACACACACACACAGAGAGAGAGAGAGCGAGCCCTTTTGTTGTCCTTCATATAAGAAACATTTTCTTTTAAGCAACGTTAAAAGGACAAATAAGTTTTTTCCATCTCATCCATTACTGTTCTAATCCAGTGCCATCAGAAAACAGTCATATTGGGGTGAAATCCAGTGTTAAACCCACTCAGAGTAGACCCACTGAAATCAAGGCAATAGGTCTACTCTTATGGCTTAGTTGGATAGGACCCATTTTTTAGAAATTATTAACAATTAACAAAGCTATTTGCTCTGGCCAGAGTGTGCAATAGGGTTAAAAATTATTTGTTTTTCCAAAGGGCTTCCTTACTTTCCTTAAGCATATATGCTTTTTGACGTAACTGGCAGTGCTTTCCTTCCTGATTTCTTCATATCTAAATATTATAAAACAGGCTGTCTACATATTATTGTAATAGATTTAATACTGAGCATGGAGTTTAATTTATTCAGTACCATATGGGTTAAGTTAGTATTGCCGATAGTGTAGTGGCTGATTGTCAAAATATTTTTTCACACACTACATATACTTTATTTTCCATGTAATACAATGTATGAAAATTGCATATTTTAAATTTATAATTTCTTTTCTTGAGACAGCATGGAACTAATACAGATGGCAGAAGGTAATAAATAGTGATTTTTAAAAATCAATGTATTGTTAGCCTTACAGTAGCCTAGTGGAAGAGTTAGATCTAATTAAATTAGTGTAATCTGATTATTCTATTCATTGGCATAGTCCTGCTTACCTTTGATTGCTCCCAATATGTTCCATAAAGGCCTTTGTACACTGTTGGGGCTAAAGAAAGGTATAATCTACCATTCTGCTGTTCCATGCACAACTGGAGGGGCGTACACTGACGGCTCAGAGCCTCAACAAATATGGGTACACAGGGCTAGGAGACTTTATTGACCCAGCAGGCATGCAATAATTCATGTTGTTGTGATTGCCAGGCGCATTGACAGCAGCTCCTCCTCTGAAGCACAAGCTGTGTCGCCCTGTTACTTGGCAAGGAGCTGTTGCAGCTGCTTATGCAGTCACAATTATTGTTGCACAGCTGGAGATAGGACAGAGGTTTACTGGAGCCATACTGCCTGTACAGGTGGAAGAAAGAATCAGCGCAGCTGCTGAGGCTCAAGCTGCAAACGTTTAGGATAATACTGTAGTAAATTTTGCCATCATTAAAGGGGCATATTTATAGCACTAAGTTTTTGTGAAATACATACACAACTGGCTTGTGCTGAACACCATGGCTTGGCATTGAATGTGTGAGCTTTGGGGTCATTTGCCTCCTCCTCCTGTTGTAGGAATGCCAAGGTCTGGTGTGCCATTTGAATTGGCAAGCTACTGTAGGTTTTTGCCTTCCAAACCAGAACTGGGAAAATGTCCTTTACATTGGTTTTTTTCTTCCGGTTTGGAGGGCAGTTTGGAGTTAACTTGTTTGGTTGTAATGGCAAATTATGGTTTGCTTGAAACCAGAAGTCAGAGAGAGAATTGAAGCATTTGTAGAAAGGCTGGCATGTATGAGCTGAGGCTTGCTTGTGTAATGCAAAAATATAAGAAGCAGCTCAATACTTTTTTAAGGCAGACAATTTGTTATATCCTACCTAGCTAAACATAGTTTGCTGCACATGGTTTAAACAAAACCTTGAAAGAATCATTATTTTTACCTAGGTGCACTGTCAATTTTATTTAGGAAGTAACCCAGCTGTGACATTTTAAATATTTAAAATCTTTAATAACTTCACTCTTATTTATCTTTCTTAATATATTTATATTCCACTTTAACTCCAAGGAATTCGAGATGGTATATATTGTTTTCCTCTTCTCATTTTAGCCAGGCAACAACCCTCTAAGGTAAATAAGGTTGAGGAGAATGGTTGGCTGAATTCCTAGTCTGACCTCTTTAAGCACTTTACTGCACTGGCTCTTCCCATTAAAGAGATGAACAAAAGAGCCACATCATATAAGTACTGTGCCTTTAAAGTGCACGGTTTTCCACTAAGAATCCTGGCTCCCGTAGTTAGTTACGGGTGAAACTACAGTTCCACGGTTATTTATGCAGCCTTGTGATTTAATGTGTGTTTAATCTGCTCCCTGTCTTTAACAGTAAAAAAATAATGTTTTGTTGCTGTTGTTTAATCGTGTCCGACTCTTCATGACCCCATGGACCAGATCACACCAGGCACTCCTGTCTTCCACTGCCTCCAGCAGTTTGGTCAAACTCATGTTAGTAGCTTCGAGAACACTGTCATCTGTCATCCCCTTCTCCTTGTGCCCTCCATCTTTCCCAACATCAAGGTATTTTCCAGGGAGTCTTCTCTTCTCATGAGGTGGCCAAAGTATTGGAGCCTCAGCTTCAGGATCTGTCCTTCCAGTGAGCACTCAGGGCTGATTTCCTTTAGAATGGATAGGTTTGATCTTCTTGCAGTCTATGGGACTCTGCACGGCATAGCTCACACCTTCTCTGAGTTATTCAAGCCCCTTTGCCACGACAAGGCAGTGATCCATGAAGGAGAAATAATGTTTTAATTAAGGCCAAAAAGAAAATGTGGTTTGGAAACATTTTTTTAAGTTTTAATGCTTTTAAACCATTCAGTTTGGTTTTAACTTTGAAATTCTATGATGCTGGTTTGGACAAACCTGATACCAAGAATTCCTCTCTCTCCCCTTCAGTTAGCTTATTGATCTGTGTTGTTGTTAGCTGCTGATGCATCTTGCTGTGATGCAGGCACACCCCTTTTGAGGTCTCACAAGAACTGTGAGGATTATCACTCCATGGAATTATCAGGTGCCTTTCATTTTTGACTTTTCAAAGTACTCTGAGGCTGTTGCTGAAAAACTAATCCCAATACAGTATTCCATGTGGGAGAGACCATAAGATGTTTTAAATGGTTTCGCTATACTGATTGGTGTCAATGCAGAATAAATGCCTGCTTTTTCTTGATGATGTGGTAGATTTCAAAAAGCCAGACTAGGAGTGCTATACAGACTAGAAACATTACACAATAATCTTATTTTAGCTTGCTGTATGAGTTTTGTTAGTTGTTTGCTTTTTCCAGTTCAGCTTTCTTGTCTAGTTGGTTTCCGCATTCTTCAGACACATGTTGAATCATCCATATTCCAGGAATAAAGGACTTTATGAGTTACGTACATGCAGTTTGCTTAGTGTTGTGAATCACATCAGACAGCTTGAGCATCGCACAGTTCCTACCTCTGTTACTGTGAAGCATTTTTAAGAAGGAGCACTGAGAAAGCATAGCCATGTGCAGGTCCTCTTATTCCCAGTCATGTGAACATGCAGTGAACCATTAAATTAGGTAATGTTTGATGTAAGGTTTTACAACGGATGAGGGGTATAAAATATTTTTTTGTTGCATTGGTCTGTAAGTGATTTGACATAATTAGAAGATCAAATAGTTTTTGGCTAAAGGCCAAATGCAATTTCCCCATTGCCTGCTGTGTTTGTTTGTTTGTTTTAAGATGACAGTCAAAGCGCTGCTGAGCACTAGCATATATTGCAAGCCCCCTTCCACCTCATAGATTCCGTACCTGGTGCCTTTTGGTATACAGATAGCCCCCCCCCCAACTTTACGTGCATTCAGTATGTGTGTGACTGTGTATATGTGCATCGCGTTGAACCCAGAAGTGACCTGGAAACATAAAGATTTAACTGAAACATCACTAAAAGGGCAGGACTGAACAGGGTGTTTGCGGTCTTTTTCAGTGGGTTTCAAATATACATGATTTCACTGACTAGGAATGTAACCCCCACGTTTAAATGGGGGGTTGCCCGTATTATTTGGGCAGCTGCAGGTTTAACTGTTTTCTGTCACTTGCTTACTTTTTATATTGTTTTACTGTTTATTGTAAGTTGCTCTGGTTTCATTAGAGCAGAAGGCTGGAGTGTGAATAATTTCAAATAAATAAAAGTTATCTTTAAAAAAAAACCTGCGTTACTAATACAGACAGATACAGGGAGAGAGTTCACAGGGTGTCCCTCAACTTGTGGGTTAGTTTCTTTGTTTACTTACTTACTTACTTACTTACTTACTTATTTAAGAAAGGACACTTCAATAACATACAAGAATAAATAAATAAACTGAAAAATGAAACGTACAGACAAAATGAACTTGTGGATTTAATGGTAGCTCTTGTCTTTTCCCATTTGTGACATGAACTGGCTGCCTTCTAAATATTTATTTGTTAAAAGTAGCGGACGAATGCTGATGAATTTATTTGTTTATTCATTCCCTATTCATTTATTTGAAGGAAACACTATTTTAAAGAGCAAATCTGCTCCAGGAAGCAGTTTCTTGTGTGTAGGAGGTTTCTTGATGACATGGGCAGAGAAGAAGAAGAGTTTGGATTTGATATCCCGCCTTTCACTCCCTTTAAGGAGTCTCAAAGCGGCTAACATTCTCCTTTCCCTTCCTCCCCCTTCCTCCCCCACAACAAACACTCTGTGAGGTGAGTGGGGCTGAGAGACTTCAAAGAAGTGTGACTGGCCCAAGGTCACCCAGCAGCTGCATGTGGAGGAGCGGAGACGCGAACCTGGTTTCCCAGATTAGGAGACTACCGCTCTTAACCAGTACACCACAGAGTGACATTCTGGCATCGTGCACAGCCAACTTTTGCATCACATTTGCAGAAATTTCTTCTTCTTCCAAAAATCAGCTGTGAAGAGAACCATAGTGAGGACTCAGCCAAAAAACACAATAATCTCAAGCACCTTATATGCAAGTAGGATTGCTTCCAAAGAAAGATGCACCTTTAACATACAGGTGTATTTTAACAAGCTTTGCAAACTCTTGGTGTAAAGTTGCATCTAAGCAGGCTACAGCCCATTTTGCTTCCAACCTTTTTACAAGTTATCTCATAGTGCTACTGCAATACAGCTGCTATCACATTTGCAAAGCTAAGCAAATGTTTCAAATTGGACAAAGGACTCAGGGGGATGGACTAGATGACCCTCGGGGTACCTTCTCGTTCTACAATCCTATGATTCTATTAAATATGAGAAATGTCTGTTAAAGGTCTTCATGAAAGTGAATGTCAGCCTATTGGGAGTTTAGTATAAAAGAGTGTCTTTACAACACCTGGAGTGTAGATTACTCCGTAATAGCAACAGAAAGACTTCTTATGACTTTTCTCTTTTAAATAAATACTCAGTAATATGCATAGAGAGGAAAAGGCTCATAGCATGAATCAGTTCAGGCTGGCTGCGTTCAAAAATGTAGGGCGGGGATCCTTTATAGTCATTTACAGAGAATATATAAACCTTCCCTAATATTGAAAATCCAGCCTTCAAAAGGCTATGGAGTCCATTATTAGCAGCTTGGAATAGCCTCACAAACTGGAATGGAGTCATTACATCACTCCCATCCAATCAGGTCCATCTAGTATTAAACATTCCAAGCACACAATTTGCTATAACAGAGCTCCGTGCTAGGATTAAGCAAAATTCTCTTGCCACAATACCTAGAGAGCTGATGGGGATATAATTTTGTTGTGAAGTGCCCACTATAAAAAGGGAAGGCCAAGCATATGTCTGATTGTAATTATGGAGGTCAGAATTTGCCAGTTCATTTACTGTTCCCTAGAATTCAGGCTGGTTAGATTATCCAAGTGAAAAGCAGAGGCAGCTGCCTTTTCAGCTATTTAGAGAATGAAAATTTATTAGTAGTGAATGCATTGCAAGAGGGAAGAGAGGGACTGCAGCATGTGAGGATTTAGGACAATATGGCTAAAGAACGGAAGCATCAGAAATGGGGAGGGGGGAAACAAGCAACAATATATTTAAAAATGGTATTTGGGTAAGCAGTTGATTTCCACAAGTAGTTCTCCATCATGCATCAAATTGCTGTAGCCTCCCTAGTTTCTGGCAGTCAGTCCTAATGTAAGGTTACCAGACGTCCCTGTTTCGACAAAATCCATTCAAGTTGAAAAGTGTCCCTGGATTCATTGGAAAAAATATGGTAACCTTATCCTAAGGCCTGTTTAAAGAATTGGAGTGGGGCTGTCCTTATTGTTTCTTTGTCCCAGGGTTTCTCTGCACAACTGGAAATCGTTATTCACCTAGCAGCACATGCCAACACACCTTCTGCACTCCATTTTAAGACTATTACAAACCAAAGGCTTTGGGGCTTTTCTTATCTCCTTCCTCCCTGCTATCTTGTTTAATTTCCAGCTTGTAGAAGAGTTCTGGAGAATTCAAAAACTTGCTTGCTACTTGTGACATTTTAAACAGTCCTCATAAAGACCTTCTGTGGGTCTTTGATAATCTCCTAATGGACAACAAAGTCTATACCTGGTAGACAGGTCTGGTGCCAGGATCTGGCCCACCCAGACAGCTGCTGGAGTCGCATTGCCGGGCAGCTGGGTCTGGGGAGCTTACATTAACAATGTCACACAAGTAGCACTGGCTTAGTGTGAACATAAGAGCTCATGCAGGCTCCTGGCAAAGTGATTGTGGCTGCTTTGCTTTCTCACTGGTAATTTAGCTTGCAGTGAGCATGAGGCATAGTTTGGCTTGGTTGCCATCTGAACCCAGCCATAGCGTCTGGGACACTGAGAATGGAAATTGAGAATGGCTGCTTCCCAGCCAGCCACAACTATTGCCATGCAACAAGTGCAGGGGTGTGACGGAAAGCTCAGCAAGACCAGAGTTTGGTGATGCAGTGCTTTGGAATTCCACCAGAGTGCTGAGCTGTATGTTCACCTGATTGGCTGTAGATACAGCAAGCACTTTGGGAGGGGGAAAAGAAAAGGGGATTGAGAGTTGGGAGTTGGGTGTTCTTGGTGTTCAGCTGGGTAGAAGTATAGCTCCTGAGCTGTGTGTGAGAGATCCACTCTGAGGAAAATATCTGCAGCCAAAGAAGGAAGTCTCTGAGCTTAGTTTGAAATACAGCAATTAGTGTCCTTTTTCAGGAGTATACAGACAAGAGAAAAAATGGGAAGCTGAATTGGGAACAGGAGAAGTAGAGATATTAGTGAACACTCTACTTGGGTCTCCATTCAGTAAGAAAGGGATAGAACGTCTTGAGAAAGAGAAGAATCCCAAACCAATTAGGAGGCGTTTGGTGATCCCCTGGGTCTATTATACTGCTAGAGGAGCCCCAGGGGTGTGATTAATAGAAGGTTAGGAAACTGACAGAAAGTACCACCTTGTTTTAGAACCCAAGTACTAAGAACAAAGCTATACAATTAAGCTTAAGAAACTGAAGTGGGAAAAACTGAAAAGAAGTGTTAAATCTGAACAAAGAGGTTTACATGCTTTTCTGCTCTTGAATTATTTGATCGTGTAGTGTAGTGTTCCCTTCACTTCTACCAAAGAATGGAGTGACCAAGTAAATATAAACTGCCCTTAATTCAAGTAGTAGCTAGCTACAGTGTGCATGGAACCACTACTTTAGCTAGTCTTCTATATTTTCCTGCCCTGTGATTTCTCTGCTTTCCTAGATATTGGCTCAGATACATACTGTAAGTGGCTCTTGTTACTCATCTGCAACACAATATGGGTTAGTGTCTCACCAAGTGGCTCTCTGCATATATTAGCAGACTATCAATCAATAAATGGTTGTCCGTATTTACCCCCTCTGTCCATAGAAAAACTAGCACCTTTAGAATAACACTGGAATCAGAGCTGGCACCCAGTGAAAAAGGCATGCAGGAACAGCATAGAATTTTGAAACCTCTCACATACTACTTTAAAGTGTGTGATCCTGTGCAGAAGACACTCACTTTAAAAATGTACCAACCCTTTTGCCTTCGTTATTTTTATTTTATTTTATTTTATTTATTATTACTTTTATATTGCTCCTTTTCTCCAAGGAGCTCAAGGCAGCACACATACTTCTCCCTTTCCCCATTATATCCTTACAAAATCAGTGAGTGGCAATTTGAACCCTGGCCAGCACTCTTAACCACTTTTCTACATTGGCTCACATGGTTGCAGTCCTACCCTCAGTTACATGAGCAAATACATTACTGGCCAGGTCAACAATCCATGTTATGGTGTGTGTTTTCTGTAGCATTTTCCACATGGAAATAATTCTACAGCATAGCATATTCTCCATTCTTTTGCATTACTGTAATGATATTCTGCAAAAATACATTTTTATATGTTCATTATGCCCAGTCATCTTTGAACGACTAAAAATAGCACAAATAAAAATCCCCTTTTCTAATTTGATATTTGCCTTTTGCCTTCTTTCCATTTGACCATCTATTTCTTTCCCGAAAGTCCAGCTTTAAAACAGCCTTCTTCAGAACCATTAATCTTTCTTTCTAGAGAATAATTAAAATACAGTACTTCAGAACATGAATGGTATTGGTAAAGCATTGTCTTGCATATTTTTGACTAGTAGGTTCAGTTGCTTCAAAACCTGAAAGAATATTATGGTGTGTTCCCAAAAGAAAAGATTGAGATGTACTGTACAAGCAAGTTGTACATCTTTATTCAGCCAAAGGAACAAAGCTTGTTGTAATGTATAGATCTCACTTTGTTCCACTTTGTACAGAACAAATGAGTTCAGATGGAGAAAAGAATTCTGATTCAGAATCCTAAGCATGTTTTTTGTTGTTGTTGTTGTTGTTGTTTAGTCGTTTAGTCGTGTCCGACTCTTCGTGACCCCATGGACCTACTTGAAGTGAATCCCACTGACCTCAATGTAGCTTACTCAATAGTATGTATGTTTAGGATTGTAGCTTTAGTTTCTTCTGTTTGCTCAGAGGAAAAAAATATTTTGAATAAAGGAAATATTATCTTAGCTTGCCCTTGTGGGAATAACAGCACATATTCTTTTTGTTTCAGATGTAAACTTTCAGGCAGGCAGATTTTAAGACATGATGATGAGGCAGTTTTTCTATGGTACTCATATGAGAATAAAAGTCTGATTGTTTGTTTTACTTACCAGATATCAATTTTTTACTAGTAAAGTCCAGCAGAGTAAGCATGTTAGAAGATTTGGTAATGTTATTGACAATAACCTACATGAGGAAAGATGTGGTTACATGACCATCTTGGTATAAAAATAGCAGGGTCACCTTGTTCTTGGAAATTGATTTCACATGTCTGAGCAGAAAGCTGCATCCTCCATCTGCAAAGTTGGAAATCCATTTGCATTTTCAGATATTTGTAATACCTTAGAAAATGGAGAACACAATGAAAATATTGAATTGTGGTTGGTCATTGTTGCAGTACACAAACCTTTTGATGTTTACATAGCAGCAGATAAATGCATAATCTCTGTCTGCCTTGACTACTTCAGTCTCAATCTTGCTTTTAGCATTCAGTGCATTCAGATACCATATTGCTTGTTCAAAGCATGGTTTGGAGGATTGGGGGAAAGCTCTTTATGTACATTCTCCCTCTCTCTACTTTTCAATCCTTCCCTCACACTCCTGGCTTAATAAAATACCAACTTGTTTCAGAAACCTCAGTTTGCTGTGATGTCAGAACTTGCACACTATGGTTTGAGTGATTAGCCCAAATCAAGATTGCAAACCACAGGTTTTTATTTCTTTTTCAATGCTGATTTGGAGGGATGTATCAAACTACAGCTTTCTGGTTGGATAGCATAGCATAGCATAGCTCAGGGCCAAACTAGGCCCTATCCAAATTAGGGAGTAATGTGAAAGGGAGTAAAATGGCAGGAGTGCTATAAGGAGGAGCTGGATCCTGCCCCGTCCCCAGATTGCCTCCCTCTTCCCCACCCCATGATGCTCCCTTGCAAACAAAAGCAAACAATTGAGTTACTGAATTCAGTACTATAAGGAGTGGCGATGACTATTGAAAAGGAATAGAAAAAATAATGGGTGATGTATCAAGCAATAACTGTTCAACATATGGAAGAACAGTACCCATAGTTTAAAGCACAGTCTGGCATGCATTAAGTGCAATTTTTAATTTCTCCCCTCCTCCCCTTTCCTATAAATTCTAATTGTTATTGTTACTGAAGGAAATACATTTTGTTTATGGTCACCAATCAGAGCAATACACATTACTATACATCATTTCATTTCTGTAATAATCATAATAATTTTGTTATATACACTTTGACACAACTTTGTTGATATATGTAGAAACGTTTATTTGAGTGTTCATTGTTGTTTTATTTTTTATTTTAATTTTATGCAATTGCTGCATGTGCTCCATTGTAAACAAAGATATATCTTGATGCAACCATGTTAAACAGTTTAAATATGAAAATAATTTTTTAAAAAACCAATGTTATATTTAAAAAAGCTGTCCACTACAGTAGCTAAATTGGATCTTAGAATTTAAAGGCTATATCCGCTCCAGACGCTGGGAAAAACAAGGAAGGGCTACTGACTCCATGCCACAGCTTGTCTGCTTTCCAGGAGCATTTGTTTAATACTGTTTCAAACAGTATACTGTTTGTGGTAGAAGCAGGACCAGAGGGTTACTTGGTATTGTTCATCAGTGCTTCTCACATAGGGGTGGGAGGGGGTGCTGTTGAGAGAAAGGTCTGTGCAAAGCAAGAACTGTGAGTCTGCTAAGAGTTGCAGAAATAAATGGCAGGTGTAAGTTTTAAAGAGCACTATGTTAAAGATGTGATGCACATACTTTTTCATAGCTGCTGCAGTATTGTTACTCCCCACTGGTAATAACAGTAAAATTTGTCCTCAAATGATTTAAGTTGTACAGTTATATCTCTGAAGTGGAACGGAATCTGTTCCAGAAGTCCGTTCGACTTCCAAAACATTCGGAAACCAAGACGCGGCTTCCGATTGGCTGCAGGATGCTCCTGCAGCCAATCGGAAGCCACGGAAGCTGTGTCGGACGTTTGGGTTCCAAAGAACGTTCGCAAACTGGAACACTCACTTCCAGGTTTGCGGCATTCGGGAGCCAAAAGGTTCAACTTCCGAAGTACGACTGTATACCTCTGCCTTAGAAATTAAAAGATACTTGTGTTGATTGTGGAAGAGCCCTAAGACAACCCTAATCTTTATTTTATTTATTTTAAATTTATTTTTGAAAATATTTATATAGCACAATTTCCTTAAAGAAATCGAAGTGGTATACAGCAACATATATTATACACGCACACACACAATAAAAATACATATGCCCCTGATTATGTTGTGGTGAAAGCGGCTAATGGGAGATTTGGGATTTTTTTCTTCTTGTAGAAAACCTGAAAAAGGAATCCAGTACCTAATTGAGAGAGGCTTTGTGCCAGATACGCCTGTTGGAGTTGCTCATTTCCTTCTGCAGAGAAAAGGACTCAGCAGACAGATGATTGGAGAATTCCTCGGAAATCGACAAAAGCAGTTTAACCGGGATGTGTTGGAGTAAGTAGCAGATATGAAGCATCTGTTGCATATTTAAGTGTACACTATGTGGATTTTAAAGAAAGGGATGTTCGCCAATTGTTTTGTGCATAAGCTAAGTGCAGTTTCAGAGAAAAAGAAAAACCTGGAAAAAATCATTTCCCCATATACATTTACAGCTATGGCCGCAACTCAGAAAGACTGTTCCAAAAGGAGGTTCTTAGCTATTTATCTACTATACTATATTATTATTTTAATTGCCTAGGATATGCTCATCCAGAAGGAAAGTGTCTATTGATTATAAGTCCTTTATTATTCCTTGAAGTATTACTCAATTCATTGTCTAAAATAAAATGACATGACAAAATGTGGAAGACTACTACCATCCAGAAAGCAAGTGCCACAATATTTTCAGTTTTGATGTGCTGTACTGTGTACTGCATGCCAGCTCATGACATATTGGCCCAAATTTATAGAATTATGTATACATTACCTTGCTGAAGAATTGCTGTTGAATGCTAAGGTTAAGGTACACCTTAATCAGCAGAATGCACTCATATAAATATGCTTTAATGAAGCATTCTACACTTGCAAGTGGGTTGTCTTATTCCTGGACCCATTTGTTCTATATATTTCCTTACTACAAAGGAACAGTGAAGCAGGGCCTTCTTCTAGGGGGCGGGGAGGGGGTGCGGAAATCTGTCAGCTCATGGTTCTTCCTTGAAAAATCAACACAGATTTTAAATTCCAAAGTGGTGTTTTCTAAAAAACAGTCCTGTAGATGAGAACGTTATTTTGGCATCTTGCCTAACTCTGTTAAAGAGAGGCTTTTGTCCTGGGAGTTGCACCACGTGAAAATGTTATTGATGCCTATTTGACACAATGCCAAAACATATGATCTACAAATAGGCTAGGAAATTTAACCCTGATGACCTCCTCTTCATGTTTGCTTCATTGACTAAAATCTTATAAATTAAACATTGGATCTTTTTTGTTTACCTGTTATTATGTTTTAAAGGCCATTCAATGAGGTTTTGAGTGCACTTAACTGAGCACTGGAATGCAGCCAAAGGAATTAAATATGCAATTGCAATGTTCAGTTAAAAGAAGCAACCTTAGGAGTGCAGAAGCTTCCCATGTTAGCTTGTGTCAGGTACCAAGATGGCATTTATTTCTGTGTTGCATTGGGTTATGAAATATGTCAAGTTTTCCTGCATTATACAGCTAACCAAGGTACTAAAAAGACCTGGCTTTATTTGTTGACTGTTTGCTGTTTTATGGATATGTGACATAGCGAATTAGATTACAGTATGAGGAAAATTTCATTGTCCATCCCAGGATCACCCTGGGCGTTTTGGTCAGGAGGATGATACTATATGCTCAGTAGTAAGCTACTCATGGGGACCTGGTACTGCCATCCACAGTAATTTTGTGGAAGACTCTGCCCTTTTGAGATTTCTAGCTTTTGGGACTGTATGCCTCTTTGATGTACAGAGTGATGCCACCTCCAACACACCCTTCCCTGTCCTTTCTGTAGAGTTTGTATCCAGAAATAACCAATGCCACTGGTTCTCTCCATCCCAGCAGGTTTCCGTTATGCTCCTTGTATCTATGCTAACATTTAAAACAAAGTACAACAGCTCACACAACTTGAATCAGTGGCTTCCAGTATTAGCTTTTAAACTCCTGTGCATGGTGTGTCTTTGCGAATGTCTCTGGCACGTATGTTTTATCCAAAGTATCCTCTTTGAATTGATACCTGTCCCTCTGCATTTTAATTGCCTGGTTCTGCCCCTCTCTCATTTGAACAATCATAAACATTTTTACCCTGATGCCATATGGCAGTGAATTTTAATAAAAAGCCTTTTAGCATGGGTCATACGTTCTTACCATGGCACCTGCATTAGTCTATTGTACTTTGCAGAGATTGATCTTTCATTGTGTATAACCTCAAAAGCCTAATAAAAAGGGAAGAAACCTCCAGATTCTATTTTATTTTATTGGCAAGTAGACCTCACAGGCAGCAGAAAAGGCAATTAGATCATGGTTTCACAAATCATGGTTTTGCATCAGCCTTTTAAATCAGCCCTGTCCACCTGAGTGCCTTTTCTCTCTCTCTGCTTTCCCCTCTCCACTGTCTGCTACACAATTCCTCTCTCTTTTCCCTTCCAGTTATTGAAAAGAGTACTGGGGTGTTATTATGCACAACACTTTAAGGGGGGAAATGGTGTGTGGTAACTGGTACCCCTTCTGTCGGAGAAGGAAAACTATATTGCTTTCCCCTTCTGCTATCCACTCAAAGGCATGCAGGAAGGAAAGTAAAAGAACACAGGGTCTTCTTGCTGCCACCCTCCCTTCCAACATTCATAGGATAGGCAAGGGGGGACTGGTGTCTGTTGCTCCGTGCCCTACTGCTCAGTAAAGTAGTAAATTAAAGTAATGTTTGGTTGTTTTCTAATGGAGCTACTGACTGGGGGAAATTGCTTTTTGAAGAACATAAAAGTGATTATTATTTCTGCCAGAGAGATGTCTTTGAAAAATCATGACCCGCTTACATAAGCTTCTTTAATTGATATATAGTGCTCATAATTCTCTCTTTGCCCTTTAATCATTGCATGCTTCATCTGACTGAATACTATACTAAGTACAGCAGTTGGTATTTTATTGAAGGCAGGGTGGATTGATGGGGGGGGGGATATGCTGGAGGGTGGCAAAATCAAAACTCTTCTTCTTCTTTGTCCTAGCTGTGTTGTGGATGAAATGGACTTCTCAGCTATGGAACTAGATGAAGCACTCAGGAAATTCCAAGCTCATATCCGTGTTCAAGGGGAAGCTCAAAAAGTAGAACGACTCATTGAAGCTTTTAGGTATGGACATAAACAGATAGCTATCATAAGGTTTAGTCACATACGTAGTAGGTTTGAGTGTACTCAGGCTGAAGTAGTTAAATATTATCTTGATCTAAAATTCTGTTCTCACGATATTATATATTGTAGACCAGCCTTCTGGAGTTGATGAGAGATGTACTTAGAAACCTCCAGAGGCAACTAGGTTGGGAAAAGGCGGCTATAGATTCTGTCAGCTTTGTTTGTTGTATCTTATGTTATCAAGTCTAAATGTGAACAAAGAAATGTTTACTGTCGGATTAAACATTTTAAAGGAAATTAAGGTCACAATCCTATACCCACTTACCCCGGTGTAAGGCCTATTGAACGCAGTGGGACTTACTTCTGAGTAGACATGTAAAGGATTGTGCTGTAAATATTCTATGTTCTCTTCTTGTTGAAATGGAAGCATTTATCCTTTATAACATTTTGCAATGTACGCTGCTGACCTTTTAATTAAGCAGTTTAGCTTAGCTGAGCAAAGAGCATTAACTTATTAAAGCCTAGACAAATGTTCTTTATCCATGGTGGGGACGTGGGGAGAAATGTGAAGAATCTTCCAATATGCTAAAAATAAAGAGGCCTATCCTCAGAGGGTGCCACAGATCTATTGAAGCCATTGGTCAGAGTCATTAGGCATGAAATGTGTACAAATGGCATATTAGCATAGATATAAATTATGGATCAAAGTTGCATCAGATATTGTTGCATAGTTTGACTTTGTGCTGGCATTTTTGGGCTTTAGCTACATGGTTAGAAGGAGGAAATGGTTGCCTGAGTCAGTGGTGCACTTCATTTGGACTGTGATGTTCAACCCAAGAAAATTTGGCCTTTCCATTGCATATTTTGCCCTACAAATATAAGCTGTTTTACACTTGCAGTAGTCTTATATTACCTTACTTTGCCATGAATAAAGTATGTATAATTGTCACCACTATCCTATTTCTGATGAATTGTGCAAATCTGGGTAATTTTTATCCTCTTTGATCCACTAGGTATGGTTTGCAGTCTGCAGTGATAAATATGTATATGTATATTTTATGTATATTTCTATACAACAAGTGAATATTGCAGGAAACTGAGGGCACTTACTGTAATGGAGTTAGACTAGCCTTAACCACCAGAATATCTAGATCTGCAAATAGTAATTTGGTTACAAAGAGTGGGTATAATAATGCATCATCTGCATTAAAGATGCTATTATTAGCTGAGATAATGTGATGGAATGGTAATTAATATTCAAGAATTAAATGTGTATGTCAGGAGTATAATTCCAGTATCAATGAAACAGTTTATTGGTTTGTTCTAAAAGGCTTATCGACTCATCCTTGAATCTGACCACTCTTATTTCGGTGTCTTTTGTAGCCAGAGATACTGCATCTGCAATCCAGGTGTTGTGAGACAGTTTAGAAATCCTGATACCATCTTCATCCTAGCTTTTGCAATCATATTATTAAACACAGATATGTATAGTCCAAATGTGAAACCAGAACGCAAAATGAAGCTTGAAGATTTTGTCAAGAATCTAAGAGGTATGCATAATTCAAAAATTTGCCAGGGTCTAAAGGCTGGGTTTGTTTCATTTCCTCCAGTCTTGAACAGAAAATGTCAAAAGCCGCATTTTTCTTTATTAAAAAAACATCCAAGAGGCTAGCCTGCCATTTGTACTGTAATTTGTTACCAGGCCAGGAGAAGATTGGAAAGGGTTTTTGGGAAAGGACAACAGTCTGATTACTAACAGTGCGGCAGTACCCGTTTCTAAATAGATTGTTTCTTAAATGCTAAAGAGGTAGAAAAGTCTGCCACATGGCTTTGGAAGCACATTGTTGTAAAAACTGCAGCAATAAGTTGCAATTCTATGCACACTTACATGGAAGTAAATCATTGAACACAGTAAGACTTACTTATGAGTAAACATGCATAGACATTTGCCATTATGGTCTACACCACAAAAACCGCAAAAGAATACAGTAATTAGATTCTGTTCCATATTACGCAGTTGTATGACTATACCCTACAAAAGTGTTTTAGAACTCTGAGGAGGCTGAAGAAACCAAGATCGAAGTTCTGGAGAGAAAGGAAATGTTTTATAGCTGAAAGACCAATGTGGGGGTGCTTGTAATTTTGATTGCCTCTTGTATTTCTGCACTGCAAACTATCCCTCTCCAGGTCTATGGGCCAACTTCATTCACTAAGCATTTCACAGCAGAAAGTCTTTATTAATGTTTTTAAAGCAACTAGAATCAAGTTCAAGTTCAAGTTTATTGCGGCCAAAGCCAGTGACACTAAACACCATAAGATCAGACAACAAGAAAACAGCAACAACTTCAGAAAAGAAAAAAGGTTACACAAGAGAACTTCACAGTGTGCCATTCAACAGAAGAGATTTACGCTTCTTAATTACTAAAGTGCAAAATTTAGCCACCTCATATGATACTGAGCTTGAGGAATCTTCCAGGAGGTATTTTCGAAGAATTTCAGGGGAGGATTCCAAATAATATTGAAGGGGTATAAATTTTGATAGAAGTGGTAAAATAAGTTGAACTCGTTCTTCACTATAGAATTCGCAAGATAGAAGAATGTGTGTGACAGATTCTACCTTATTAGACATACAAGGGCAGAGACGCGCATGCATTGGAACTCGCGTGAATTTGCCGTACAGCACTGCTGAGGGCATTGTCTCAAAGCGGGCTCTGGAGAAAGCCCATCTATAGGTTTCGTTAGTGATGTTAGTTAAGTAAGGGGCAGCTGCAAAGATTAGGCCAAGCTTTTAAACATCTATACGTCTCTGGGAGTAGGGCGCCTTCTTGTTGTAATTCGATATCATAAAGTCTCCGAGTGATAGTAGCTTTTGCCTTGTTCAGAGTTCCAATAAAAATATTTTCAGGGTTTAGGCCAATTTGTTTGATCTTGTTAGTTATTTGCATAAGCCAAGGAGGATAGGGAACTGCGGCCAGGAAGCAAGGTAATAGACCAACTAGAATCATAGAATAGAATCATAGAATCATAGAGTTGGAAGAGACCACATGGGCCATCGAGTCCAACCCCCTGCCAAGCAGGAAACACCATCAGAGCACTCCTGACATATGGTTGTCAAGCCTCTGCTTAAAGACCTCCAAAGAAGGAGACTCCACCACACTCCTTGGCAGCAAATTCCACTGTCGAACAGCTCTTACTTTCAGGAAGTTCTTCCTAATGTTTAGGTGGAATCTTCTTTCTTGTAGTTTGGATCCATTGCTCCGTGTCCGCTTCTCTGGAGCAGCAGAAAACAACCTTTCTCCCTCCTCTATGTGACATCCTTTTATATATTTGAACATGGCTATCATATCACCCCTTAACCTCCTCTTCTCCAGGCTAAACATGCCCAGCTCCCTTAGCCGTTCCTCATAAGGCATCGTTTCCAGGCCTTTGACCATTTTGGTTGCCCTCCTCTGGACACGTTCCAGTTTGTCAGTGTCCTTCTTGAACTGTGGTGCCCAGAACTGGACACAGTACTCCAGGTGAGGTCTGACCAGAGCAGAATACAGTGGCACTATTACTTCCCTTGATCTAGATGCTATACTCCTATTGATGCAGCCCAGAATTGCATTGGCTTTTTAGCTGCCGCGTCACACTGTTGGCTCATGTCAAGTTTGTGGTCAACCAAGACTCCTAGATCCTTTTCACATGTACTGCTCTCAAGCCAGGTGTCACCCATCTTGTATTTGTGCCTCTCATTTTTTTTGCCCAACTAGGTTGAGAATGTGCTTTATCTTCCACGAATGGTGCTTCAAGACTGCAATATTTTTAACTAACACTGAGTTTTATTATTGCTCGGACATTTAACATCAAGTGTGTGTGTGTGTGTGTGTGTTAACAAACTGCTATCTGTTACCTAATTGTATTGATACTCCACAGTACTCTTGGTTACTGTTGTATCAATAACTAAAAATAGGGCAAATGTGTATTTTGCAGATAGGGATAGAAATCTTTTAAGTAAATAAATATACTGATTTTAAAAGAGCATAACTGGAGACCAATTCAGTGTAAATGTCTTGGAACCCAAATACTCAAAAAAGTGCCTCTTCCCATATTAACCTACTTGTCTGTTAAGATCTTCTGCCGAGGCCCCTCTTCAAACGCCATTATCAGAGATATAATGCATGAGAGCAAAGTGTTTATAGAAAGCTCTCCCTATGCAGGTTCTTCTGGCACCAGTTGCAATCTTTTCTGCACCAGAACACCTTTTTCGTCATCTGGGCATTTTAATCTTACGTATATTTTAAATACTGTTTTCTTCGTGCTTATGATGTTTTATGATTACTCTCGCTGATTGTATACTACCCTGGAATTCTAAACAAGAATGAGGGGCGATATTTATATATCCAAATGTCATTGATTGAAATTCACTTCTTTAATTGTTAAATGGCAGGTTCTTCGGAGATGCTGATCATGACATGCAGAGATTTAGTATCAGTGATGTTAGTGTAAAAACCAGTAGCTAGATCACATTCTTTACAAGGCAGAAGTGTCATCAAGTTGTAGAGGTATTGCAGTTTTTGAGCTGGTAACAATGATGTTTGGGTTCTGCAGGTGTAGATGATGGTGAAGATATTCCACGGGAGATGCTTATTGGGATCTATGAAAGAATCCGAAAGCGGGAGCTCAAGACAAACGAGGATCATGTGTCACAGGTCCAAAAGGTTGAAAAACTCATAGTAGGAAAGAAACCGGTAAGTTATATTTTGCATTTGCAAGTTACATGTGCAAAAGTATATGCTCTATTCACTGAACCATTTCCTACTGAGCCATATCCAGCTTTGGGGGCATAAATGACTGCTCAGAAAGTCTCTCCTGAGTTACTGGATCTATTTTATATAGTTTCTTTAGTTTTCTAAGTATTTATATCCTACCCACTCCAAAGCATAGAGGTTTTTATTCCTCTATATTAAACATGAAAATATTCCAACATCTTTTTATCCCTGCGGGCCAGCTTAATGCAAACAACCAAAAGTCAGCGCCTGTAAAGAAATCATATTGCACCTTAGGAATATGGCAAGAGTCCAAAGAAACAGAATTCCAAAGTTGTGGGAAGGTGGGCACATTCATTGCATCTTTGTATGCTTACAGATAATGGCTTTTCCAAATTGAAGAGATAGAGTTATACAACTTTCATTGCCTTACAGACTGGAAAGTGGAATTTTGAAAGCTGCAGAACTACACTGTAGAATTTAAGCTTTGTGAGAAAGCAATTCAAATGATGAAATAAAGTCATTAGGATTGAATTAGTGTTCCTTGTGCTCATTCCTGCTTAGTGACAGCGTAACTGTGCAAAAGGGGGTTTGAAAATAAATGCCCATCATTATTTATAGGCATGTTTGCTTTTATAGGAGTTTAGTGATAGTAAGACCACGAAGTCTTTGCTTGATATGATATGTATTTCTCTGAAATTAAATGAACTTGTATGTGTCTTTTTCTGCTGTAGATTGGATCTCTACACCATGGACTTGGTTGTGTAGGTATTTCCTTTCATATTCATTTCTGTTCTGTAAGCGAAGCTCATCAGAATGGCCTTAACATGTTTAAATCCTTTGTTGTTACTCAGATTTTGGCAGTTCATTGCTTTTTCATCCTAAATATTTAAAAGTGTCAATTGTTGACCTAATGAAACATTTCCATTTTGTAAAGGAGCCAGATTGTGCTTTCTCTGTGGGGTTCAGTATCACACAGATAGAGCTTGGTACAACAATGAAATATAAAAGTGAATTACGGTAATTAGGAAGCATAAGTGAAACTGGGGGCAGCTTTGTTTATAAACCTGGCTGAGGTCAGTTGTGGTGAGCTGCTCTTAGACATATTTCCTAACAATTTTAAGATTAAAAACAATTTGCCTCTCCCCCCAAAGGTGTGCATGGCCTCTGATTTAAACGTACATCTCTCTTTCTTCTGCATTATTTTAATGTCAGAACATTTCATAATTGTGCTTTGCTTTCATTGCTTTTAGTGTTTAATCAGCTTAATCAATCAGTGTGGAAACTTAGCACAAGATTATGCAGTAGAGGAATGTGGGGCTGAGACATTCCTTTAGGATCTTTCACACACACAAGCTGCAAAACGGAGAACATTGAGCATTGGGTGTGCCCTTGCATGTCTTCTGTTTATCTGTTATATATAGGGGTTAGGGGACAGGTATAGATGAAGGTCTTCACATATTGTCACATAATAAATGTTGGAATACTGCTGTTGGTGACTATTGTGGGACCTTTGACAGCAAGTATCCAGGCTTCCAGATATCAAGGAAACCTCAATGCCATATTAAGTTAAATAGAATATGCTTAGTAATGTTATTCAAGTACCTCAAGTATTCTAGCATTACCTCTAGAAGAAAAAAATAGAACTAAAATAAAAGTTAAACAGTAAACATAAGAATTTTCTTTGGAGCAAACCATAATTCCTCAGTAATTTTTGTACTAATTGATAAGATGAATTTCTGGCTTTGACCTTTTAGAACTTGACCTTTTAGAACAACTAGGTTTGGGTCTTAACTTGCTCCTCCAGTCACTAACTCCTGCCATACCACATCCCAATTTCCAAATGTCCACAACCTACAGGATCCAATTGTTAAGTTGGTGGGGAAACTGTTCAGTGAACTCTACTCCATTCACAGAAGGGCAGTCAAGATTCATGCCCTAAACCAGGAGAGGCTAACATTTTCCACCACCCCTTACTACTGGCCGTGGTAGCTGGAGCTGATGGGAGTTGGAGTTCAACAACATTTAGTGAGCCACTCTTTATTCTGCCGTTAATCAGGAAACACAGATTTGCTATAGTTGCCCCATGTATTGAATAGAATTGGGCAACTGATCTGCAAGAGCTCAGAAGCTCACTGAATATGAGAAACGTTTTCTTGCTGACTTTGTGTTATACTCTGAGACACTTCATTAAAACATTTGTATGAATATGAAGTATATATTATATTCCTCATATGGAAGGAATTTTAAATTGTGCATGCTGCATCAATCATTGTAAAAGTGGGTAATGTGTGGCAGGTCACTTTGCTGATCAGGATTCCCCCCCCCCCCGTAAGTTTGGCATCTTTCCTTAGATGTCATGGATGCCAAATTAAAAATTTTGGCTCAGGAACTGAGATTCAGTTCCTCTGCACTGGGGCTAAGAAGAACTTAGAATCTAAGAAGTTAGACTCTAATAAAAATCCATTGCAATTAAAACTTATTGTTAGCAGCCTTCTGGTTGTCCATGTATAAACAGGCTAGCATCTCGTGGAAAAGGCAGTGGAAAATCCGTATTAACCTTGAAGTAAAGGAACCTTAGTCCCTATACTGTATCAGATACAATACATGCACTGGCATGGAGCTAGGGGAAATTATTTTCACCTATTCCCCCTATTGAGGAAAATCAGGATACTGTTGAAAAGTTAATGATAGTAAAGGTAAAGGGACCCCGACAATTAAGTCCAGTCGCGAATGATTCGGGGGTTGCGGTCCTCATCTCGCTTTAAAGGCCGAGGGAGCTGGCATTTTCCACTTCCGCAGACAGTTTTTCCAGGTCACATGGCCAGCATGATTAAGCCGCTTCTGGCGAAACCAGAGCAGCACACGGAAACGCTGTTTACCTTCCCGCCGGAGCAGTCCTATTTATCTACTTGCACTTTGATGTGCTTTCGAACTGCTAGGTTGGCAGGAGGTGGGACTGGACAACAGGAGCTCACCCCGTCACGGGGATTCGAACCGCCGACCTTTCAATCGGCAAGCTCAAGCGGCACAGTGGCTTAACCCACAGCGCTGTGTTAATGATAGTAGCATTGGACAACAGGCTTCATGAAATAACATATGAGTTCACCACCAATATATAAATATGATGACAAAAAAAGGAAAATCCAAAATGGTGCAAAGAGAGGCTAATGAAAAGCTTTTCCTTAAATGTTTTTTATTTTCACCATTTTCAGCTATTTCCTCCTTCACCGTTGTGGAAAAGACTTCACCTAAATAATACTGAACTCCTTTTTAATTGACTAAAGTCAGCATTGTACTATATCCCACAGGTCCTTTCTCTTCCACATCGGAGACTAGTTTGCTACTGCAGGCTCTTTGAAGTTCCAGATCCAAATAAACCACAGAAGCTTGGATTACACCAGCGGGAAATATTTTTATTTAATGATCTGCTTGTGGTATGTATCTGACAGGCATATTTTTATAACACATTATATTAATGCAGAAACTCCATTAAGTAAAGGGGCTTACTTAAATGCAGAATCCATGTAGGGGCACTATGTGGGTTTCTGCATGGATTGTTATTCATATGTGGATGAAGAGCTGTATGTACAACTACAGTTGTATGCAGTGCTCAGGATCAGCTAGGAAAGTTGTGCAGGGAAGCCAAAAGGCTAGTAAATGGAAATGGTATTTTAGGCAGAGTTTGTCATCAGGATGCTTACTGGTGTAATATTTTAAGGGCTTATTGTCCATACATTTCAGTATTTTTAACTAACCGAATACTTTCTCCAACATTGATTTTTATGCGTGTTGATATTTTTAGGTCACTAAGATCTTCCAAAAGAAGAAGAATTCAGTCACATACAGTTTTCGACAGTCCTTTTCCCTCTATGGAATGCAGGTGCTCCTTTTTGAGAATCAGTGTAAGTGTTTTTAGCCTCTCATATGAGTTAAGGGTAAATTGGTGCACCTCATTTCTTAAGAATAACTATACCTTGAGAAAGCAAGGTATCTAGTGGTTTTTCCCCATTTTTTATAAAAGATATTGCAGAAATGCAATGAAAACCTATTGCTAATATTGACATGATAGTGTGATTTTGCTTTGTTACAACATTTATTTAAATGTTTATGAAACAGAATAAGAATAGCATTCAAAGACTTTTAAAAATAAAGTATGAAATCTTGATTCTCTGAAAAATGTAAGCTATAATGGTTTAGTATATGTACACATACGGGATATTTGGGAGAAAGATCAGTTTGGTTCAACACAGCCTGACACTCTCCTCCAGATTTCTCCCCCTTCAGCATTTTTCTTTAAGCAATGCATAGCCATTATTGTAGCTGAAGGCAGCAAGCTACAAATATCCCACCCAGCCTATCTGCATGTTGCAGCTGTCAGATTCAACTTGTTCTCAAGGAATGGAATTCATATACCTTCTGAGAATTCTGTCAATTAAAGCAAAGGCAGTGAAAAGCATTCCATTTAGAAGCTGGCAAGGTGATGGGAATGATTGGCAACAGGGAGTGGAAGATAAGGGTAAAATGTATTTTGAGGAATCAGTTAATTCTTTGAAAGGAAATAAAGTATTTATCTCCACATTCGTAGGTCATGAGGGAAAGACAAAATAGATACTTCCACTTTTTCCAGAACAAACCTTCATTTTAAAAACATGAAGGTTTGCAGTTTCTTTTCACTAGAGACCACGTAACAGTGAAAATATATTCACCAACTGCCTTCCTCCTGCCAATTCTAACCTTTAAAAAGTCTTCAGAAGATATTTTCATACCCCTTTCTGAGAATTTATCTAAGTGAACATTTGTGTATCCAGCTGTATATGTACTATTTTTGTACAAAATATGCATTGTTTTATATATCCTCTTTTGATGGTGGACAAATCCATTTTATACGGTTTTAAAACATTTCTTGCCTTATTCAATTTCATGTGGGCTTGCTTTATTTATTAATCCTCAGAAAGTTGTATATGAGTGTTTCTTCTACAGTTCACATTACAGTTATGATTTAAGATTAATGATTATAAATCTTAAATATTTCTTTTATATGTATGGCTAAAAATTCTATATAATATAATTTCTAATGTCTGTCTGTGGCCCAATAAATCACTGTGTGTTAATGTTTTTTTACTTAGTACTTTTCTTAAAAGTAATTAAAAGTACTAACATGCTTTATTTAGTACTTTTAGTACTTTTCTATTTAGAAGCCCTTTTGGCTCAAAAGTGTAAGGATTGGGGCAGATGATGGGAGGGGAACCCCACTTATAGTTGATTGCCATAGCTGTCAATCTTGTGATGATATTTATCTATTTACAATTTTATAAGATGCACTTTCATTTAAAAAGTACAACAAGGCAGAATACAACATATAAACACAAAATAAAGATATTCATTTTAAAAATACTGATTGACTTAACAAGTAAATTCATGTTGCAAAGGCCTTTCTGAACAATAAAGTTTTCAAGTGACATATGAATGAAGGAGGGATAGTTCCCACCAAACCACTGCTGCGAGGGAGTTCCACAGGGCAGGGCCTGCCTCACCAGAGTCCCTGGTGATGGTCTTGAGGGTGTGAGGAACCACCAGAAGTGCCCTGTCAGGGGATTTCAGTGATCATTCAGTCTACCACTGCATCAAGTCTGTGATATATGGCGGAAATCCTTGAGTGAGTGGTGACTGTTGTTTTCCCTCAAACGTCCCTCATCATGTATGATGCCACATTTGATTCACCCAGGAGACTCATGTGGCTGAAAAAATGACAGCAAGTAGCCGTCTACAGGATAAACCATAGGTTCACTCCCATAAAATGCCCTCTTTGAAGACTTCCCATAGGCATCTAGTCAGCCACTGTAAGAACAGGATGCTGTTCTAGATGGGACTTCCAACTAATCCAACAGCATTCTTGGTTCTAAGAAAGCTGTTTCCCATTTTTCAGCCTGCAAATGGTGGGATTTTGCCAAGTTTATAGTTTTGTAGTAATCTTTGAATGGCTGTTCAGTAAGGTCTTGTGTTGATTCGGACCCTCCATATTATTCCTGGAGGTAGTCGGTGACAGAGAGGACACAGTTTCTGCCGGAAACTGTAAAGAATGTGACAGACCTGTAGGCATCTTGGACCACCTGAAATAACACCAGAAACACAGAGAGACCTAGAAGCCCTGAGACTCCAATACATAGCTCCCTCAGGGTAAGTTGCCCGGTCTACAGTGGGAGGAGCACAATAGACACAGATGCTTCCAGGCCTGCCTCATCCTATCAGTTGCACATGGTTACCAAGAAATGTTAATGTGGTAATGGAAATCTTTGATGTACTGGGATGTTACAGTGGTACCTTGGTTTACGAACTTAATCTGTTCCGGAAGTCCGTTCTTAAACCAAAGCGTTCTTAAACCAAGGTGTGCTTTCCCATAGCAGCGGGGGACTCAATTTACAAATGGAACACACTCAACAGGAAGTGAAACATGTTCTTATTCCAAGGCAAAGTTCACAAACCAAAACATCTATTTCCAGGTTTGCAGCGTTCTTAATCCAAGTTGTTCATAAACTAAGCTGTTCTTAAACCAAGGTACCACTGTATCTGTTTCACATTTGGAGATGCAAATAGAGAACAGAAAACCCTTGAAAGAAATTAATATACATATATTCCTTTTACCACTTCCTAGATTATCCTAATGGCATACGGCTCACATCAGCTGTTCCGGGAGCAGATATAAAAGTTTTGATAAATTTCAATGCGCCAAATCCCCAGGACAGAAAGAAATTTACTGATGATCTGAGGGAGTCTGTTGCAGAGGTACAAGAAATGGAAAAGCACAGAATAGAGTGTAAGTACAAAGGTACATATAGTAGAGCATTTAAAATTAATTATGTTAGGTGAATCTATTTTGGCATATTTACAAAAATATTTCTTTATAAAGTTAAAATTTGCTCAGAAAGTGTGGCTGAATACTACTCAAGATTAAACTGCAGTTGAAATACAAGAACATTTTACTAAGTGCTGATATATTGCATTTTCCTCAGGAGACTTACAGTGGTCCAAGGGCATCCATTTCAGCTGGTGGGCTCTGGCCACACTTTTAAACTCCATGACTGGCTGTTACCACATGGTTATGTGCCACTGCCATCTGGAGTCCGGCAGAAGGATTTGCATTGGTATGCTGTTGTGATACAATTATGCGCACAGACTACCAAGGTGCAGTGACACCCAACCTAATGAAGGCATGGCAAATTTGATAGCAGCACTTTGTTCATTGCTACCTAATGTTAGTTAGTTAGTTAGTTATTTAGTTAGTTAGTTATTTTGCTTTGTGTGCCAGAGACTACGTTGTGTGAGGTACCGTTTCTGAGCATTTCTGGTGCCAAAGGAGAAAGGATGGGCAAAAGGCTTAGGTACGTGAAATATTCCCCAACACTGAAATTAATAGGAATGCGCCTTCTCACACAGAGCTTTCTGTTGTTGAAGCCCTCCGGTGTGTGGCCCAGCTTCTGTAATGCTGTGCCTTTTGCAGACGGAGCAAGCTTATTTGTCCAGGTGCCAATTTTTAGAAGCATTGCGTTTGGGGTTATTGAAATTATTAACGAGCCAGCAAAGAGTCCATACCTATTTTTTCAGCGCTACAATCTGAAAGAGCCAATAGAGTAATTGGCTTCTGCTCTCTTTTCAGCTGAACTTGAAAAGCAGAAAGGTGTAGTACGACCAAGCATGTCTCAGTGCTCTAGCCTGAAAAAAGAGTCTGGCAATGGGACATTGAACCGTGCCTGCCTTGATGACAGTTACGCCACTGGGGAGGGTCTTAAAAGGAGTGCCCTTAGCAGCTCTCTTAGAGATCTCTCTGAAGCAGGTATGCATTCCTTCCTTCTTTGATAAATATATTCATTGAACCTTAATATATGTGTGTGTGTGAGTGTGTTCAAAGAATACACTAACAAATATGAAAATGTAAAAATGTAATCCTGAGAAAGTTTATTATGTCTTATTGTTAGTAGTGTGGTTTTTTTTCTGTTTTTCCCCCTCTGCTTATTCAAAAATTCCATTTGAAAATATTAAACTGTTGTAGCTTTCTATGTATACTTTAAAAGGAGAAAGAAGACAGAGAAAAATTGTAAGTTTATAATAAAATAATGGTTAATTAAATGCTAGGTATGCTAGGAGTAAACTGTTTAGTTTTGCGTCCCTTTTTGTTATTTTCTTCCTTATATTTCATTAGGGGGAAAAACCCACCCAAATCATTGTGTATTGGCTGCTTCTTGTGCATTTTGTGCTTATGTGTATCCATGTAGTATATTGATGAATGAAATTGAGTGAAGCCCTGCTAAATTCTATCTAGAGAAACATAAATCGGATATAGTTGTGTGACTGGTGCTACGTTATCGTATTGCTCAAAACGTAGACTCTAGATCTTGCTGAAACTGTGGCTTGTGTATATACTACACTACTGTTGCCAGCATAATGGGGAAGGAACCATTTTGGCAAAGTAGTAATTTCACCACTGCTTTTGGGCCTGAAGTTTGAACTGATCTGGATGGTGATGGAAGTTTAAAATATATTTTAAATTATAGATGTTATACCTGGTTTTGGAATGTATGCATTTTAATCATTACATTTCACCCATGTGTGCAGAACGTAGAAAAATGCCACTACGATTATGACTGGAAATCAATGCCCTGGTGTATTTTGAATGTCAGGCACTACATTTCAGCTATGTGTGCAAAAGAACAGGCACGTTATTGGTTCCTGCTGTTGCTAGTAGAATTGCTCTGCCTGTTAACACCATGTACACTATGCTAAATTATAATATACCACTAGCAAATAGATTTAAATTTTTGCTTACTTTTCATCCTATATATTATTTTGACCTCTATATAAAAGTGAAGTATACCTTTCTCTTTAAAATATCATGTGTAAGCTTCTACTGTGCTACAGTCATCAATACTAATCTTAAGTATGTGCTATGTGTAATTATGTGCACATGCCTATTTGTGCATCAAAATATACACATACTAATATCTGCATCTTTATTTTTACCAAACGGGTTTACTTTCTATTTAGCCACAATTATTTATCCATAGTAATTATTATATATTACTTTACTTTGGGGACAATTCAGTGACAACCATGAATCCATTGCATGGAACAACACCAGTGCAAAGGTCCACTGAATTAACGCTTTTTAGAATTTTATTTAAAAATGTGCACTTGAGTAGACTTTGGATGAGGCCTCAGTCGTCATTATTTAGTTTCATGTAAGAATGGTTTCATTTTTCTGTTTTTCATTGAGAATGACAACATTCATTTTTAGAAACAGGATTTTCACTAATGTACCTATTACTTGACATGATTCCCAGTTAACACTTTTCATCCTACTAGGAGCTTTCAAACATTTACTTCAGACATTGTCATGTAGCTAGCTTCATTTGGAGGATTCTTTACCATAAACAAGATGAATTTTTCATAAGCATGAAACATCCCATATGTCAACAACATATGCCTTCTGTTGGCATATACTCATCGCTGACAAGTTATTTTCTGTAGTTGAATATAGGCGTCAGACTGAAGGGTTTAAGCAGTGACTATGTTAAACCCAGCTAAACTTAATTTTAACATTTTTATAGAGTCATAATTTATGGAGAGTTTATGTTTGGACTTGTGCAGTGCAATTAATTTAAGAAACACACACATACAGTCAGGTATTGGTTAGGATAACCTAGGTGTTCTTTTCATTCATTATGTTACCTATTGCCAAGAACCAGCTAGAAACAGGTGCAGTTCTATAGAAGTTGGCCTTTGGAGTGATTTCCATGGGTTCAAATATGGTGCCCCCACAGAAAGTTTTCTCCATGCAGTTTCAAATCATAGAGGTAAAATGCTTTGCATGGTAACACATTCTGTGTAAATTATAGGCTGATACTGATGATCCTTTGATTTCATGAAAAATGAACAAGATGTGTAGATAACATCTTTTACTACTTTTTAAAATGTGTGTATCTATAGGGTTCATGTTAAATATGATCTTCAAAGATACATGTTTGAACTGGCCCTCACTGCGATGAGATTCTGAAGTGTTTAGCCTAAACAACACTGTCATTTTATGCCATCACTCCCCTCCAATAGAAAGAGTGAGCATGTAGCTAAAAATCATGTAGTGTTGCTTTGCTACAGAATGCAGGAGGAGGCTGATGAAGTAGATTATGTGTATCTTATGTAGGTAGAAACATGCTTTTTTCAAAAGGTTACCTTGTTTTTCTAAAAAAAAAAATTAAAACTTAATTTTACCACTCAAACAGTGGCTATAACTGCTTTATAATTTTTATTTCAGAGATTGTGTAAATATGTAATAATGTTGTTTTTGGATACTATGATGTATGTAAAACTTGGATATTTAATGTTTTTCTTTTTAAAAGAAAAATATGTCAAAAATATTAAGGCAAAGCATCTTTTAGTTCAGGGCCAGGGAACCTGTGGCCCTCTACACATTTCTGGACTACAACACTCATCATTCCTGACCATTGGTCATACTGGCTGGGGCTGATGGGAGTTGTAGTCCAGCAACATATGAAGGACTCTCCACCCTGCATGTTGGATTTTTTAAGCCCTATATTATTCTCACCACCTGAATTAGGTTTTCCAGGTCTCCAGCATTAAATATGTCCTTTAACACTTCTCCAATTTATTAAAGTATAATTTATTTAAAATAATAAATGGCTAGCTTTTAAAGGCTGCTTGTTCAGTTTGACAAAGTCAGGTTTACTTGTTTGTGTCTCATGCAGCCCAGACAGCTTCCACAAGTTGTTTCATTGTGTGATAAAGAATAAATAGGTCCAAATGAAATATCTTTCAGCTGAAGTGCATATTTGCAATTTGTACTGTGACCTCCGGAATAGACCCTTGGTAACTGACTAGCCATTTGCTGCATGATGTTAGAGAAAAACTTGAGCCAGTGTTTGGATTGTTTTGGAAATACGACCGCAATTACCATCTTAAGCATCATTTTTTCCCCACCTGCATAATTGGGGGAGACATTCAAGGGATAGTTGTGAAAGATTCAGAAATTTTCCAGATGCATCACCAGATGGTGTTGTAAGAGTAGGATTGATTTTGAGTCGGAAACCTACCTCAGATGAGTCTGAGCATTTTAAGATGACAAGAAGCAGTTTAAGATGATGAGATACAGTTGCTTAAATTAAAACCTACAAACATTGTGGTCCCTTATACTCAAGGTATATGAAGCTTGTACTAATTTCCTGAAATTTGGAAAATATGTATCCAGGTTGCCTTCTCAAGGCAATGTCATTCCATAATTGCAGTGCCACACCAGAGAAGGCCCTGCTTCAGGCAGCTATAGATATGACCGTACAGAATTGTAAAATTATTTATTTACTTATTTAAAACATTTTTACTGCCCTTCACTGAAAGTATGTCAGGGAACATATGCCTGTCGAAATAAAATAAAACAACATCAATAAAAGACAACTCTGAAATAAAAAAGAAATGGGGGCATTATATCTTAATACATCTTAAAATGTCTGCATAAATAATCATTTATAAGCTGGCATCTAAAAGCTTGTAAAGTAGACACCAGGCACACCTTATTAGACAGATATTCCAAAACTGGGGCACCACCACCAAAAAAACCCTTCATTGTAGATATAGTAGATTTGTTTATCTGTATCTAGTTATCAGGTTATCACAAGATAAAAGTATGAAAGTAACACAGCTAACCAATGAACTTACCTCAGACCCAAATAGTCGAAGGAAGTGATGGGCAACTTGGGCTTGTCAACTTGGGAAGGTAGCCTATCTAGAAGGAGAAGGAAAATTCTGCTGCCTTACGGGATAGCTTCAAGAGAAAACAGGGCCAAGGAGTAAATCCTACACAAATCCAGAGTGGAGTCCCTAAGACGGTTGGATGGTGCCTTGTATGCCTCCTCCTGGCAACTCCTGCAGCCAGGCTGGTGCCAGATGCATTGCTTTGCTTTCCTTTGGACCATATGAGTGACATCGAAAGGGAGGGTCCTGTTGCCTGGGCAGCTCAGGCCCTCCATACACAGCACAGGCCCTCCTTGTGCTCTGGGGAGGTCACTTCACCCCCAGAGGCACACTCCATTGTCTCTTGAGACAGAAGGATACCAACAAGAACAAATTATTATTATTATTATTATTATTATTATTATTATTATTATTATTTTATACTGCCCTGCATCTGAAAATCAGGGGGCAGTTCACAACATAAAAATACAAAATAACATAAATTACATAATAAAACAGAAACAAACCGATAAACCCCCTCCCTCAAACACATTTAAAAGACCATAGAATGTTAATCAGCCCAAGGCCTGGTTATAGAGAAGGGAGCCACACCAATCTGCAGCTCTGGGTAAAAAGAAAAAAGGAAGATAAGTGAAATTAAGTTGCTTCTTAGAGTTGTGTGTTGAAAAAATTCACAGGCTTGGTTGCTCATTTTTGTAGAAGTCTGGAGAGATGATGAATTGTGCCCACTCCCTTACAGAAGAGGGCTTGCAATCATGTTTACCCTAACACTCAGCTGCTTTCCTCTGATCAAAAGAGATATTTGCCCTCTGTCCCTTTTTGGGGGAGGCTGGTAGAGAATACTTTGTACATATGTATTATTAAATGTAGAGCCTAAGAAGTTTACACACCTTCTTGGCATATGAAATGTTCAGTGCAGTGCTGTATGTTTTCTGGCAGCCTTTAAGCATAGTTTGGAAAACATTACTCCCATAAAATGTGTTAAGCGCTTAGAAAAGGCAAGCAACTCTGCAAAACCTGATACGAAAGGGACTATAGAAACAAGTTGCTGTCATGAAGCTGTGTTGTTTATTTCACCATGGAAAAAGAGAGCTTTTCATATTGTTAGATCATTGAGGGAATTGTGTGACTTTTGTGAGGAAACTAAGAAACCCTTTATACCTTGAAAATATGTAAAGAACTCAAGTCTCCATTAAGAAATGGGCTTCATCATTAAACTCTAGTTACTAAAATTATGATTAATTTACTCTGGAGCTACTTTATTTTATCTGGACTGTTCTGGAGCCCAAAAATGATCAAAGGGTTGGAGCAACTTGCCTGAGGAGAAAAGTTACAACATTTGGGCTTACTGTTGAAAAGGCAAGGAAAGAGGGCACCATGATAGAGGTGTATAAAATTATGCATTGAGTTGATAGGCTTCTCTCATACTACTGGAAATTGGGGCCATCCAACGAAGCTGAATGTTGGAAGATTCAGACAAAAGAATACTTCTTTACACATAGTTACATGGAATTCTCTCCCACAAAATGTAATGATGGTACCTGGTGTGGATGTCTTTAAACAGATTAGACACATTCATATAAGGCTATCAGGGGCTGCTAGCCATGCTTGGCCATGCTCTGTTGGAAACAGAATGTACTCAGGTCTCACTTGTTGGCTTCATCCAGTAGGCATCTGGTTGGCCACTGAAAAATCCTGCCTGATCCAGCAGTGATGGCTTGTTACTAGAACAGAAAAATTTTTACTTGCTTAGTCTATAAGTTAACATTAAACAAACATACCAACCATACTTGCTTTTATTTCAGTGTACATTCTCAAAAGGTGCATCAAGTAGTAAGTTTTAGAAATCAGAGTACTTTGTTCTGTCTTTGGCCAGTCATGCTGTCATTTTGATGCCAAAATAAGTTATTTAGGAATATGAATCACAAAGTTAGGGGCCTGCATGTAAGATCTGGCATCTGATCTGAGCGCACATGTGAACAAAGCACATGTTTATAAAAACAAAGCCATAAACAGTAGGCAATTGTGGCTATATCTTAAATGTGTAAGCACTGCACAGTTGACAAACACAATCTCACCATAAGTATGGCACTGCAGTTTAAATTTTCTACATAAAATTAAGTTTAGTTTTACCATGGAAGAATGTTATATGAAATCCACTATTGTATCTTAATAATTATAATTTCAAGTACTAAAACTTTGAAATGCGGACAAAATGCCTATCCCATCCTTGGAGACGTTAAGACTGCAGTAGTTTTAACTCAGTGCAACTTCTGAATAAGCACTCTTAGGACTGCACTGCAGCAGTGCCTGAAATATTTTTAAACGGTATTTAAGAAATACTTGATACATATAAGAGCAGTTATTACAATCCTACCCACTGAAGGCCATTATAATACAAGTATTGTACAGTATATCATCTACTGAGTGCATTAAGGATTCCCAGACACAAGCATTCCCCCCATAAACTACAGTTGAGAAAGACATGTAATTAAACGAGAATATTTAAATTTCAATGGTTCCATCCATTAAAATAAGTGGGAGCTTCCCCTCTGACGTCAGTGGGATGTGAATTGCATCCTAAGGCTAGAATCCTAAGCACACTTACTTAAGAGCAAGCTCCGCCAAACAGAGTGGGGACTTTCTTCTGAGTAATCATGTACAGGATTGTGCTTTAAATGTTTACTAGTATAGTTTCAGTTCCTGTCCTATCACAACATGCAAAGTTAATCTCCAGACCCCACTAGAGGATCCTACAATGCATCAGCGAAGGCGGCTGTTGATCACCCAGGTCTTGTCTCAGTCTCTAATCTATGGTATTGCATGTCCTGGGCAGGCAAGCGTGGGCGTCGCAGCAGTGCAGGATCGCTAGACAGCAATATGGAAGTAAGTAGGAAGTTACTGATGTCTAGCTGGATGTGATGTGCATTTCAAACCTTTCTTTTATATACATTTTTTGCTCTTTTTCTTCTAACATACAACCTGCCTGCCTCAAATAAAAATGCATGCCAAGGCTACTCACTTCGTATTTTTAGATTTTTATTTATTTATTTTTTTAAGAAAACAGCAACACTACTACTACTTCTGGCTTGTTTTTAGATCAAGTACCATTTTTTTTAATTATTATTATTATTTCAGCTAACCTCGTCCCCTTCTGTTCCTGCAAGCATGGTTAAATGAATATGATGTGCCCTCTTGCCACCATTTCAGTCTGGTCCCTGCTTAAAGGCCCAGGGTTATTTGTTACACAGTACACCGTTGGTGCTGTTTAACTTAGCTACTGACGTCATGCTCAGCCATTCACATTGCTTATTTTTCGAGTTAAATTGCGAAATGTATGCAGTCGTGACACCATGGAATTGCATAGATAGGGCATGGGGAAAGAAAACAAATAAGACGGATGAATTCGATGTGGATTTCATGAGATTTCATTCATCTTCAAACCATTTATATACTGTTCATGTCTTTGAATTCAACCTGCAGATTTTTTTGTGTGTGTGTGCGCGTGCGCACGTGTGTGTGTGCGTATGTGTGTGTGATGTCTGTGTGTGTTTGAATTAGGTAGACTACAGTCTACATATAGCACACGATGCCTCACCATTGCTATGTCCCTATAGCTGTCCATAAAGAAAATAAAGTGTCCACAGACTAACTAGATAGTCAACGGCTAAATAGCAGGAAATATTGGGCCATAGGTCAGGAGATATGGGAACAAAGCACAAAACCTACCGATAAAGAGAAACAAGCATAGTCTCAGTCTAACACTATTAGTGATAGCTCACTTACTTTCTACATCTCAAAATAGAAGCAGTCTACTTTAAAGTTAATGTTAGAGGAAAACGCAGCACAAAATCTGAATGTTAACAGTGTGCTAATTATTTCAGTTTAATTCATTGTAACTGTAGACATGTATATATTTGTTCTTGAAGGGAGAAATAAATCACATGACTATAATATCTTAATAAGAAAAAATGTAGATTTAAAATCAGATCAAAAGGTTTTAATCACTGATTAGTGATTGCTTTTTATTGGTCAATATTTTCATTTTTTTAAAAAAGAAAAATCACTTCTTTCTATAATTGGGTCATATCTAGCATCACCTCACCTGTACCTTAAAGGAAGAAATTGGCAGAAAGACAGACAGACATCTCCTATAGGTCATAGACAGACAGACAGACATCTCCTCTAGGTCATACAGCAGTTTATCCCTATGAGCTTTCAAGGAAAACATGATGGTCGCTGTGAACTTTTTTCTTTTACACATATTTTAAGGTTTTTTTAATTTTTATTTCTATTAATTTCTTTTTAGGGGTCCATCATTAGCAGTCCTCATATGCGCCGAAGAGCTACATCAACCCGAGAGTGTCCATCTCGCCCTCACCACCAGACTATGCCTAATTCTTCCTCACTACTAGGGTCCTTATTTGGTAGTAAAAGGGGAAAGCCTTCCCAAGGCCACCTAGCAACTGGCCCGTCACAGCACCCACCTCACCCTCCTATACTTTCACATCAGCAGCATTCGCAGCACTCTTCTTCCGCCCTGCACCACGCGGGGCCAGCGGAGGGGCAGACCCAGGCACAAGTGCACACCCACCATTCTCAGTACTGCCACATGCAGAACCCGCCTCCCTACCATCACCACCACCACTACCACCCACCCCAGCATATCCAGCACCCACACCAGTACCACCACGTGCCGCACTCGCAGCATGTAGCGCATTCACAGCATTCTTACATACCGCATTCCCACTCGCAACATTCTCATGCCCCCCATCCTCCATTACCCGCTCCTCACCCCGTACACTCTTCCCACGCGCCACATCACCACGGCCAGCCGGTGCCCCCTTCTAGTTCAGCCAGCACTAAGCCCAAACATAGCGGCATCAGCACAATAGTCTAGAACCAAACTCCTCTGCCAGTAATTGTAGCTCTAGACAGGCACTTACAGGAAGCAGAAGCAGCCTATAAAACTGGAATGGTTTGTTTGTTTTTTTAATAATAATAAATAAATAAAAATGAAACACAAGCCAGAAACAACTTAATTGACTCCTTTGCCTTAAGGATTCAATAGAACAACTCACGTTAGCTTGATCAGTGCTGGTCTTACAACTGAACTCAGTAGTGATCTTCTCCCTCCTTTTCTCCAGTAGCCTTGAAAATATGCTGCTTGCTGAAAACATTTATGCTACCTTTCGTTTCACCCACCCCCCATGACAATTTTTAATGCATAATGAAAACATAACCTCAAAATAAAAGGAAAAAAATATGAAATAGAACCAAGTGTTGCATTCTTGCTCCTTAATTGTCAATGGGCAAAAAAAGTAGACCTCATATGGTTGATGAAAGTACGTAAGTAAACTTTATATAATATAAATATATAAATATATACATATATATATATATACTGTATAGTTAACATTTATGCTTACAACAAAACTTTTGCAGTCCACAAAGCTAGCAATATATACTTTACCAGGAATTCCATTTACTGATAGAAGGGCAGTACAGTAGTTGAACAGCGTAATGAAAGTGTAGACCAAAAAACTAGGAACAAATTCCAGGCATTTCAGTGTTCTCATTAAAAGTTCTCTGGACTTTAAAAAATATCTCTAAGCAATCATTGCAAAGTGTGCCAAGTAACATAGCATTTAGCTGTTGTAGTCAAATATTGCTTTGTACAAATCCTTATTTTATTAGCAAGATAATATACTTAATCAGTATTATAACTGTTCTACTATTTCAGGTAAGCAAACTAGTTAAGATGCAGTAACTATACAGTAGCAACATGAGACCCCCTTTGTTAAGGGCTGTCTCTACCTTTTGGTTACTCAGATTCTTAGACACTTTAAAGGCTGTGATAACTGTGAACTTACACAATCCATAGTTCTTTTATATTCATATATGTTTTAATAAACTCACATGAAGATTTAAATGGAAGGTACTTGCGTACATGGCATAAACATTCATCTCAGACCTTAAAACAAGAAGCATCCATCCCTTTCCAGACACATTGCCACTTTACCATAACTTAGTTTATCTCAGTTAAAATAGACTGCGGTTCAGGCTTGTCTTTCCATATGAAAGTGATCTGAAACTTGAAGGCTTATTTTAGTACAGATTTTTTATAACTGTAATTCCATGTAGCCATGTGCTGGCAGCAGGACTCTCTCACCATTTCTTCATCACATTTGTTAGTTTATCCCAGCACTCAGCAGGCTGAGTCTTTGCTCGAACTGTCATGGTCCAGTTAAGTCGCAAGACATCTCGTAAGAGCCAACTGTGCTGTTGTTGCTTATGTGTTGTAACGAGTCATTCGCAAATCCGTATGCGATTTTTTTGTACCCCCTAAATCCTATTTTTTTAAATTTAAAAAAAAAAGAAAGAAATCATACATGGAGAATACTTTGTAGTTTCAGCATTTTGAGCCACCCCAGTCACAAGGACTGTACATCTAACTGGCAGAAACAAAAGGAACTGCAGAACTACACCAGCAGAATTGTGAATGTGGTTTAAAAGAAGAGGAAGGAAAAGTTCCAGTGAGAGATGGGTAAAACAAAAAAACACAAAAACGGTGTTGCTTCGGAATGTAGAAGTGATACATGAAGATGACTCTTATGTATTGGTGATTCCCGATGTCTCCAGTTTGTTTTGTTTTTTCTCTCCCTCTCCTTTTTGCTATGGATTATATCATGATTACCAGCAAAACTAAAAACCAATTACTTCTGTTAACTTCCACTCAGCAAAAACAACCACCTAGAATTTAGTCTGCTGTTTAAATTTGTCTGTTATTTTCTACGCGTGCAATACTTCCTGTTTTGTTCCCCCCCCCCATAAATTAACTACATATGAAATCAAAGTAATAAAAGTCAATTTGATGGTCATCCAGGCAGATTACCGAAGAGGGTTCATCTCAGCAGCCCCCTGAGGCTCGTTGTTCCTTGCAGTTTAAGCATTGTTTGTCCTTATGAGGGATAATAGAACTGTCTGCATGTCATCTAATGTTAATAGTATTAAAGCTACACTCTACATATTGTATATTTGCAAAATATATCAGTGTTACTGTTTATATTAGTTGAAGTAAAGTAATGACATATTTAAATATGTAGACTTTTCTTCAGACCTTTGTACCAATAGTAGAGTCTAACTGTAATTTATAAGTTGTTCCAGAAAAGATAAGTAGCTGGTGGTATACTTTCCCCCCGTGTTGTCGCTCATTGCATATTCTGCATGAATCAGACTCAAAAACACATTCACTGGACAACCACGTTGCTTTGCATTTGACGGATTAATATTGGTCACACACAAAAGTACCTTAGTGTTGCCCATCTATTTATACAATTTGGATGCCCTAGGGAACCCCATGTAAGGTTTTAAACTCCCATACTGTTGCTTGTTTTAAGTTCACATACAAACATCCTTATATGATTCATATGAATTCCGTAAAATGAAGGTTATATATTATTATTTATTTTATTTTCTTGCCATATGCATATGGAACATATAAGTAGAGTGAATGTGTTAGAAACATGAAGTGCCTGAATCTCAACGTTCCATGAATACCGAAGGAGGTTCATTCCCCACCCCATAAGTATTTTCGATAAGAACATCCTGTAACCAGCATTACTTTTCAAAACTTCACTTATTTTTAGAGGAGCAGTCTAAGGTGCCAGAATCCCTTTTATAGACCAAGAGTACAGAACCGTTTCTCTTAGATTGGGAAAATGACAGCAATCATCATTAGCTTCTATGTGCAGTTAGAGGAAATAAATTTTATAGCATGCAGCAGGGGGAAAGCAGTTACCGGAAAGCTTTTCTTAGTTTTTCCATATTGATTAAAATCCATACAAAACACTATTGAACCATGTGTCTTTCTTCCCATGAATAGTATGGCTAGGTAAAAGCAACAATTTGAAGTTAAAAGAAAAACTAAATAACCTTGCAAAAATATCTTTTCTGGGACAACGTAAAAAATGTATTTGTTTTAATCCTTTTAAGTTAAGAATGAAATGTACAACAATGTAAAAAAAAGTAATCCTAATATAATGTACGTCTTGTATTGCTAAAAAGAAGTCTTCAAGCATAACATTGTAGAATGATTTTCCCATCAAGCACTGCATGCAGCAGAAGCCTCTTGTTTCTTGATTTTAAAATGAGCTGGAAGACAGTCAGCAGCTATTTAAACAATGACTCTCTACATGTTGACTTGCTGTTCCATATAAAGCTGTGTGTTTACTGCAGTTAAGCATGCATTTTGCTGTTTCCGTTGTAAAATATCATCACATCTTGCCTGCAAAAATGAGTAATTGTGTATATAGTTAAAGAAAAAAACTTGACCAATAATAAGATAAAATTTTGAGGGAGGGAAAGGATAGCGAAGCAGGACCAAGTAGGGAGAATAGCTAATTCTCTAAATTGTACATAGTGTGTAAATTAGTATTAATATAAGTCTGCAGTCACTTTCAGGTTGCATACAGTACCTGTCTCCTGCTAGGAACTTTAATCCCAGCCTTGCGTTGTATTAAACTGTTGGAATTAGGTCTTGAATGCAGACTGTTAAAAGACCTCAAGAAACATCATGCTCATGAAAAGCTTCTGTTATGGGAGGCTTCAGACCATTTTGTAACTGTTGGGAAGGAAGGAGTGCTTTCATTTTAATATGCATTGTTTGTAAGTAGTATCAGACCTTATCGTTGTAAAACTATAACTGTGATTATGTGGGAAATCAAATAAATCACTTTGAACTCACTCAGTTTCTCATCCTTTGTAGAACTGCAAGCACTTATATTTTTCATATTAAATGAATAAAATTACTATGCCACTTCAGTTCTTGGAAATCTCATTTTGTGTTGTTTAAAACAAAAACAAAAAAAAACCACTGCAGTATCGCATGCAAAAGGTAGAAACAAATAGCCCTGTTTTGTACAGGCGAGACATTGGGCTCAAATTGGGACTGTTTATGTCTCAGCTAGAGAGGACAGACAAATCAATGGTTTCCTATGGGGCGGCTAACCTGTGACCTCTAGCCATTGTTGGATCGCCTTCTGCTGCAATCGGCATGGCTGATGATCAGGGATGATATATCAGCCATGTTGCCTGGGGCAGATGGGAGTCTCGAAGGTCACAGGCTAGCCGCCTCTCATTTAGAATGTAGTCTTACACAATCCATAGGATACAAGCGGTAAAACAAAAAATATACTCCAGGTAAGAAACTTGTGGCCCTCCCAGTGCTGTTGGGCTCCAATGAGCCCCAGCCACTGTGGCCAAAGATCAGGGATGATGGGAGTTTTTTAGTCCAACCACACCTGAAAGGCCACGGGTTCCTTACCCTAAGTTTAAGGAGTTGGCTTGTACAACAAACCTTATCAAATGTTGACAGGGACATGTCATTACTGGAGAAGGGAGGGGAAATTATTGTTTCAGGTAACCTGGTCCAGAGTTGTTTTGGGCTTTTACACACAAGTAACAAGACCTTAAAGCTGACTTGGCTAACAGCAGCTTGTGCAGATCCCTCAGCACTTTGGCTACAGCATTCTGCACTAGTTGCAGCATCCAGACCAGACATAAGGGAAGCCCCACACAGAATGCATGGCAGTAGTCAAAACTACTCCCCGCCCACGCGACAGTACTTCTGTTTTGTTCAGATGAAGCCTCTGCTTATTCTGCTCCATCCAAATCTACACCATCCTTAGCCAACCATTATCTCTGATTTAAGACAACCTTTTGGTGCAAAAGTCCTGTCCCCTAGAAACCAATTTCTGTACACGCAGTATTGGAGCACGTTTGGCATTGTATTTCCTCATTATATAGCAAGTAAGTTAACAGAATACAAATGCCAGATCAAAACCAGGTCTGCCATTGTGTTAACAGCATGAAGCTTCCTAATGAGTGTGAGCTTAAATTGTAAGGAAACACTCCTCTGGCCTCTCACTGCTGTAATAAAACAACAAACACTGACTAAAATTAATTGAGCCTTGGAGTGTAAATTGCAGGAAATTAAGTAAGATGCTTGGAAAGGAAAACAATGTACATTCCTGACTTTGCTGAGAATATAAACACAACAGTCCAGGTATCAGACTGCGTTAAAATGAATAAGGCAATTACATAATAAAAACCCCACTTCAATAAAAACCCCATTTGTTTCCATTTCTGTAGGGATAGCCATGCTGGTCTGATTGAGGAAAAAGAACTGATGAAGTGGACTGTGGTCCACAAAAACTTACTCCATCATAAATCTGTTAGTACAGTGGTACCTCAGGTTACAGACGCTTCAGGTTACAGACTCCGCTAATCCAGAAATAGTACCTTGGGTTAAGAACTTTGCTTCAGGATGAGAACAGAAATGGCGGTGCAGCAGGAGGCCCCATTAGCTAAAGTGGTACCTCAGGTTAAGAACAGTTTCAGGTTAAGAACAGATCTCCAGAACGAATTATGTTCTTAACCCGAGGTACCACTGTACTGTATTAAAGGTGCCAGAAGACACTTAGTAGTTTTAATTTGCTTCAGTGGGTTCTGTTTGTGCATATCAGAGCATCTTCACAACTTAAATTATTCCATGACCATGTACATTCTGCATGGAATTATGGATTGAAGACACTGAAAATATTGATCTTGCTTAGAACAAAACTGCATTGTTGGATGGTGATAATAAATTATTATTTATATGCCACCCATCTGACTGTGTTTCCCCAGCCACTCTTGGCGGCTTCCAACAAATTATAAAACCACAGTAACACATCACACATTAAAAACTTCCCTATCCAGGGCTGCCTTCAGATGTCTTCTATAAGTCAGTTGTTCATTTCCTTGACAATTGACAGGAGTGTTCCACATGGTGTATACGACTACCAAGATTGTTTAAGAAGATACTGAGGAAGACAAAGAACCTCTGCAAACCAATGCGTACATTCATGCATATGTAAGCATTCACACACAACCAGAAGAGAATCTTGAGAGGAAAACAACACCTCCAAAGAGGAGGCTAGGAAGTCTTCAAAACACCCAGTGAAAGCCACCAAGCCTTTTATTGCTGACAACGATGGTGAGACAAGCTATCAATAAATCTGTCTAGTACATTCAGATTCTTATAGTAAACTTTTCTGGTTTTCCACTTGTTTTAAAATGTTTTTAGCTGTTAACGTTAATGCTTGTTTTACCTCCATTGTGTCATTGTTTCATAATTGGTTTTAGAGTTTGTTATGTAAGTTATATGGATTGGACTTTGCATTTTCAATGTTTACACAAACCACTGTGAACCTAGTTATAAGGGTGTTATACAAAACTAAACCTGCCATAGATTTAGAGCTAGATATAAATGCTGTAAGTTTACTCCTGTTAATGCCATTATTTCGTTGAAGGAAGCCATGAGCTTTAAATGTATGCCATGGGTGTGACCATAGGCATGTGACTTCCCCCAATGAATCCTTTATGGAACTACAATTCCCAGAACCCTTAACAAACTATAGATCCCAGGATTCTTTGGGGGAAACCATGTGCTTGAAATATATGGTGTGGATCTCTCTATCTCTAAAGGCTGGACCAGAACTGGCAGGATTCCTCACATTACACTTCCATCCCAGAGTCGTAGGAAACAGGTCACTTAAGTCAGGAGGCAGTCTCCAGGAAAATAATGCAGTAATTATTTGTAGAGGATGAACTGGAGTGGTTGTATTATTGCATATTTTCTCCTTCACCTTGTGTGTGTCTGTTTTGAATTTGAACCGCTGAACAAATATTGCATGAAGTGTCTCAAATAATTGTTCCAGCCTTTCAAAGGTTGTGCTAAGCTCTGTCTGGAGCAGCAAGATAATTGCATTGTTGTAACACTTGAACTATTTAATTTAACTTATAGTAACAAGCACTCATTATCTTGCTGGAAAAGCTTTGCATTTTGTAAATACACAGTGCGCTTTTTGAACCGAAAAAAATGTCATCGTGATATTTTAGAAGCTTTGAGCATTTTGTGAAACAACTTCATAGACTCAATTGGCTCTTCATCTGGAAAATATTAGTGTGTCTTATAATTACATCAATATCTTCAGAAACTGCAATGAAATCATTTCATTTCCTTTTCCTGTGAATGAGGCTGTATTTTTTCCAAGTTACGTTACAGCCACAGGAGACAAATATTAATTCAGCTTGCATTCCTACCCACTTTTTTTTTTAATTACATGTTCCTACAAATATTTTAAAATTATTTCCTTTTTCTCATACTCAACCAATGTGAGAGGCTGTGTGTGGGCGTAGAGCGAGAGGTGGTTCTTTGGTCATCATCCTACAAAGATGCTGGCAACCTATTTTTATTCCAAATCACAATGTTGGAGGGCACTGATGAAGTTGGCCCAGTCCTCCAAAGGGAAAAAAGTTCACCTTGACAACAGAGTGTTGTTGGACTTTTGTTGTTTAGTCGTGTCCAACTCTTCGTGACCCCATGGACCACAGCACGCCAGGCACTCCTGTCTTCCACTGCCTCCCGCAGTTTAATCAAACTCATGCTGGTAGCTTCGAGAACACTGTCCAACCATCTCGTCCTCTGTCGTCCCCTTCTCCTTGTGCCCTCAATCTTTCCCAACATCAGGGTCTTTTCCAGGGAGTCTTCTCTTCTCATGAGGTGGCCAAAGTATTGGAGCCTCAGCTTCACAATCTGTCCTTCCAGTGAGCACTCAGGGCTGATTTCCTTAAGAATGGATAGGTTTGATCTTCTTGCAGTCCATGGGACTCTCAACAGTCTCCTCCAGCACCATAGCTACAGAAATCTGCCATATAGGTACGTATCATTAAACACTGCATCAAGTTCCGCTCAACCTCTTCAAAAAGGTCGAGTAGTTTAACTTCTGTCACGGGTATTTTTAAGCACAACAATGCAGAGTTCAGAGCAAAGTCGGCATTTATTAACAACTCTTGTACCAACAAAGCCCTTTACCTCCCTCCTCTGCATCCTCCCATTTTCTCAGGGCATTAGGAGATCATGGCTGTACTTAAGGGCTTACTTACACTTCTTTCCCCTTTGTGGGGCAAAGGCAGGGAATTGTTCGGTACCATATAGCTATGCTAATAAAAAATAATTAGAAGAAGCCCGCAGCATGTTATGGGCACAATTGCACCCTCCTATGCAGATTCCCCAGTAACTGATAATTTAAATGCAGACTAAATACCAGTTTTGCACACAGGCTGGAAAAGGATACACACTCAGAAATAAGGCACCAAACATGTTTCTGTTTTGTAACAGGCATATGCACACATTTTAATCTTCACTGCACTTTCATGTTCATCTATCATGGGTAGGCAAACTAAGGTCCGCGGACCGGATCCGGCCCAATCGCCTTCTAAATCCGGCCTGTGGATGGTCCTGGAATCAGTGTGTTTTTACATGAGTAGAATGTGTCCTTTTATTTAAAATGCATCTCTGGGTTATTTGTGGGGCACAGGAATTTGTTCATTCCCCCCCCCAAAAAAATATAGTCTGGCCCCCCACAAGGTCTGAGGGACAGTGGACCAGCTCCCTGCTGAAAAAAATTGCTGACCCCTCTAAGTCATTTATAAAGATGTTTAACAACAATGGACCCAGGACAGAACCCTGCAGCGCCCTGCTTGTCACTTTTTTTCCAGGATGATAATTAACCATTAGTGAGCACTCTTTGGGTTCCGTCAGTCAACCAGCTACAAATCCACCTAAGCAGGCCTCATTTTACCACCTAGTACAGGGCGTAGCCAGTCCTTCAGATCCCAGCCTCTCAAAGCTGCTCAGGGTGGGCGGCATGAGAAGCACCCCAGCCTCGCAAAGGCAGGGCTGGGATCAAAGGGTTTGTGGATGTTGCATCCTCCTCATGTGCCCTCTCCAAGTTGCTTTGCAAGGAGTGTTTACATGGCGGGCCACGCAGGGTGAATGGAGCCCACTGCGCCAGTCTGTCACCCTGGAGCATTTTTCCATGCAAGGGACCTACTACTTGCTTGTTCCTCCTCTTGCTTCAAACATAGCCAAAGAAACCTTATTTATTATTTTTAACCTCTCTTCCAAGCTTGAGTTCATTCTTAGCTTTGGCCTGCCTTACCTTCTCCTTGCAGCTGTTGGCTACTCATGTATACTCTTCCTTTATCATTTCTCTTCTTCCATTTCTTATACAGGCCCTTCTTACATCTCTCACATTTTGTCATCAACACATAGATTCTTGCAGCAAAATACAATTACTGTGGATTAGGTCTGGCTCATTCTTAATTTATCTTGGTATTTCTCATTCTCCTTTTTATCTTATCATATATTTTTAAACTTTTCAGCCTATTAGATAAAATAAAGAAGTAGTTTCATAAATCATAGAAGACCTGAATGTGTGTGAAAGGGTGAAGAGACATATATTCAAAAGTTCAAAGGAGATTTGGGGAAAGATAACTGCCCAGGTAGGAAAAGTGATCAACGTTTTCCAACATTACACCATTAAGTTGGGTTTGTGGTGCTGCAGAGGGGTTGTTTTGTGCTTCTTGGTGAGGCACTTTGGTTTTTTGGATATTGAGCGATAAGCCAAGCTTTCTGTAAGCTTCTGTAAAGATATTTGGGGTGGTTTGGAGGTCGTCCTCTGCGTGTGCACACACTATGTTGTCATCAGCATACTGAAGCTCTATGATGGAAGTTATGGTAACTTTACTCTTTGCTTTCAGCCTACTCAGATTAAGAAGCTTTCCATCACTTTGATATATGATTTCTATCCCGGTGGAGAGTTTCCCTTCGGCAGTGTGTCGGATCATGGCAATGAAGATAATAGAATTGGGGCGATAACACATCCCTGTTTAACGCCTGGTCCCACTGTGAATGGTTCACTCTGAGAGCCGTGTAACGGGGGGCAGAGAGTAGGAATAAATGGGGCAGTTCTCAAAATGGAGAGGTGTGGGATCAGTATGGGGCCCCTGAGATTGTGAAGAACTCTGAAAGGACCTCTTGAAACGATTAATTAATGGGTAGCAAAATGGCAAATGCCCATTCAGTGTAAACAAGGGTGAAGTGATACTTATTGGGGCAAAATATATTAATTTCACATATACTGTATGTTCATGGAGTGTAGACTAGCAGGGAGTGTGACCAGGAATGAGAGGTCATGAATAGCTCCATGAATATGTCAACCCAGTGTGCAGCAGCTGGTAAAAAGGTGGATCAAAACTTAGTCAATAGGTTGAAAGAGATAGCACACGCCACCAGCAACTCATGGCTCTCTTTAAAAATAATAGAGAAGAATGCGCTCTATCCAGGGCCATAGCTAGGGGATGGCGAGGAAGGCCCCACCAGGGGCGCAGGCAGGGAGGGGGCACAAAATCTGCTAAAAATATTTCCATAAATAAAAATGTCAATTATTGCCTCATAAGAAAAGGTTTTAAATAGAGGGTTTTTATATGATATGTGGAGGCCCTGTTTTTCTGGTTTTTTTCTGTGCCACATTCCCTAGGGGGTGCAATCTGGACGGTTCTGCCAGGGGTGCAAGATCACCTAGCTATGGCTCTGGCTCCATCACAACTATTCAAAATCCAACATATGAACCCATTTCATTGAACATGCACACATGGAATACGGAGGAGGGGGGGCAATGGGAATTTACATTAATATTTTTACATTCTTGTACTTCTGTACTCTGCACTGGAAGACCAGAAAAGAACTCTTCCATTTTCTTTTATCTCATGTGGAAAAATATTACGTTATTGAGAGTCGTATACTGTAGTTTGGCCAACAACAACTGATTAAGTCTTGATTAGTTGCTTATTATTAAAGTTCAGGAAATCATGAAGGCATCGATCGATCCGGTGCACCCTCGCTTTTGCACAAAGCCGCACTGAAGGCAGCAGCGCTTACAAGCGTCAGACGCGTGTCCATGGACGCATAAGTGGCTGCTCCTTGGAAATAAGGAAGAAATCCAGGATTTTATTTCGGGAAGCAACGTGCACACCCAAACCCAAAAGGGGGCAACATGGTCACGTGCGAAAATTCAGATTTTTTTTTTCGAAAATGCGCTCTGCCAATGTAAATATAGTCCATTTGTACCCCACTCCCCGCCTCCCCACGTTGCTGGTTGGAGGGATACTGGCAGAGAAAGAAAGGTTTAGGGCAATCTTCCAATGTGAGTCCCTTATTATTGTAGGAATGTGGCTCTCAGTCCCAAGTTCCCCATGCAAGCATTGACTGGTTTTCCAACGCGCAGTGCGTTTCGAAGTTTTTTAAACATTTAAAAACATATATGTTATTTGGCATAGAAAACATTTGTTGCTTTTTATTTTTATTCCCCTCCCCCCCCAAAAAGTAGCAAACATTTTCCACGCCATATAGCATAGTAAGAAGTGGCGCTCCTGTCTTTTGTTTGCGTTGGACTACTCTTAAAATCCTGGATTTGCCCACCTTTTCCTGTGGGCTATGGGCTTTTTCGCTGTTTCCATTTCTTCAACGGAGCAAAAAAAAAAAAAAGTTAACCCGCAAAGTGTGCCCTGTGTATGAGTCTGATCAGAAGTCTATGGATAAACTACGCGACAAAAAAAAAAAAAAGTTGGGCGGCGGGGCGGGGCCGCGTGAGAAACGAGCCGGTTGCTCTGGCAATTGCGTCATCGGCGCGCGACGAGGCAGTGGCCGCGGAGAGACATGAGCGGGCTGGGCGTCCTTTTCCGTGCGGCTCGCGCCGCTCTCCCCGCCGGGGTCCGGCAGCTCCGTACCGGCCTCCCTCGGCCTGCATTCGCCAAAGAGCTTTTCCTGGGGACGCTGCGAAAGGTGAGTCCCGTAGCTGCCGCAGCCCGCAGCGCCTCCGAGGCTCCTGCGTGTTTTCTCACAGACTCGGGAGCCTCCCACCCCAGGCACCCTCTCCCCGAAAGCCAGTGGGCGCCTGGCATCTTTCCTCCCCTGCCGCCCTCTCTGAGGCTGCCAAGAACTGCTGCAGCTGCTGCTGCTTTTCTCTTGGAAAATGCACACTTTCCCCGCCGCCCCACACGCACTGCACCCTCTGGAAATCGCAGCCTGGACTTCAGCATGGCATGTATTTCAGTACAAAAACTTGCTACTTCAAAGGTTGGGAAAGTTTGACGGGAAGTTCCCTTTCCATTAAGGCTTTGCACTTTCTCCGTTTGTTGATGCTTCCCCCACCCCCCAATAAACCTGATTATTCTTAAGCGGGGCTGTAAGCGATCATTGACAGCATCCTCATGTTCGATAGGAGAGCTGGGGGTTTTTTGTGTATGCTTGGTGGGAAGGTTTGGGGTAGGTTATGCTCTGTTAAGCTTTTTTTTTTTTTAAAAAAAAAGTCTGAACAGAAAATGCATTTTCTACCCTTATGATTTGTAGCACCCATTCTGCACGACAGCTTCTTAAAGTTGTGGGTAAGTATTTCTCTCCCACACCCCTTTAATTGGACTACAGTATTTTATCATGCGAGACAATACTCTTTTTGAGGTTTTAGGCAGCTAGTGTATGGAACCAGCAAATTCTTTTTGGAGCTGCCTGAAGTGGGGGGGGGGGGAGAGACTTCTGGTAACCACAGTTGGTGGGATCAGTCTAAAGAACTTCTAACCAAATTCATTTCACTTCAGCCAGCAAACCCAACTACGTAAAGCTAAATAAAAATCTCGGAGCTCCTAGAACATCCTTGGGATTTGGAAGATACATTTCATATAATTAGGTAGCCATAATTACTACTATATCTTGGAGCCTCATAACTGAAAGTGAATACATTACACTGCAAATCAAAATGTATAGAGCATATTCTGCCATATCAATGCTAAGTAATGATTTGGATATTTTTTCTGGATGTAAAGAGCAAATTCAGAGTGCCTTTTCTTAGCAGTGTTTATGGTTTCTATATTTTTGGCAACCACAGCTGTCATCCTGAACTTACCTTTAAGCAATATCCATTGACTCCATGGACTTCCAAAACAAACCTGTTTAGCATTGCAGTAAAGGTATGTTTAAAAGCTTAATGGAGAATTGTGATGCCATTAGAGTGTTGTGTTCACCTTGTTCAGCAGTTTTCCAGCTGGGAAGAGAACAGGTCTTTCTGGATTCCAAAAAAGTGTCTGTATTCATACTACAGCTAAGGTCCTTGTTCCAGCATGGGGGAAAGGGAGGCAGGATTTCCTCTTCCTTCACAGCTGCCTGCACAGAACTCCCAAGCACTTCAAATTCCCCAAATTTGGAAGACACAAGAACAGTTCATATGGAAACTTGTGGGAAGGGGATAATGCACACAACCACTTTTTAAGATGCTGTGGAGGCGAATTCCAAAATTGCGTTTGAGTGCTGGTGTTCACTGACCTGTCAAAGTTCTGGGGGTTGAGCATCACAGAAGGAGAAACTGAAGAAAACTCAAATGCACTTCTGAATTGTTGACATAAAGGCCCATAAGTGACCATTCTCCTAATTAAAATGTATGTGTAATGTCTGCAAAGGTTAACTGCCATCTGTCCCCATAAGGAGCAATGTTAAGTCCAGTTTTTGAGGCTTCTCTCTTTTTAACTTGTTTTAATATAAAAAGAAAAATCCTGTCAAAATCTGTTATTCTAGGAAGACGTTTTCCCATTTCCTGAGATTAGCAATGAAGAATTGGAAGAAATCAACCAATTTGTGGGGCCGGTAGAAAAATTCTTCAATGAAGATGGTAAACTCCTCCCCGCTTCATTAAGTCTTTATCTGTTGAGGTTTTTCTTATAGTGCTAACAAAAAAGCACTGAGAAATACATGGTGTTGCTTACCCATATATACTTTCCACATACGAGGAAATCAGCATGTATTTTGAAACAGAGATATTGTACTACTGATTTAAACAGCTACCAAGTATCTTATTTTAAAATATTTTCTTGTCCACTGCTGTGTTGTTGAGAATTCTCTGGCTGTAATGGAGGGAGATTATGCACTGCATTATCTTGATGTGATACAGCTGGTTGTGAAAATAATTTGAAAAACCTGCTCAAATTGGGTGGTCTGGCAAAAGTGATCTCTCAGCTTTGTTGTTGGATATATAGCTAGCCCCTCTCTCTCAGTGGACGAGCAGAAAAAACTGACCTGTGGGAAGCTTAAGTTCTTGCAAGAAAAAAATAATAGACAGTATGCCTTAAACGTCTCATTTGTGGTTGTTGGTATTCACACTGATCTAACTCCATAAATAAGCTTTCACTAAATGAGCTGGCCACACCTGAACTTTCTGTAATTCATTATATAAAATTACTGCATTTCAGTGGATTCTAAGAAAATTGACCAAGATGCTAAAATTCCACAAGAAACGCTTAATGAACTGAAGAACCTGGGGCTCTTTGGCATGCAGATTCCGGAGGAATATGGTGAGAAAAAATGTACAGAAAATTGAGACTTTGCTCCTTGTTCTTTTAATATGAGAGAACCCTTGAAAATTTTCTTCTGCTTGCTTTATTAGTGTTACTGGACTTGATACATTATAAGACACACACTCATCCTCTGCACGTTAAAGCAGGGCAGTACCTGGATGGCTGAACCTCCTGGTATCTTTTCTCTTCCTTCTTGAAGCATTATAAAATTCATAATAAAGCCAACCCTAATTTATTTCTGTGATGGCATGATTTCCTTGCACACTCAAACATGTTATATAAGCATGTTCTAGCAAAGGTATTGCATTACCAACCTTGTTTTTTTAAGATTTATTTTTTCAAAACAAATCATGAATCCTATATGTTGCAAATCTCTGAATGCTATTACTGTGTAGTAAAGTATTTTCATTTGAAGAAAACAGTGTTGTTTTTTGCCTTTAGTTAATCATCATAGGCTCTTCTATTTGCTCTTTCTTCTTGCATAATGAAGCAGTGGCTGATAACTTAAGCAGCTGATTGCAGGATGTGGGGCTGGCATCCCCTCAGAAGATTCATGAAATGCATAGTCATAAACACAGTTGGTCTGCGCTGCTGCTATAGAATGAGAGTGAGTCTTATAAGTACTTTAACAAAACACAACAGAGCAACATTTTGACAAAAGCTGACCATGGTGTTTCTCTGTTGTGACCTTTGCAAGAAATGTGATTCAGTACATTTTATAAATAAATGCTATAGGAAACTCTAACCAGGGATCAGTCCCTTGACTTTTCCTTTATATTTATAAACACCCGGTTTTCTAGTTCAAAGCAGCCAAAGCTGTTATACCTGTGTACACCTGGCAGTGTAAGTTAAAGCTGTATACACCTTGCTATTTCAGTGTTGTGCTTTTATGAACAATCATCAGTTGCTGAAGGCTACTCTGATGCTGACTGGTAGCCCATGCTGGCAACAAGTTTGATATTGTTGCATGTCACCCCGATCGCTGAGCAGTGTGAGATTCCAGGGGTCCGTGTTTCCTTTTGGAAATGAGTCACAGCGGAGACTGTAGTGTTTTTATGATATATGGTTTATTTACACAGATATACAACCTGAGCCTGCAATGGAGGGGTTCACAGCATTAACACCCCAAAAGGGTCTTGTTTCTCCCATAGCCACAGCCTTAGATTCGAGCAGAGATCCAGCATCTCTCTCTCTCTCTGTCTCTCTCTCTCCTTGCCACTTTGATTCACATCACTGCCCACTCAGTTCTCAGCCCTGAGTTGTTGTTGTTGTTGTTTTTGAGGAGGGAGCTCCACCCAATTGCCATCTTGCACAAATGCCCTTAATCCCTCATGACATCACCAGGAACCTTGTTTGGCTATATCCTGAAATTAGAAGCCTTGAATAGCTTTTAACAGTTGCTGGGGTCAGAGATTAGGGAAGTCCGGCACACAGCTTAACACCACAAACTCATAACAATAGGCTCCAAGTCAGAAAAGTGCTTTTTATATGGGAAAGTTGCAGTTTCCAACCAGCCCTTCCCAGAACTTTTCCCCAAACATTTCCCCCCAAAATTCTAATACTTAAACTAATAAAGGTAAAGGTACCCCTGCCCGTACGGGCCAGTCTTGACAGACTCTAGGGTTGTGCGCCCATCTCACTTAAGAGGCCGGGGGCCAGCACTGTCCGCAGACACTTCCGGGTCACGTGGCCAGCGTGACAAGCTGCAGCTGGCGAGCCAGCGCAGCACACGGAAACGCCGTTTACCTTCCCGCTATAAAGCGGTACCTATTTATCTACTTGCACCCGGAGGTGCTTTCGAACTGCTAGGTGGGCAGGAGCTGGGACCGAAAGACGGGAGCTCACCCCGCTGCGGGGATTCGAACCGCCAACCATGCGATCGGCAAGTCCTAGGCGCTGAGGTTTTACCCACAGCGCCACCCGCGTCCCACTTAAACTAATAGATATTAAGAATTTCAGGGAGCTTTGGAGAAAGGGCTGTAGTTCAGTGGTAGAGCAGGTGCTTTGCATGCAGAAGAATCTAGGTTCATTCTCCAGCATCTCCAGTAGAAACGCCTGCCTGAAACCCTGGAGGGTCACTGCCAGTCAGTGACGACAGTACTGATCTAGATGGACTATTTGTTACAAGAAAAGTGTTTAAGTAAAATATTGTTTGGTTTGACTAAAAATATTTTTCTATAGGTGGCCTTGGTCTTTCGAATACAATGTATGCTCGTTTAGGAGAAATTACTTCTCAGGATGGAGCTATTGCAGTAACCTTGGCAGCTCACCAAGCTATAGGACTGAAGGTAACATTGCCTTTATTATTGGATTTTGATCCTAAGGCACTGCAGTTTTGACATTTCATTGCTAATTGGGCATTTCCCCCCAGCATGTACAAATAATGTCTCTCCTGTCACGGCAGGGAGACGATGAAGAAATACAAAATAAGATTTATGGCTAAGATACCTTTAAGCGAAACATTTGTGAAGGATGAGTAATAAAGAACAGGATTGTTAGTTCAATTTTAGAACCATTCAGAGGAGTTTGTGTAAATATATGCTGGAGCTGAAAGTTGTGGAACTACAACAAAAGTAAATAGATAGGCTCAGTTCTGTTGGACTACATTTAAGATGAGATATCTGAAAAATGGATTAACTGTTCTAGCTATTTGGGAAATTCAAATTTCTGTTAGTGTGAATTTGGTTGTGATTAATAAGTCTGGCTAAATAGTGGTCTAAAACATCTATGACCTTCTTTGTGGCCAGCCATGGATGGCCCATCCCCCTCTTACCAAAACTGGTCCCATGCTAACAATTCTGATGGCTAGTCCTCCTCATGTATCTTCCTCCCCATATAAGTTGCATTTGCTGCAGCCCACCAAAAAGCTGCAGGGGAGACTGACTTTCCAGCACCAGTCAATGGGGAAATGTGTGATGGGATTGCAAAGATCTCATTGTGCACCTCCCCACTTCTGTCTCTAGTGGGGCAAGGAGGGATAGTGTGCAGCCCACCATCAGATGTGGTCTTCAGGGCCAAAAAGTTCATATACCCCTGTTTTAAACAAATAAACGGCTTGGTTTCAAGAATTAATTAGCAGTCTGCTTGTGTATGTGTGTGTAGAGCCAGTGTGGTGTAGTGGTTAAGTGCAGTTGACTCGTAATCTGGTGAACTGGGTTTGATTCCCTTCTCCACATGCAGCTGCTGGGTGACCTTGGGCTAGTCACACTTCTTTGAAGTCTCTCAGCCTCACTCACCTTACAGAGTGTTTGTTGTGGGGGAGGAAGGGAAAAGAAGATTGTTAGCCACTTTAAGACTCCTTAGAGTAGTGATAAAGGGGGATATCAAATCCAAGCTGCTCTTCTTCTTCTTATGACAGGGAATCCTAATTGCAGGCACTGAAGAACAGAAGAAAAAGTATCTGCCTAAACTGGCTTCAGGGGAGCACATTGCAGCATTTTGTCTGACTGAACCTGGAAGGTAGTATTTTTGCCTTTTTAAAAATGAAAATACTTTAAGAGATGGTGCCGTGAAGCCACTGAGAAATTGAATTAGGAATTGGCAAAACTCTGGTTTAGAATTTCTCTCTCCTTCTGCCATAAATTTACATGATGGCTGTCAAGCCATTCTTGGCTCATGATCTTCATTATGGGATTAACACTGACTTGCTTTACAGGATTCTTGTAAGGATTACAGCAAAAAAAGTGTGTCTGAAGTTGTGAAAGGTCTGAAGCACTATATAAATGCTAAGTGTTACTTGAAACAAGATCTGTTTTCGCTTTGTACTGTCATATACCAGCTTGCTTAACTTAATTACATTCGTGGAGCTTGACATCAAATGATACCCAACTGTTGCCCTGTGCAGCTGTTGTTTCCAGAGGCAATTTAACAGTGTTTAGGAAGTCGGAATGATGGGAATATTTCTATTTTTCAGGTGTAAGGACTACAGAGTCTTGCTCAGTGCACCTGCTAAATTCCCATTTCATCTGTTTATATTTCAGTGGTAGTGATGCTGCATCCATCCAGAGCAGAGCTACTTTGAGCGAAGATGGAAAAAGTTTCATATTAAATGGTTCAAAGGTATTCATCCAAAGAAATTACTGCTTTTATGTTTTCTGTGTATCGGCTTTGCCAACTATCTTCTTCGTTTCCCTGCCTTATTTACTTGTGTGCAAAGTGAAAGTTAGCTGAACAAGATTCATAGGCAATGAAAACTGGCCTGGTTGCGATAATAATTGGATTGCCTTGAACCGTAAGTTAACCTGAAGTCTTTTTTTTCCAGCTCTGTGTTGAACCTTAGCTGACAATTCCCAAGTGGAAAGATCCAAAATCAAAGGATATGTCTTAAAATGGACAGTAATATTTGTCAAGAAAAGGGTGGCTGTGTCAGCCGATTCTACTTCATGAAATCAGTATCATTTCTTTCAAAGCAGAGCAAACAATACTCATTTCTTTTTTCAATTGCAGATATGGATATCAAATGGTGGTATTGCAGATATCTTTACTGTGTTCGCAAGGACTGAGATCGTTGACAAAGATGGTGCAGTAAAAGACAAAATCACTGCCTTCATTGTAGAAAGAGCTTTCGGTGGAGTCACTCATGGAAAGCCAGAGGATAAACTAGGCATTCGAGGATCTAACAGTAAGAACTAGTAAATGTTGGTTTGGAAAGATGTAGGATTCATATTCCTCTTGGATCAAGAGGAATCCAGATTTTTATATCATCTGCATTATCTTAAGTATCTGGGATAAGCTACATTTTAGTTGTTGACCAGATAAAATGTATGTTTACTGATCATTAAGTATTTGTGGGCGTGGATCTTATGTTGATGCCACTTTGTATATCAAAGATGACGTGGGTTCCAAGAAGTTAGAAATCCTCAAATGGACAGGCTCCTCCATGTGGGTAGTAGCACCAGACCCCAAGAGGCATTTGGAAATCAGGGACAGACTGTCCCAAAATGCCTCGGGCAGTCTTGAGCTGAAAAACGAAATCAGGAGACATCCACAGGATGGGTGACTTAGATTTCCTTCACATAGGGTGCGTAAACATGTGTTACAACTGGTGGTGTGGAGCAGATTTTTTTCTGATGCAAACTGATAATTTTCCTTTGCAAATTTCCCTGTAGTCTAATTAGAATAGGATTCTCCCCTCAAGAAATTTTCCCATTCAGAATTTTTCAGAAAACCAACATCACTGATAACAACAAAGAGGCAAAATATCTTGACATGCTAAATGATTGTTCTAGAACAGTGGGTCATGGAATTGGCTAGAGGGGAGGAAACCCTAGACTTCTAAAATAGTGCAATAGTAGTTTAATGCCCTGTCTTTCAGCGTGTGAAGTCCATTTTGAAAATACAAAAATTCCTAAAGAGAATGTCATTGGAGAAGTTGGAGGGGGATTTAAGGTAAGATGCAGGGAATTACTATTTACCCTGCCATAAAATTCATTTTCTGTATCATTTTTCAAAATGTATTTTATTGATTTTCAGTTACAAATGAATTGGTTATAAAAAGAGAGAGAAAATATCAGCAATAATAACAACAGGTAGCAGTACAGAGCTATCACAAAAAAGGGGAAATATAACTGAAGCAATAAATAATGATAATAATTCACAGTACTGTAATAAATAATAATTCACAATAAAATAAATAATAATTCACAATTCACAGTACTGTATTGACTTCTGACCTAATTAATTTCTGCTGGAACAGATCAATGAACTGAAGCCAGTTGGAGGTGTTGTCAGGCTGTAATTCAACAGCTCTTTACTCTCCATTGTTTTTGGAGAAATTCTAATGTACAGTTATTAGGGTTATTTATTGTAGTTAAAGTTTACAGATCCAAAAAACCCCACAGTGTCCTTGAATTCCCCATGTTAGTTTTACAAGAGGGTTTGTTTATTCAGTTAGCCATGGACTGTTAATAAGGAATGGTGTTTATCCATGCATCAGGTTGAAGCTGTAAAGCTACGAAGAGAGACCTTGCCAGTAGCTTATTTCAGCTTTGTGGCACAGGCTTGCCAGAGCCTAAGCCTGTTTTGGAAGAATCAGGACTAAATTATCTTTGCATTTCAGCATTTCTCATGTTTTACCTGTTTTAAGTCGATGTCAAACGAAGGGCGATGCTCCAAGGTTAGGGCAGTGATTGCACAGGGAGGTATCCTTCTAAGATACCGTGATATGCTCTATATAGCAGGGGCAGACATCCAGCTAAAAGGCCAGAATTGATGTGGGCAGGGTCTCGAGTAAAGGTAAACTTCGTTTGTGGAGGAAAGACATTTTAATTACAGTTTCCCTGAACAAGGGTTACTTATATTCACTGTAGGTTGCTATGAATATTCTCAACAGCGGAAGATTTAGCATGGGCAGCGGAGCTGCTGGAATGCTGAAGAAACTGATTGGTAAGACTACACTTGCTGCCTTGCTGGGCAGGATGAATTTCTGCATTAGTTCTACTCCTGAAGAAGATACTTAGATTCTGTGCCGGCCATTTCATTTTTATAAACATTAGGTTCAGTTACTAAATCGTTTCTATAATGTTGCCTTGAGATACAATGAAAGCCTGTTGATCCACAGTATTTTCTTTTTTGTAGTAGATACTACATGCTGATTTTAGTGCCACCCCAAGTTCAGATCTCCCCACAGCCATGGAACTCGTTAGGGACCCCTTTGACCTCACTGGGTTGCTGAAGATAAAGTCAGTGTTGTGAGGGAAAAGCTTATGTATGCTGCTGAAAAAGCAATAAATGAAAGCGTGCAAATTTATGCTTGGTTATGTCACCTTTGTTACAACGTTCCAGGCCTTACTAGCCTGCAGAAAGTTTGACTTGCCTGCTTTTTATTCATGAAAGGACTCTGTTATAAATAAAATGCAGTTGAGTAAAATAAAAAATTAGAGTAGAAGGAAGGCCATTTCCACCATAGGACTTTATCCTCCTCCCCGCCCCCCTGCAACAGCTAGCAGCCTAAGAAGGCTCCCTTTTCCTCCTTTTGTTATTGCTGTGCCCAAGCCAGCTCTAGCACATCTCCCCAGGTGCTACTGGATCTGCCTTGGACAATGCTTGCAGAAAACCTGATTGATTGGGTTGGCAATTTAGGGATAGAGGGCTGCGATTGACTATCAGGTTCACTGTTCCTAAATGGTATCTATGGGGAGTAAGGACCTGTCAGATTTACAATCTGATTTACAATTTACAAGCAACTATGCTGTGTATATGTTGATGTTTCCATAAGTGAACGCTAAAATATGAAACTGATTAAAATTTGTAATCATGTGATAGGCACATACCAGGGGAAATGAATTGGCGGCTGCTTCCTGGTGTGTACCACTGTATGTTACAAAAACACATCTCTCCTTTGAATTTTGTAGTGCTTGTGGTGGCAAACACCAGTATATGTACATATTCACTTGCCATAGAATCTGTATCTGATTGATCTTTACTTCCCATAGGTGAATACTTAGGAATAGATTATACTCTCTTCCTGCCAAGGCAGGAGTCGGGAACAGGTCAGGAATAACTCACAAGGTGTCAGTGAAGTTAATTCAGGCCTAGTTAGCACAGAAACTCTTCCTGGTAGATCTTGCCCCAGTGAGGCAGTTGCAAGGACTGAAGATCCCTGCCTTCCCACAGCTCCCTAAGTCTCCTCCTCCTCTTCCAAGTCTTTCCTAAGCAACCTGAGACTTCTTCGCTTTGTCTGTCTTTGCTTTGCCCTCTTCATACCTCTGTGGGTTCTGGAAGATTGGGGGGCGGGCTGGTCACAGCAAGATGGGGAGACACCCTGGCTTCTTCAGCAGCCTATCTCAACTCTGCTTCTTGGCCAGCCTCTGGTCCTGCCTCTGATTATGGACTGCTCTCTGCCACAGCCTCTTCCTGCTCACTAAACATCTTCAGCTTCTGACACCTCCTTCTCCCAGTCTGTTCCCTCTGACCACTCATTGTTGTCCCACCACCAGTCCCCTGGCTCTAAGCCTTCTTCCCTTGGGATTCCCCAGTTGGTGCCTCCCATCAGTCCTGCATCCAGCCAATCCATGACACTTCCTACTTCTGAATATTCCTCCATTCCCTTAGAAGTGCATTATAAATGCTAACAGTGTAGCACAAGACAAAACTGACTGCAGCTTCAGAGCTGATGGTGTTTTACTCGACCCAAGGAAATGTTTTCGCCTAGTAGTAAGAGCTGCTACGCCAAGTACAGGATTACAAAATATCTCGATGATGGTGTAACACCACCAAGGGTAGATGGAATGGCTGTTATCGTTATCTGATGTAGTAGGACTTGTCCATTTTAATAATTAAAATAATGGTAAAGGGCCTTGTCCCATTCTGAAGATAAATATTTCAGCAACTGTTACATTTTTCAGAAGCAGTCGTAATATTTTGCCGCCTGATTAACTGCCTCTTCCTCTCACTTTTTTTTTAAAGAAATGACAGCAGAGTATGCTTGTACAAGGAAACAGTTTAATAAGAAGCTGAGTGAATTCGGATTAATTCAGGTAACTGAAACACATTAAGGGTTTGAGGAATTCATGGGGAAAGTTTGATCTTTTTAAAAAACTGAATGGAAAGCTTTCCACCTTCTGGAGTGCCAATTTTAAATGATATAGCCTATGCACTTGGTGAGTCATGAATTTAGAAAGAATAATGTGCCGGTTGCCAAATGTATTAAACTTAATGGGACTAAATGGTAATTAACCTTCTTGATTGCACTGTTGCATATTTGTAGTTTCCCTTTCTCTGTGATATGTAAGTATGAACAGCATGTCTTTGTTGCCCTTTCTTTCAGGAAAAATTTGCCCTGATGGCTCGGAAAGCATATGTGATGGAAAGCATGGCCTACCTCACTGCAGGAATGATGGACAGGCCAGGGGTCCCAGACTGCTCAGTTGAAGCAGCCATCGTGAAAGTAAGCTTTACTGGAATGCTGAGTTAAAGCTATGGGTATTAGGGCTCCTTTGGGAGGAAGGGTGGGATATAAGCATTTATTAATGTTCAAAGAAAAATAGGTTACTGAGATCCTCAGATTGTGGAAGCCATGTGGATGTTCATATGCAACCTTTCCCCATCTTCATTGTGAGACTGATCTAGTTAATTGCATGGCAGTTCAATACAAATTATATTAAATCACTCTTGAATGGCATATCGTTGAATGGCAGATCTCTCTGAAGATATCTCACTGAAGCAAAAGTGTGAGATCAGGAATTTCAAATGTCCCAGGGGGAGAGGCACTGATGGAAGTAGAAAGCCACCAATCAAGAAGGCAATTCTGTGTGCATATGTTCAGTCTCTGGGCTGATTTCAGTGTCCCTTATGAGAGGTATTATATGTGCTAATAGCAAACTTGGTACTTCCAAGTGCTGCTCCTTATGTATGCAAAACAGAACCATCCATGCATAGATGGTACAGGCAGACTAGAGGGAAACCAGAAAAGATCATTGAGGGTTGAGCATTCTCTCTTGACATGAAATACCATTATGTGTGTGTTGGGGCAGGGTAGTGGTAGAAAGCAGTTGTGGCAGGTGATAAAACTGAGTGTTCTGGAAAGAAGGCGTGGCTTGCTAGCTGGCACCCTGAACATTTTGCTGCAGGTCCCTACTCTTTTTATATAGCCTCACAAGGGCTCAAAACTGGGTGGTATAAGGTATTTACCGTAATTTTCGCTCCAAAACACACACTTTTTGGCTCCTAGAAAGTAAGGGGAAATGCCTGTGCGTGTTACGGAGCGAATGCACTGGACCGGAGCCATGGCTGCCGTCAGTCAAGCAAACCGGGAGCCGCTTACACGCTCTACAAGGCTCTCGCTTTGCTTGCTTTAAAGCGACCTGGAGCCGGGGAGGAGGGAGGGAAGGAGAGCCATGGCAGCAAAGCGGGCAGCAGCCGCTTACACAGGAGGAGGGACAGACGCTAGCAAAGGTCCGCGCGCTCTCTAAACGGAGCAATGAGGCTGCATAGGGATGGCAGGGCACAGGAGGGCTTGGATCGGGAAAGATAAAATTTAAGCAACCAGCAGCAAAAAAAACCAAAAAAAAAAACCCAACCTGGAGCTCTGAGCCACGAGTGCAGTGAAAACCAGGAAGTTTTTAAAAAAGGCTGGGGAGGGCACGGGATGAGGGAGAGGGGAAAACTTCCAAATCCCCCGCATCTCAGCTGATCTGCTGGGATGGAGCAGCTTGCAGCTTGTTTTCAGGCAGGATAGATTTGAGCATTGTCTGGGTCCTAGTGCCCCTACCTCTTTTTTGTGCTCCATTCTATTGCTGCTGGTGGCTGCTTATCATTCAAACTGAACCTGATACCAGTAGCCACGTGTACAAACAAAGTAGAAGGCTGCAAGGAGGAGCGCTTTTACACAGCTAATGGCAAATCCCCTGCAATCCAAGTCCTCCTCACTTGCTCAAATCTATTCTGCCTCAAAACAAGGAGCGGAAGGAAAAGGCTGCAAACTGTTAAATGGAAAAAAACCCAGGCACAGGGCAAATACCTTAAGTATACCTTTAAAGCAACAGTGCTCTTTCCCTCCCTCCTCCCCGCTCAGCTCGCCGAAAAGCTCCTTCTCCACACACCCCACGCGTGCTCCTTGTCCCTTGAGTGCTTTTCCTTCCCTCCCCACTTAAAACGTGGTTACAAAGCACGGATCCACATGGATCCTCAGGATTTTTGCACTGGGTCACCCCAAATTCACCATCAGATCACATAGCATGTCCATGGCTACAGCCTGCACCAAAAAACACACACGCACCCACTGTTTCATGGGGCCACAATGGCGCAAAAACGTGGTTACAAAGCATGGATCCACATGGATCCTCAGGATTTTTGCATTGGGCTACCCCAAACTCACTGTCAGATCACATGTCTGTGGCCACAGCATGAACCATAAAAATCATACATCCACTGTTTCGTTTAGAATATTTTTTTCTTGTTTTCCTCCTCTAAAAACTACGTGCGTGTTATGGTCAGATGCGTGTTATAGAGCGAAAAATACGGTACATTTTCTTTCAGAGAACTTGGGCTTCATTTCTTGGTCACGCTACAGTGTGACAGCCATTGAGGTCGACCAATGAACTGGCTTTTTATATTGCCAAGTTTAGAAATAAAATAACATCATTTGATAATTTCAATGGTTGTTGGCAGGTGTTTAGTTCGGAAGGCGCATGGGTTTGTGTGAGTGAAGCTTTACAAATTCTTGGAGGTCTCGGCTACATGAAAGATTTTCCGTATGAACGCTATCTCCGGGATAGCAGGATACTTCTGATTTTCGAGGTAAATATGAGTTCTTCTATCAGTTGCATGCAATCTCAAACCACTAGTATAAAACTAGGGACAAGTAGATGGCATTCTGAGGGCCATCTGAGTGGCTTTGAAGCATTGCCTCAAATAGTCACAGTTCTTTGCATCACTACCTTTATGATATGTGGACTGCCTAGTGATATATTTTAGATAAATGTGGAAAGGAGGATATTCCTATTCTATATGCATTAATGTTAGAAGTAACTGTTTTTAAAATCTGTTTAATGGCACATTATTATTTTTTATACTGATTGCAATAAATAGAATACAGTTGTACCTTGGAAGTCGAAAGGAATGCATTCCGGAAGTCCGTTCGACTACCAAAACGTTCGGAAACCAAAGCGCGGCTTCTGATTGGCTGCAGGAAGCTTCTGCAGCCAATCGGAAGCCCCGTCGGACGTTCGGGTTCCAAAGAACAGTCACTTCTGGGCTTGCGCCATTTGGGAGCCAAAGCGTCCGAGTACCAAGGGATCCAAGGTACGACTGTAGTCCATTACATTGGAAATGTCAGTCTTGGCTGGGTAAATTTTATACATTTGTTGAACTTGTCCTGTAGTAAAGTGCAAAAGTGTTGGACTGATACTGCAGTACAAACGAATTGGGGTGCTGCTCTATGAAGGGGACTGTCAACACATACCAGAAATAATGAACACACAACAGAAAGGAAATCCCATTATTACATGATCATGCAATAATCCTGCTTGGAGGCTTCCTGTAGCCATCTGGTTGGCCACTGAGAACAGGCTCCTGGACTAGGTGGGCTTTTAGTCTGAACCTTCATGGCTGCTATGGCAACTGCAGTATTATCCACCTTTTTAAAATGTAAAATAAAAATAAGGGGACTTGGCCTAGCAAGTAGAGCGCGTGAGATTGCTCCAGCTCACTGGCCATGCATAGTGTGGCAATGGAACAATTGTGTGTGTACTTATGTGTGAGATATAAACCAGTGCTTGCTTTGCCACAGCAGTCGGAGCACGCTATTTGGCGTTGATGTGCCTCACATTTTGAATTGGCATGTGTGCATTTCCCTCCAGTCATCTAGGCTGACCTGGTCACTTTGAAAACATTCTGCCTTGCTTGTCAGAACAAATATAAGTAAGCCTGCCAAGGGAAATTTCTGTTTAAAATGTGTTTGCTTTTTACAGATTCATTTAGATAAGTAGATAACAGAATGAATAGCGTAAAGTTGGGGGTAACCCTCCCACTGTTGTGTGACTGCAGCTCACGTCAACCCCAAGCAGCATGGTCGGTGGTCAGGGATTATGGGAATTACAGTCCCAACATGGAGGGCACCATGTTGGCTACCGCTGGCATGGAAGATGAGCACTATGCCACACCCAACGGCCAGAAGTTGTTGTTTTTCTGCCTCTTGTGGGGCAAAAACATTTCTCTATCCACCACTTTCTCCATGCCATGAATGATTTTATGAATTTTGTTCATGTTACCTCTTAGCTGTTATCTGAACTAAAAAATTCCCGTATGCTACAGACTTTCCTCAAAGGGAAATTGCTCCATCCCCTGTATCATTTTGGTTGTCTTTTTCAACTAAGGTGGGGTGACTAGAATTGTACAAAGTATTCTAAATGCAGTTGCACCATAGATTTGCATAATGGCATTATGATGTCGGCAGTTTTATTTTCAATTCCTTTCCTGCAGATCTCTGGAATGGAAGGTGCCTTTTTCCCAGCTGCTGTGCAGACTGGGCCAATATCTTGATTGAGCTAGCCACTGTGACCCCAGGGTTTCATTCCTGGGTGGTCACTGCTCATTCAGATCCCATGAGTGTGTTAAGATTAAGAAATTGATAATTTTTTGCCCTGACTTTGCATTTGTTTACACTGAATTGCGTTTGCCGTTTTACCACCTATTCAGTCAGTTTGGAGAGGATCTTTTGAAGCTCTTCACTTTGTTGTTTTGTTTTAACTACCCCAAATTGTTGAGTATCATCAGCAAGCTTGGCCATCTCACTGCTCATCTCTAACACTTGATCGTTTATGAACAAGTGGAAAAGCACAGGTCCCAACACCAAGCCTTGAGGGACTCCACTAAATTTCATTTTGTTAGTCTTGACCTGGTTATCCTTTCTATCATGATGGTTTTGAATTTTATCCTTGTCTTCTAAAGTGTTTGTTTTTCTCCCAGTTTGTCACCTGCACATTTGATTCCTTCCAGTCCTTTATCAAAGTTATTGATAAAAATGTTGAAGGGCATCAGGCCCAGGACAAAACCATGTGTCCCCCAACTCAAAACCTTCCTCCAGTGGTGGACCTAGATATAAGACTATACTGGTTTACATAGAAATATTTTTCATTAAATAAGGTGAAAGAATGCTCTAAAGTACATTGATAATACATTCTGATTTGGAGACGGCTAGCACCTCTGCTCATTCTCTACTCTCTGCTACAGCAGTAAGGTGAACCTGCAGATTCTCCTATTGTTGATGATCCACTTTAAAAGGTCATTTTTTGCCATTCACTTATCTAGTTCTGAATGCCAGTAAGCTCCACTTGCTGCCGAAGAGTGATCCATAAAGAATGGTGTTTATAATTAAAACGAAGTATTCAACATTCATGCATTTAATTTAGCATCCCCGGTCAATGTATGCAGTGATTTTAATTAGCTTGTTGTTTAGCCATCTGTTCATTCTGAAAGCTTTAATTGCTAAGCAGCACCTGCTTACAAGCGCAGCGACTAGTCTTAGTCCATCAGCATTTTTTTATCTTTTAAAATCAAGCACTTCTAAAATGTAGGTGCTTTGCTTTCAGCTGTGCAGATGTCGGATTTTTCTTTCAGCCTCCAAAGAGAGCGGTGTAACACTTCAGGTTCACTTTTCTGCGTGTAAATTGCAATTCGTGATACGCATTACTGAGAGAGGAGCCTGTTCTTGAAACTTTTCAAAACTACAGTTTTCATCTTGTTTGCTAAATAGTTTGGGCATTTGTTGTAACTAGTTTGTAAACTTTACTAAGGCCATTACATCAGATGGCATTTAGCTAATGTTCAGAAGCTGAAAGGTGTCTTCCCCACCTCAGCTTAATACTGGTCAGTGTGGCTAGGAAACCTCAAGGACCAGGTGTGGTGCTATTAAGGCTATTTCTGTTACTACGTACGAGGTGCAAAGGCTTACAGAATGTGTGTTGCGGGAGGAGTTTGCAGCGCTGTGCAAGCTAGCCCTATTCCTGATGTCTCCAACATATACGCACTCTGCTGTTCATGCACTTGGTGTGCGTGAGAAGTGGCCATACACACATACCAGAGCATGCAGAGATTTGGGTTCAGTCAGGAACCTTCTTCACATGAAAGTACTCTGTGTGTACATTGGCATTGGTGTAGAGCCCTTTATTGGGTGTCCAAGGTGGAAACCTTTCCAGCCCTATGTTCCTCCTGTAGTCCTTAACATTTTGGGGCTGGTGGATGATGACTTTATTAAAGCTTTCAGGTGAATTAATAGTGCAGCTATAGAGATATTCCTAGAATTTTATAATGACAATGGAATTTTCATTCTTGAAGATAAAATAAATATGCCTCCACCTTAAGCTTTGATAGGAAACTTAACACTTGCATATAGAAAAAAAGAAAGGTATCTGTCTGGCCAATCCATGTTTAAGTAGCCTAAAGTAATCTTTTTTTCTGTTTCAGGGAACAAATGAAGTTCTGCGAATGTATATTGCTTTGACAGGCATGCAGTATGCCGGCAAGATCTTAACTGAGAAAATAAAGTATGTGCTTTTTTGGAAATAGCCATTTTTGATAAATGATTACTGAATACAGATTGAAAAGTTGTAAAGGGGAACAGCATAGAAAGGGGGTAGCAAGATGAAATTTTCTTGAAAGTTTCAACATGAGCAGAAATAAGGCATTTCTTTCTTTAAAATGCTGATACAGTGGTAGTTCAGGTTAAGTACTTAATTCGTTCCGGAGGTCCGTTCTTAACCTGAAACTGTTCTTAACCTGAAGCACCACTTTAGCTAATGGGGCCTCCTGCTGCCACCGCACCACCGGAGCACGATTTCTGTTCTCATCCTGAAGCAAAGTTCTTAACCCGAGGTATTATTTCTGGGTTAGCGGAGTCTGTAACCTGAAGCGTATGTAACCCGAGGTAACACTGTATATTGTGTAGATCTTAACTGTGCTTTTAAAAACCAAAACACTGAGGTTATTTTAGTATGTTCTCATCTCTCATTTACTATGTGGTGATGATACCTACTTAAACTTTATTAAACACTTCCGAATTGGTGTTTGGTCAATTAATCACTGCTGCTCTGTGAACTCCATTCATTTCAATGGGGGGGGGAGTATGCAAGCTACATTTAAAATCAAGGCAAGTTAATTATTCTGCAGTCTTTCAGGTTGTTGGCATACTTTGAGGCTATCACTAATCACATCATTGGTAGCTGTTAATGTAGCTCTTTCCACTCCCTGTAGTAACACAGCATCAGAAAATTACAAAGAAAAAAAGCATAATTTTTAGGGGGGAAATATTTAGAAGTTCAGCTACTGTCTCTGGGGTGGATGGGGAGTTGACTTGTTGGGGAATTAAGTGATATTGGATAAATGGCCTAGTACTAAGGCAGCCTATGTATCTAATCTCACAGGGAAATCAAGAAAGGAAACGTAGGTATGGCATTGAATGTGTTTGTGAACAAGTTCCGTGACAGCATGGGCCGAACAGTAGACTTAGGATTAGTTGGTCAAGATGGAGTGGTGCATCCTAGTCTAGAGGTAAGTACTCAGTGCAGATGCTGTAACACTTTCAGCCATGCTTGGAAGATTTGCTTGTGTTGCATTATAAAAGTGGGGTTTCTTTAGGCTTCTTGGTTCTGGTCCAGTGTCAAATCTTTTCCGTGTAGAAACATAGGAAAAAACCTTGTACGATGTTGGACTACTGATCCATTGAGCTCAGTACAGAGTATGTTGACTGGTTCTGTAGGGTTTCACACAGCACTCTTTACCAGCTGTACATGCACGTGCAGAAAGCTGAACCTGGAATCTTCTGCATGAAAAGCGTGTGGACTACCAAAGAGTTATGACTCATCACACACAACTGCTCTCAGAAATGCTAGTGTGAGCTGCGCTGTATTGCTCACAATACTGCATTTGTGTGGGATTGTATACCTACACCTATAAAAGGGAGAAATTTTACACTGCGGTCCTTTTTTGAGTTTTATTCATGTAGCCCAAATAACTGCTTAAACTTTGAAAGTATCAGTATTCACTGTATTCAAAACAAAACTTTTTGGATTTCATGGTTTAAGGAAAACCTGAAGCAAGCCCTGTAAGAACCCAAGTGGAATGCCATTTAGGTTGCTCTGTTAAACTGTACCTTGCAATGCCCGTTGCCTCGGTCACGCTTGCTTCTGACGCAGTATGCACTAATCCTTATTATGCAAACTATAATCTGTAACGGCATGGGACTTAGTATGGAAAACAATTTGGATCTTTCAAATGCTGTGATTGGGAAAGGGTACAAGGGGAAGTATCCAATGTTGTATAGGTGGACTTTCCCTTGGATACGGCTCAAGGGTTACAGAAATTAGGGCTGAACTGGCTGCAGTTCTAAAGCTGATAATGCACATGTGAAATGCTTGCCTTGCCAACTCTCCCAGTTGTTGAACCTGTATGTACAAGTGTGTGTACATGCATCTTCAGTGCCAGTTAAATAATATGAGGAACTGTCTCTTGGAAAAGGCTTTGACACTTTGCGTTCGTCTTCCTTCCAAAGAATGCCAAATTCATTATCTAACGCCTATTTTTGTTTGTGTTCTCTACTTTTTTCTCTTTTAGAAAATCACCATAAAGCACAGTGTGGGCATTTTTGTTTTGTTCAGTCTCCCTGAATTAGTTCAGTCATGGTGCTAATTCATTAAACCTGTATCAGGTGGAATCTGAATATTTAGGACTGAACTTGACTGCCCATCTACTTTGTGAATTCTAGTATATAATGTAATCTGGGATAAATTACCAAGTCATTTGTTGGACTCGGCAACTGGGAGCTCCAAAGTGAAACCCAGTTCCTCAAGGACTACCAGCTGGCTCCACAGTTGCAACACATTTAAAGACTTTGTGTGCATATATTATTTATACATAGAGGGAGAGATTAATGAATTGTTTGTGCAGAATTGACAAGTCTAAACCTGTAGTGCCCTAAATATATATTTTTTCATTGCAGGAAAGTGCCAAGAAACTTGAACAAAATATATATTATTTTGGTGTTGCTGTAGAAGGCTTGTTGAGAAGATTTGGCAAGGTAGCTAGAACTTTCTAATGGATTCTCTGCCCTTCCTTCCTTCCTTAGAGCCTAATCAAAGTGAGTGTTTGAAACCAAACTCATTTCTAGCCTAGAAATTTTTTTCAAGATGTATACTGAGGAGCTGTCAGGGAAGATAAATATTTAAAGATCATGTAGAAGCAGATGAAATGCACTGTGAGTATCTTTTCTTCCCCCAGCAACCTGAAAGACACTCTGCAGGTTCTGAGTCTGTCTAAATAAAAAGACACAGTCAAATGCTTTGATTTAGTACAGAGCTTTCCAAACTTTTCATCTTGGTGACACACTTTTTAGACATGCATCATTTTGTGACACAGTAATTCAGTTTTACTAGCACACCAGGTTAAACCAACCCCTTTCCAGCCCCTGGAGGAGCATGGGGAGTGTTCACGCAAGTCGTGACACACGAGTTTGGAAAACTGTTTTAGTACATGTGTGAATACTGCCAACTAAGGGCAGCTGTCTTCATCTGTTGAAACATGTTTTAGATTGATCAGGCAGTTCAGGATAAATCACTAAACTATTTGTGTGTTCTTTGTTTGGCATTAGACTATTGTGGATGAGCAGATGGTTCTCAAAAGGGTAGCAGACATCCTCATCAATCTCTATGCAATGACAGCAGTTCTTTCCAGAGCTAGCCGATCAATCAGTATTGGTTTGCGCAATCATGATCATGAGGTGAGTACCTAGAGGTTTTATGCAATTTTAATTAATGTTGTAATCATGAATTAAAATCAGTATTAAGCAGACTGGTCAAGAAAGGGGGAAAACAGAATTGCTTTTGAGAGTATTATGATACTTTTGGATTCTGACAAGGGATATTTGGACTTGCAATTATATAGTTTCTTATGTATGAAAATGTATTTTGTGTCAAAAGGAACCTGGAAAACACTCACCAGATTATTTCTATTCTTGTGCTCCGGGGGGGGGGGGGGATTTGACATAGTAAATACATGGTGATGCCATTGGCTTTTTAGAAACCATTAGATGTATTCATGATGAAATGTCCATTTTCAAAGCTATTGGGTACATCCACTGTGTTGTGTCAAAGGGTGAGGACAAATAAGGCAGGTTTTACTAGCATGCCCTGTTTCCAAGTGTTCTGGGTGCTAGAGCTAAGCAATGTCAGCTTTTCAACTTTGCAATGTATCACCAGCCAAACATGGTGATGGGGTGGGGATGGGGGGTGGCAACAGACCATTAGGAGAGGGGAGAAGGATGAATGCCACCTCCCTGCTTTGCATCGCTCGCTAGCCTCTCCAGCGCCACAGTCCTTTCCTTTCAGGGCAGCTGATTTCCCCTCTTGACTCCTGTCTGATTTTAAGCACCCTTCACCCATCCACCCAGTCTCAAGGCTGGGGCCACCTGTTCCTGCCACCAGGCTTGGAGGTGGTTTCACTTGCAGTATACTGCCGGTTGAAGCTGCCATTTCACCCTGGCCCTCATCAGTACATCGCCCAAGCCTACTGGGTGCAGCAGGAGATAGAATGTTGTTAGCCTTCTAGTCTGAACCACCCTGCCAATGTAGTACCTAGGCACACGCTGTAAACTGCTGGGCCATGTGTATTGCAACATATTTCACAACAGCCAGGTATCTATAGTATAAAGCTGTTTATGCTACAACTGTAAAATGTTAAAGGAGGTTCTTTAGAAAGTGTGCAATCATGATCAGGTTCCAGCTATTCTGGTGCCAATGGTAGAAAAGTCCCTTTTGTTAAACTTCAGCCATTCAGCTCTGGGGCAGCCGTTACTGTGAAAAAACAGAGGGAGGAGAAAGGATTATTAACTTCTACTTAAAGTCTTTTGCTGAGTAAGTATGTAGAACAGTAGCTGGGTGGTTTTTATTTCCATGAATTTATAACACTGAAATAAACGATAGTACATGGAGTTGAATTCCAGTGGTCTATTTTAAAGACAGGCCTATTTTCCAATTTGCTAATGATTTAACTGACTTCCTAGGTGCTGCTTGCAAACATTTTCTGCACTGAAGCTGGCTTCCAGAATAATTATGCTCTGGCAGAATTAGAAAAAAGTAAGTGTTGCACTCGAGTCAAATGTTAACATCTTATATTGCCCGCCTTGATACCAAATAAAAACTTGCTTTAGCAAAGGCACAGGAAACCCAGTCAGTTCTCCTGCCACAGTTTGTTCATAGGCTACACCTTCAGTTTGTGCTAAGAATCTAGATGCCAAGGCAAGCCTCGATAGTCCCATGGTTTGCTTGTTCCTATAATTAGTGATAATGTGGCAGATGCTCCTAGCAGCTCAACAGCTTGTGTTTAGTGTCTTGGATCTGAAAAAGTCTGTTGCTCTCATTTAGATGGGACGCTAAAGGAATTGTTACTTCCGTTTCCATTATTCCTAGATGCTCCTGAAAACATGGATGACAGCATTAAAAAAGTGGCAAAGCAGGTGCTGGAAAAGAGAGCATATATCTGTTCCCATCCACTGGAAAGAACATTTTGAAAGTTGGGAAATGGTGACCGACCTGCTGTGGAGCAAGATGCTCTGCGGTGCAAGTGAACTTTGGGGCAGACTGTGCGACTGGCAACCTGCTAACAAACCATATTATTTTCTTCAACGGATGTGTTGTTTTTATAAAATAAAACCTCTTTGATTTTATGTACCTGAATGCACGTGAAAATCCCAAGACAAAATCCAGGCATATGGCTTAAGGAGAAGTGCACAATCAACCTACTTTCTAGTCTTATATTTCATTTTAGAAACCCTATGCTGCATAATACTTGCTATAATGCCCTTTATCCAGGTAGAGATAAATGAAAATGAGGCTGCAATAGCAAAAAGAGGTTTCTACCCCTAACTAGGGGCCTCTCTGCTTCCCTACACTTAAAAGATTCAGTAGAGAGCCCTGCCACTTGTGCCAGGGTAGCCAGTTGAAGTGCCCACAAACAGTTTGCACCCATCATTTGGGTGCTTCTCACAAGCAGAGGGACACCTTAGCACAGCAGATTGGACCTACAGCGTAAATTTTGCTGTGGTAAGCCAAGCATAGAAATAGCTCTGGAGGAACTGAAAACGCAGAATAAGAACTTGCACTGCCTCATTACGAGTAATCTTTCCCCCCTAGATTACTTTGAAAGGCAATGCTTTGCTTCAAACAACTGACTTCAGTCTCACCAGACAGATCAATTCTTTTGATTCCCATAGCAATATTTCCAAGTGCTAAAGTTTAATGCTATCTATGTACCCTAGCTCTTCTTCAAATTAACTTCAGCGTTGCACACAGAAAAGCAGAGTGACTATCACTCCTTAGCAAGACACAGGAAAAAGATCACTGGTTTGTGTACCACACTGTAATCAGTGCTTAATTCCCCTCATTACCTGCAGCCTGTGTATCCTCTGCTATTTGGATTTCTTCCTTAAAGACCAATTTCTGCAGAGGCGGCCCCCTGTACCGAAATGAACGCTTACGACAAATCAATCTGCAAAACAGAATAGACTTTTTAAAATGGGTGAAAATTTATGCTTTAGAGTAGCTACATTGCTGTGCTTTCATATTTATGTGCTAAGTTTTTATTTAAACATTCACGGTACAAAATATGCATAAAATCATGGCCTGACCCTACTGAAAGAGAAATGTCAAGCTTTGCACTGTAACAGATTAAAGCTCACTCTCCTACTCTTCCAATATATTAACTTAATTTACACACGTTTTTAGCAAGGTGGAATATCTGGGTTATTCAGGTCTCAGAATGCATAACCAACTCCAGGGATGAGAGACCTCTGGCCCGCCAGCTGCTGAACTACATCTCCCATCATCCTTCACTGCTGACCATGCTTGCTGGGGTGGCAGGAGTTGGGAGTTCAACATCTGGAGAGCAACAGGTTAGCTACCCCAGCTTACTCTGTCCAAAGCTAAAAAGAGAACTCTGGATGACAGCTCAGAATTTCTGCTGCAATTTCCGATGGCTAATGCCTTTCTATGATTCGATCTGCAATCCTGCACAACAGGGCTGGGAAACCTGTGGGGCTTCACATGTTATTGGCAGCATGGCCATGGCCAGAAATTGTAGCATAGTAATACCTGGTGGGCTACATGATCTTTACCTTTGCTGTACATACATCCTAAGTACACGTGCCAGTAAACTACCTGTAACATCATCTTGCCATGCCAGTGTGTGGTACAGCAGCTAGATGACTTACCGGAAATCTTCTCCCTTCAGTGTTTTAAATGTATCATGTTGCCTGTCATAGCATGGAATTATATTGTCATTCCTCTTCAGGCTGAGGAGTGGTTCAGCGCCAGGAACAAATCCTTTGCAGATCCTGTTCTCTTCCATTTGGTCTGCCATTCCAGCAACTGGGGTAGGCTAGTGGAACAGGAATAGCAGGTTTCAGAACATTGCTTCTAAATATACAGCTCCATGTGTGTGTTCCCAACACTAGGAATCAGAAATACAATTCAGATCAAAGCTGCATTGAAGACACTGCAAGGTCATGTCCATAAGCTGGTACAGTGACCTGAAACAGCACTGAAATGAATAAATTCAGGACTGGTGTGTCTTTGAAGTATATTCAAAGAGTAATAGCAAGTGTGGGGTGTGTGTGTATGTAGTCTTTTTTATATCCTTATGCATCATACAAACAAGCATTAAATTAAATTAATACCAAAACAGGGGGAAATACAAAAGCAAAAATACAAGGATATAATCATAACATAAACTACAATAAAAATATAAACATTATATTCTCCTAAAAAATAAAAAAGAAGAAAATTAGAAAAAAGAAAAAAAAGTGACTTCCAACTAACTCCATGCAGATCTTTCTTTCTCATATCACTGGTTATCTGTAATGATTACATTTTTGGACAGATATCCTAATTACCTGTGAGGTTTTTATTCTAAGCTAAACAAAGTATGAATCTGGCAAATATATTGATGCCTTAGCAAATATGTTGATGATGGGGGGGGATGCAAAGCATATCACTTTAATATGAACTCCGTATGTGCTACAACAAGGGTATGGACTGGATTCAGCTGGCTGGCCAGATCCTGGGTTCTCAAACCTTTGGGCCATTATACAGGTGGATGGGGCCAATCACCAAATGTCACACCGTCCGGTGACCCATTTTCCTTCGTAGTGTGGCAAGCCCAAGTGGGGCTTGAAGTTACTGCCCTTCAGCTGACAGGCATCGACTTAAACCTCCTTTCTGCTGTGCTAATATCTTCCCCTCAATGGCACAGCTGTTCCCAACCTGCTTGCTCTCACTGCCTATCAGCTGATGGGCAGCGACATCAAGCCTCCCTTGCCAGTGCACAGGTAGAAGCACACCTTATGGTACCAGATTGTGCACTAGCAGCAGCATTTTTCTTTGTTCCAGACCTGCCATCACATTTGATGATGTGTGTGGTTTGGGGAAACCAAACCTTGACAGCCAAGTTGGGAGCCATGCCAGGTCTAACTAGGCATGTAAACTGGCGGTTCCCCATGACTTTGGTAGAAAAGCTGACCCCTTTAGGACTACCGGGTTTAGGATTTCTAAAAAGTCAATGTTACCAGCATTCTTAGGGACAGCTTGGCTGGTGCATCTTTCAGAAGTCCCTGGAGCCGGGCTAGCTGGCAGCTGGCTTTGGGTCCACTTGCAGTGAGCTCTGTTGATGGGCAGCATCGATGAACTTTCAGTCCAGTGTTGCATCGTATCTCTTTTGGAGGCTCTTTTGTTCAGAAACATGTCAGTTGAAAAATGTTAAAAAAGAACTATATTATGACAGATTTAGATCCTTAACCCACTTCTAATTACTAGCTGTTAACGACTTTTGCCTCATCCGTTCTGGTAATGTATCTCCAAATCATAAGCGGAGATTCTTTAGATTACATGTTTAGGGACTTCCGCTCTGCCATGGACCACAAAGGAGCATGGGTTAAGCCCGAGCTTTGTAGAGAAAACAAGGTCACACAAAGGTGCTGTGGACCTCAAAAAACCTGAAAGTGTTAATTTCAGGTGCAGGGGGATCTGGCTGTGCCATTAGTGATCTCTCTTGTCTTCCAGATCACTCCGAAAGGAGCGGAGAAGAAAGGTGAGATTGAGGTCTGGGCACTTGGATTCATATTTTATCTCTGCAAAAGCGAAGGCTCTGGCTGCTTGTGGATTATAGCAATAGAGTCTCCGTGATTTAAAAACGTTAAAGGTAAAGGGACCCCTGACCATTAGGTCCAGTCGTGACCGACTCTGGGGTTGCGGCGCTCATCTCGCTTTATTGGCCAAGGGAGCCAGTGTACAGCTTCCGGGTCATGTGGCCAGCATGACTAAGCCACTTCTGGCAAACCAGAGCAGTGCATGGAAACGCAGTTTACCTTCCCGCTGGAGCGGTGCCTATTTATCTACTTGCATTTTGACGTGCTTTCGAACTGCTAGGTGGGCAGGAGCTGGGACCAAGCAAAGGGATTTGAACCGCCGACCTTCTGATCGGCAAGTCCTAGGCTCTGTGGTTTAACCCACAGCGCACCCACGTCCCACTGATTAAAAACAACAACAAATCCTTAAAAAGAACTTGGAATCAATTGGATGTAATTTGTTTTGGAACGATTTGGTTAGCGGCAGGGTCAAAAAAAGAGGTCCATCCCAACTGCAGTGAGATACAAAATGCATGGAAACTACTTACGAATCGTAATGTCATAATAGAAGTCTTCCCTACTGTGAGATTTAAAACTAAAACTTACTACAGAAGTCTTTTTCTACTCGTTTCAGTACCGCTGTCTGTAATTTTTGGGGGCTCTCCTAAATTTTCACTAGCTCAAAGGCTTACTGCCAAAATCATCAATTCCATTTGTTCAGACAAATACACTCCAGGAAGTCCTAACAGTAAGAAGCTTGGTTTACATATTACAGGTTGCAGTCCTTTTCACTGTAGGGTTGTTGCAACCATTTCCCTCCCTCTCTGCCTGTGCAACCACAGAAAATACAGCCTTTGCAAGTTCATTAAAAAGGTTAGCCAGCCTCTCTAGGAGAAAAACCTGTTGCTTAAGTCATTGATGACATTTCCCCACCTCCATCACAACACATTCAACAACAACAAAGATTGTCGTGCATTACAGCCTTCTCTGGGAGCTGCTGTAGCATTTGAAAGCTTGCAGTTGTGGGGTGCGGTAATCTCTGCAGGCCATTCCCACAAAATTGCTATTTTTACACATAACAGCTGCTGTAGGATGACCTCCTGGAAAAGTAGCTCCTGCACCACTGCTCTCAATTATGTAAAGGGAACCTGGATTTCCTGACATACAATGGCTGGGACCTTCCGTAACTTTTTGCATCAACACTCTTATCTCAAACATGTGCCTTGTGTTAACACACACTTCTTTAGATGCTGGATAAGATGTAAAAGCAACTGACTGCACGCCAAAGTAGCTCTTTCAAACCTGGACAGTATTTCCATATACTGAATGTGTACTTGCAGAGATGCACCACTTCTTAAAGGAGCTAAAGCCGCTCCAAGGAAAGGTATTGAAACTAGTATATACCTTCTCTCTGAGTATCAAGAAGCACATGGGCACATGGAGGGTTCTTTTTGTAAAGCTCAAAATCTGCATGTCTCTTGTCCCAAGGCCATCTGTCCCGGTCCGGAATTGTCGTCATGTCACTGGCTTTCAAGTGCTCCTGCCATGTCTAAATGAACATTGCAAATCTTTTAGCACAAAAGCGGTCTTCCTGAAACTTCCAGGACAGTATAAACTTCAAATCACACAGCAATATATGAATATGTCAAATATACCATATTGATGGAGGACAAACGTAGCTTCCATTAAGCAATTTCCTTACGATGAAAAAGAAGAAAGCCAGCACACAGATACTAATATTTTGTATGTTGAGATAACACCTCAAGACAGCCTGTGATCTGTTAGTTCTTAGGGTCCACTTGATCTTGTTTCTCAAACAGCAGGTCCCCATGCCAGATGGCAAATGTCTTTTGAACCTGAGGGGACTTTCCAAAGCAGTTTGCAAAATAGCATGGGTGACAGCTAGTCAAAGCAAATGGTGTCTTTTAAAAACACACACCAAAAACCCACATATTTGATTATCACAGCTGCTGTTGTTTTTTAAATTTATTACCCACCTTTCGGTCCAAGGGTTACAATAATGTAAAATGCAGTTTAAAATCTTAAGAATTAAAAAATACAGTTTTAACGGTGGATCCCAGTCAGTTTTAGTGGTAGATAACACCACTGAATACAGGCTTTAGCTGATTAATCAGCAAGGACAAATTTTAATTACTCGACCTAAGTTTAGAAGATGCATGACTAGGCAAAAAAAATCTTAATTTCACGAATATACTCATGGGATCTTCTGACAAGCTACCAGCAGGATGCAGAAATGCATGTGCAGTTTCTTTTCACAACCAAACAACCAAAGCTGTTTTCTAACCCGCCTTTCCACTATATAAAAGTCTTCAAACCAGCTTAGAATAAAAATGGGCAGAGCAATTCTACTGGATCTGGGCAGGAGCACTATGGCAAATCCAGAGCCCTGTAAGTGTTTTCCCTTTTGCCAGCATCTTTTAGTCTTTGGCTCTCTGTTTCTTCTTTAGTGGTCTGTAGTGTTTATTCTTCTGCTGGTTATCTCCTTCCGTTCTGGGAGAGTGTTGAAGGTACAGGAGGGATATGGATTCAGCAGATCCAAAGCTGGGTCTCCCCTTTACCTCTGGTACACAGCCTACCTACTGTTTACCCCAACTTTTGCCCTCTCTGCCAGTAGAGACTAATTGTAAAGAAGTGATGGCAGCCGACCTTTTTATTGTGGCTGGATAAGATTCCAGGGGCAGACCTCTCTCGAGCTCACTCTCTCTGCCTGTGGAGAGGGAGAATCTACAAAATGCTATAGTCCCTTGGACAACCTCCCAGGACCACAGGACTGCACCAAAAAGGGTACAATTCTGCACATACTTATCTGGACGTAAACCCCATTAAACACAGCTTTAAAGTAAACATGCACAGGGTTGTGCTGTAAATCTACCAATAAACACAGCAGTACTGTTTAAAACACAGCATATACTTGGGAGAATAAAAGCAGTAAGTTTACACTGTTCAAGGAAACACAGAATGTTGTCTGCCTTGTGCCTAAATGATCACAGAATCATAGGATGGTAGAGCTGGAAGAGACCCTGATAATAATAAGATGTATGGTAGTGGAGAGTGAATACTGGGCCTTGATCAGAGGGACGAGCATCAAATTTGCATTTGCCATAAAACTCACTGGATGGCCTGCAAGAAGACCCTGTCTCTTAAATCCTCCTCACAGGGTTGTTGTGAAGATAAAATGCCACACTGTAGATTACAGATGTGGCAGGAATTTAAAATGCGCCATTACCTCACGCAGTTCCCTCACTCGTGCTTCGTCAGGCTTACGAGGATGCCGGTTGGATTCCATGCTGCTCTTATATCCAGGATACACAAACCCTCCTGGTGAGAGCCACATCATCTCCGATTGGTGCATGGACTCCTTTAGTTCACTGTCTTCATCTACTGGGTCAAACATGGCTGACAGATATTCATGATTGTAAGCAAACCTGTTGCCTGGATTCTAAGAAAGAAAGACAAATGTTTCCCTCAGAAAGAACTCTCATCCTCTATGTTTCTCCACAGAGAAACAAGTTTTGCTAAAAAGAGCAAAGCCTGAACTTTACAACAAAATTCTGTACGTGTTCCTAACACAGCAATGATAACTGGGTTGGATTTAGAGTGTACAGAAAACACTTAAGAAACTTGGAGGTCTAGAAATCCCATAGATACTTAAATTCACTTCAGAAGATAAAGCAATATTATTATGAATTCAACGACAAAAATCCGATCCTCCAAGTAAGACATGAGGGATGCACTCCCTTAAAATGCAAAAAGGTGAAATTCTGGAGGATTTTTTAATATACACACACACAAAAACAAAACAAAAAAACCCCAATGAATCTGAACCACTGGACTCCCAAATCTTCACAAAATTCCTAGATAAAAATAAAATTCCAAAATTTTACTAGACATACCAGAAATCATTAGATCAATCTTTTACTCTAGCAGAAATCCAAACTGGGATGTACTAATCTCACCTCTGCCATCTCTTGACGAAGCAGCTTCTTTGCAATTTCTGCAGAATTTAACGTCTGACAACTGTAATTAAAGATGGACTTGCCATCAGAAGGGAAAGCCCTGATGATTTTGCTGCCTTCCTTTTTCACCATCTTGCTGAGCAGATGTATATTCTCAATATTAGACTGGAAGAAAAGTTAACACATGTAATTATTCTGGTCTTGTTAGACAAAAAGAAATGTACTTTTGAAAACAGACACAGGACTTCTGCCATGGAAATAGTCGGTAGCTGGACCGGCAGGTAAGTCAAATCAGTAAGATGTAGCCAAGTCTTCCAACTCAGCCCACTGTCAGATCTTCTAAACCAGCCTTTCTCAACCATGGATTCCATCACCCCTGACCACTGGTCCTGCTAGCTAAGGATGATGGGAGTTGTAGTCCAGCAACAGCTGGGGACCCAAGGTTGAGAAAGGCTGCTCTAAACAGTCACCAGGCAGCACATAACTGAAGGCAAAGATGTAAATGGAGTTGGAGCTCTAGCTGTCTTCCTTCCCTTGGGGGAGGAGAGCTCACCTTGCAGACCGCCAGCTGCCAACCACTTTTCTTTGAAGACATCCAGCTTCCTATTTTCCACTATCAACCAAGCTAATTTATTCACTGTAATAACGTTCATATTTTAGAAGTAAATACTTGGAACTTTAAGAAAACATAAAGACCATCACCTGCGCATCTTTCACAGAGGCTCTAAAACCCAGCTGCTTGCTTAGTCTTTGCTGCCCTAAAGGTGTCAGAATCCACCAAGGGCTCCTTCCCCTGATGAGCTGGCTTTTTAATGAACCCTCAGGCCTACTATCATAGGGCTCACACAAGTCCAAATAACAACTTCTCCTTTCTGGGGGGTGGGAGATCCTTGTATCCATTTTGTTCTTTTTTCCTGTTAAATTTGCTAAATAAATAAATCCTCTATGCCTGTGACCTGGGCTGCTGTTCCTAAGGTGAGAGTCCCACTCGATTCACAGGGACTTTAACCAGCTTATGATTTCTGACAGGGAACAATGCAGGGATGGGGAACCTGCTGGCTGTCCCATTGTCCGTGACCACTGACTATGCTGGCTGGGGCTGATGGAAGTTGGGAGCCCAACAAAAAATGGATGGCTGAAGATTCCCCATCCCTGATATGTGTATATGTGAATCACAGGACGACAGAAAACCTCTTCACATGGGCAAACTGTGAGAAGCATCAGGAGCTTGCACCAAAAATAAATGTGGCAGGGTGGGGAATTTGAGCATTTTCTCACTTTCAAACTAAAAACCCCTCATGTGCATGCTATAATATCACAACTCCATAAAGAAGGCACTTTGTGAGACATAGACATTATCTGAACAATCTCTTTAGATAGGAATAGGCAATCTGTAGCAGTCCAGATATTGCTGGACTACAACTCCCATCATCCTTGGCCATGCTGGCTAGGACTGATGAGAGCTGTAGTCCGACAGCATGTGGAGGGCTACTGTTTCCCCTTTCCTGTCTTAAGGCAACCTTTCATTGCTGCAGCGCACACACCTGGATAAAGTCTTCTGGTGTCTGACTCTCCATTTCCCTTTTTCTAAGTAGGTACTCTTCGTTGTGGTTATCTAGAGGGAAACGCCTATATTTTCTCACATACGAATACTTTGGTGGAATATCAAACATCCCTGAGATCTCTGGGTGTTGCTGGATGAACAAGTCATCCCTTTTCAATGGGATCCCAAACTCTTGGCTCAACACTGTGATCATTTCTGCAGATGGCAAGAGATCGTGATGGACCACATCTCTTAACCTCATACTGCGGCAGATAGAATCAAGCCTGAAGAACAAGGCAAAGAGAGAGAGAGAGAGAGAGAGAGAGAGAGAGAGAGAGAACACAAGCATGTGGATAAGGGTGACCCAGCAGACACTGTGTACTTGGCTTTCAAAAAGCTTTTGATAGACTCCCTCACCAAAGATGATGATGATGATTTGTTGAATTTATATACCACCCTATCCCCAGGGGTCTTAGGGAGGTTCACAGAATAAATTCAAGATACAAAATGCATAATAAAAATAAAAATCACAACACAGTAACACCCACCCACCCACCCAAAAAACAACATTCATGAGTATGCTTAGAAGACATGAAGTAGGAGGTCCTCTTATGGATCAGTAATCATCTAAACAACAAGAAGCAGAGAGTAAGAATAAATGGGCAGATCTCACAATGGAATAATATAAATAAACAAATAATTTAAATAATTTAAATAATTTAAAAACAACACACAGTATTCCAAGCATAGTTGCACCACAGACTTGTATAATGGCCCCATGTTATTGGAAGGTTTTCCCCCCTCAATCCCTTTCCTCATGATCCCTAATACGGGTCAACAATGGGTCAACATCCATCATGAACTCAAGAATCCTTTCCTAGTCAGTCACGGCCAGTTCAGGTCCTATTAAGATGTAAGTGAACTTGTGCATTGCTTTACAGCTGTTTACACTGAAGCACATATGCCATTTTAAGGACCATTCACCCAATTTGGAGAAATCTTTCTCGATTTCCTTACACTCAGCATGTGATCAGGGACCCCAATACAGCAGGAGCCCTGATTACGTGAAGTAGTTCAAGGGAATGAATGGAAGTAGAAGCCCCCTGCAGACCTTCCCCAGGCAACACAGGGAAGCTTGGGGATTTGGGTATCTGCTACGGGCACAACGACATTGGGGGCAGGCCCTGTACATCTGCTCTTCCCCCATTTGCATATTCAGATGACTTCCTGAACATACCCTGAAAGAAATGATGAAGCACATTGCCAGAGGAAAGGATCTCAAAACTGAGCCGAATCCAATTATTAAGGTAGTGTAGTGTGATGAGACTGTGGAGAATCAGAATGATTTCACCCCCTCCCCTCTACATGTTACCTTCTCTTCAGCTGAGATGACATAGGAAAGGATAATCAAAAGTGCTATGAAAATTCTCTCCAAAAGGTCTAGTGGAGGTTCCTCCTCTCCTCCACAACCAACAAAAGTATATACACCGAACTCTAAATATGTACAGAACAGTAAGTCAGAAATCCAAGAACAATCTAACCTGATCAGAGCTTCAAAACACGGAAGGGGAACCATGTCCCTGATATATAACAAAGGCTGATTCACGATATTAGAGAGTGGCTTGCAGAGACGGATATGAAGAAGGATGGCTTCAAGGTCTACATACAGGCGCTGATGAAAAGAGAAGTGTGAGTTATAGAATATTTGTAATCGTCCAATTTTAGATTCACGCAACCTGTAAGAGAGAAGAAATAGAACAGCATTGACCAAATACGTCATAATCTTGTGTTTCCTGACATTTCATAGCACCTTTCCCCTTTCTTAGTCAAGGGTTTTTTATTTTTAAGTATTATAAAGCTCAGATTAAAACCCTGTATGATAAAGAAGAGAAGCAGGTATCATCATATCAAGAGCAACTAATGCAAGAAAGCTTGCATTGTTTTTAGATACATACATGCATTGCAAGAGGAATCATTTTAAAGGAGGCATTTCCTCCTATGGGAGAGATAAAATGAATGTCTAAGACGGTGTTTATGAGAACTTGTATTTAAAAAACAAAACAAAACCTTAAAAGTGCTAACTTGAATCAAGCACATCTTGAGTCAAGCAAAAGTTGTTTGTTTGTTTTTTAATTCATGAATACTACTCCAATAACATATCCCAGTCCTGGAAAGTTGACCCTTCCATATCACCAGTAGGGTCAAATTAACCAGTCTCACAATGATCTTAATTCCTATCTTTCCTATATGTTAATTTTAATAGTACTTCGTTGCAAACCTATAGTAGACTCATTTGGAGTAAGTCTCACTGAACTCAATGGAACTCCCATCTCTGTAGGATTGCACTACCAAGCATATTTAAGAGCTCCATGTCAAAAGGCAGTCCTAAACATTTTCTTATTCAATTCTGGTTATGCTTGGCATAAACACAGATGACTTCTGGAAAAACGTGAGTGACTCCAGCTTCGCTGTTTTGGTAGCGCTAGTCCTGTGCTGTATAGAAATCTCATGGGGTAGGGAACCTGTTTGCTCTATTTCCCTCTTTCCTAATTTGCAGCAGCATCCATAGTCCCATGAGTTTCAAAGGAGATGTGAGACTGACGACACCAGACTACAAAAGGGCTTCGATTTATTCTGTCAGTGCACACTTCTCTAAGACCTAGACCTTTCTGAAAAACAGCTAGTGAGGTATACAATATCTGGCATCTCCAGGTTGGGTTGGGAGCGTCCCCTGTCTGAAAGTCTGGAAAGTCACTGCAAGCCAGGGAGGGCGATACTGAGGTCGAAGGACCAATGGCTTGATTCAGTATCAGGCAGCTTCCTATGTTCCTATATGTGGAAAGGCACTCATCTGTCCACAGACAAAGGATGGGAAAATGTTTGGAGAAGGGGTAATGTGCTACTAATCCAAAAGGCACCCTTAGCACTCCCACCTGTATTTCTGGGGATTTTCTAGGATGCAGCTTCTAGTGCTCTGAAAAACTCCAAAACCAGCCTGAAGCAACAAGCATAAATTAACACATGCGTAGGCAAACAATGGCCCGGGGTCTGGATCCGGCCCAATCGTCTTCTACATCTGGCCCGTGGATGGTCCAGGAATCAGCGTGTTTTTACACGAGCAGAATGTGTGCTTTTATTTAAAATGCATCTCTGGCTTATTTGTGGGGCATAGGAATTGGTTTATCTCCCCGCCCCCCGAAAAAATAGTCCGGACCCCCACAAGGTCTGAGGGACAGTGGACCGGCCCTCTGTTGAAAAAGTTTGCTGACCCCTGAATTAACATATGAGCCTGATAATGAAACCTGTTCTCATTCTGCCTCCAAGTGAATAAAATGACTTTCACACAGCCTCGGCCTTCTAAATTCTTTTCCTCCATCTTGCATTCCGTCAAGCAACTTCTTTAAAAGTGACTGGCACTGTAACGTGTTAACATTTGTACATTATGACGCTTGCAAGGAAGAATGAAATTAAAAGTGCTCCACAACTTCTTAGTATTGTCTGCGAACACCGATTATTTGATTTAGGAAAGATTGTTGGAAGTGAAAGAGAAATAAACCAGTGCATTACTGTAAATACAGTTATAAAACAAAATTAACATTAAAGGAAACAGTTTGATTACAAACAGCTCAACTGGCCGTAAAGCCCTTAAGGGCCAAACTAGATGAGGTACCATTAGAAACTGCATGGCTGGCATTTTAAAAGTAAGGAGAAAGACCTGGTGCAGATCAGAATCCCTCTGGCGGCTGAGGGGAGTTAATTATTTGCCCCGCAGTGTGGTCCCAGGCCCCATCAAGTCCCCGACACCTGCAATTTACATCAAACATATACCCCAGGTTGCTGCAACCTGTTGAAGTCCATCTTGCAGCAACCTGGAGGACGCTCTTTTCTGCAGTGGCACTGCAGTGCTTGCTGAAAACGTTCCTGTTCACCCAGCATTTCCTAGCCATTGAAACTCGGGTTGTGGCAATTGTTATGCATTTTTGCTTTTAATGTTGTTTTTATCAGATTCTTTTATATTATTGTGGCAAGCCACCTTTGAATTTATTTTAAATGAACGGTGGCAGATTTTTTCATTTTTAGAAAGAAAGAAAGAAAGAAAGAAAGAAAGATTCATTCCATTAGTATGAAAGGGAATTCTTTCAGTGCAAAATAGGAGGCATGCAGGAACTCTGCCATGAGGGGAAAGAGTTAATGCCTTCCTACAAACACACGCACCACCTGCTATTTACTTTAAAAAGATATCCACAGCAACTGCTAACTGCATAAATTACCATCTAATCTACTTTCTCCCTAGGAAGCAGGAACTGCAGCTCAGCACCAGACATAAGGTGTGCGCCTCTTCAGTGCCAAGACAGCACTGCACTAGCAAACTTCTAATGGGCAAAATGGGAACGAGGAAAACCAAGTGCTGCATTAGACTAGTCCCATTATTTTCATAATTTTACTGGTGCATTTTTATTAAAACACAGTGAAACAACCAAAGTACCCCAAAATCCTGGCGCTGAAATTTTGGGCTAACTTTCTAATTTTGAAAGCATCCTTGAACAGATCCTGAAAGTCCTGTCTTCTATCCCTACATGAACTACTCTGATCAGGGCAGACCAGAAGCACATTGTAAGAAAGAAGAAGCAAACAAACAAATGCTTCTCTATATACAAAACAGTTATTAAAAATATGAGGTTGAGTCTGACAAATCACCTTTATAAAAAGATCACAGCAGAGGAAAATAGGCTTTAATTGCAAAACGCTTCTGGTTACCTGTCTATTCGCTTATTCCATAACCTCTTAAGGGCTTTGTTCTTTAAGCCTTCCACGATAAGAAGGTGAATGGATCCGTCCAGAATATGAAACCCAGTAAGAACGTCCAGCTGAGAAATCTCCTCGTAAGTCATCCTGTTATTCAGTTTTAACGCATTAAGAGATTTATGAATGATGCGCAGAGGGTACGAATCCAGTTCTAGAGCCTCTGCGTTGATTTTTGTAATCTCCTGCAGCAAGTAGCCTATGAGAGAAGTGTTTTTAAAGTCGAAAACATAGATGATGCAGCCATAGGGGCAATAATCATCTTTAGTGTCCTCTGCTTCATCTTCGGGAGTTAACGGTACAGCTATTTCAACTCTGACTTTAAGAAAGGCCCCTGAGCACACATAATGGCCCACTGGCATCTGGGCCACCGGAGAGCCGTCGGCAGCCTTAGCCTTCCGAGTGGCACTCGTATCCTGAACGGAGCAGTTGTGAATTGGCGCACAAAAGTTCAAGGCCTTTTCACCTAGCAGTAGTTCAGCCAAGCGGATTTTGGCTACCCCATATGGGTGCCACACTTCCTCCATGCCTTTCATGGGATTCTGGGCCACGTATTTCGAAGTGACCGAGCTCAAATGGCTGAGCCTGCGGTCTCCTGGCTCCTCTCCAAACAAGGAAGGCTTTACATCGACATCCTGCCATTTTTTGTCCCGATCGTGAACCTCGATTTCCAAGGGTGGTCCTCTTAGATACTCATTCAGTTCATCACGTCTTATTGTTCCTGCAAGAATCACGTTGGTATCTTTAAAGAAGACATGAGAGCCATGATCCCGGTCTTGCGTTCGATGTGGCTCCATATTATGGAATTTGTACTTGCAGTAAATAGGAAGGCATGAAAGCTATCGAAAAGAAAGAGCAGACAAGGAAGGTTGGAGGGGGCTGTTTCGGTCTCCTTTATCTCTCAGAAAATATATATACACCTTCTTTCAGTAAAATTAATCAAGTATGAAATAAAAATGCACCTTTGATTGAGGTCGGTTTAGGCTAGCCCAGTACATTTTGCTGCCCAAGACACAGCAGCATAGCATCAATTGCCAGTGCCCAGGGCAGGCAGGGGCAGATAGGGGGCGCCACCTCAGCCCTCACCACCGACAACGATGAAGCAACCCCACCAAAGCAAAGTGGGGTTGCACTAAGCTGCCTGCCCACCCACACAGGGGGGAGTTGGCTGGCACAGCCATTGGCGGGTGGAGAGAAGCAGCAGGCCAGGCCATCCTGGAGGCGCCTGGTTCACGGCCCCCGGCACCCCCGTGCTACGCCATTGCCAAGGCCAAGCAGCAAATGACCCACCCCACCCTATCATGGGTACCCAAGGCTGATGAAAACTATTTTGGTACTCAGGGCAGGAAAATCCCACAAGCATCTCTTCTCTTCCCTGGCACTAAAAACACAATAACAAATTATCAATTTGCTGTCTTTTCATGTTGCCCAACTAAGTTCTGCCTGAGGCACCCACCTCATTCTGCCTAGTGGTAGGGCTGTCCCAGCCATGTAGCATAGTCCAAGGCAGACTGGTGTCAGGGATAGGCAATCTGCAAGCAGCAGCAACAACCTGGTGGTCAGTGGCAGTGGCAGCAAAAAGGTAAGAGTGAAGCTTAGTTCCACCAACATAGATAAGAGACTCCTCCTCCTTCTCATGGAAATTCATAATGACATATCGGCTAGAGTAAAATTCGGCCCTCTGGGAGCTCTTTCTGATTCTTTCTCTCTGAATAAAGGGGTCAAACAGGGCTGCCTCTTGGCCCCTTTTCTATTCAATTTCTATATCAACGACATCGTTACAACTATGCAGGCCCTAAATCAATCTGCCCCTCTTTACAACAGCTTAAGATCCCCATATTACTCTATGCGGACGACATGGTGATACTGTCTTTAACCAAGCAGGGCTTAAACAACATGCTCAGAGGGCTCATGACATATTGTGATACCAATTCCCTCAAAATCAATTTCGCCAAAACCAAAATTCTTACTTTTGGCACGAAAACTCGGAAGTCATTCTGGAATTTTGAGGGCCACTCTATTGAATATTGCTCAGCATTCAAGTATTTGGGAATCACTTTTCAGCATGGGCTTAGCTGGTCAGCTCACCTAAATATGACCATCCTGGCTGCCCGTAGAACCATCAAAGCCTTGGAGAAATTCTTCTATGCAAAAGGCGGCCAGTTGGTTCCACCAATCAGAAAAGCATTTATCAGCAAAGTCCTCCCGATGTTACTGTATGGGGTTGAAATCTGGGGGTGGAATTTAAAAACACTACAACGGCTGGAGATTCTACAAAACTCTTTTGCACGAAAGATACTGGGTCTCCCCAAGGGCTCGGTTGCTGCACAGTTAAGAACAGAACTGGGCCTCCCTCCATTGTTGCGAGAGCCCACATTAGAATTATTAGTTTTTATTGCAAATTAATCAATGCCCCAGGTTCCCTACTAGCCAGGCAAGCCTTTTTAACTTGTTCTCACTCCAACTAATGGTCCAAGGCCATGGAGACTATTACTGTACGCTACTCCCTCCCAGATTTCGACACGTTGTCATCTTGGGACCAACATAAAATCCGGGCCTGGATTCTTACAAGAGATGAGGCCATGGACCGGGCACAGTCCACCTCAGCTCGCCTCTCCATGTGGCTCCCTAAAGTGAAAGTGGTAAGATCACTTGCCAACTACTTGATAGACCTGACGGAGCCCAATTTGAGAAGAGCGTTTACAATGGCCCGCTTTCATTCTATACCCACGGCCTTCCTGCAGGGGACCTACTCTAAGACCCCTATTACTCAGCGTCTATGTCCATGCACAATGAATGAAGTAGAGGACTTCATACATTTCTTTTTCTACTGCCCTATTTATGACCCAATAAGACCTAAGCTCCTCCTCTTGATCCCGTCCTCCATTTCATCTAAGGAAGACTGTTTGAAAGCACTTCTTGTGGACGCAAATCCCCAAATTTCACGTGGGGTGGCAATCTTCACAGTGCAGGCTCTGAAACTCAGGGCTACTCTGACAGGGTAGTGTGCCCTAGTCCCGGACCTGTTTAATTTTTATTACCTTTTTAACTTAATGTGCTGAGCCTATTTTGGGGCCATTTTATGCTTTATTTATATCCGCATGCAAGGTTTTTAGCTGGGGCAATGAGAATAATATTCCACTATTTGACTATTGATCCAAAACCCTATAATGTGTTTTATACAATTGACTTTTCATTTCTATTCTTTGTCTATCCTATTGTTGTTTTGTTGCTATGGCCGATGGCTGATGCAAATAAAGATTCATTCATTCAAGGTAAGAGTGGCTGCCCTCACTCTTCTGTTTCCCCAGTCCACTGCCTGCACTTGCATACTCAGGGAAGGGCCTGCCTTGAGGCGAGTGGGCAAACATGCTCCCTCAATGATTCCATGTGCATATAAAAAGTGCAAACAAGAGTTCTGGATGGGGGAACTTAAATGTGCTAGATTTTCCATCACCACTTGTTACATAAATGCAGCGATCCAATATGGCCACAAGTTCACTTCAGGTCGTCTTTAGATTATAACTGTTTTGCAAATAAGAAATGGGGAAATTACAAATGTAAGAAGCAGGAGCTTTTCAGAATTCAATTCTGTTTCCCCCAGAATGTCACATGTAGTTACTTGAGAAGAATGCTCTGATTTACCTGTAGCACTTTAATTGGAACGGGGGTGTCCGGTAAGCACCTTGCGGAGTTAATCTTAATAATCAGCGGATTTAATTCATGTTTCTGTTTCTCACTCATCAGAGTCCCTTCAACAGAAAAGCTAAGGTATGCGTCCCAAAGTTTAGGGGATTTCTCTCCTAGCTGACTGACCACACAGCGTTGTCCTGGAAATGGAATTACATTATTTATATAATCATTATAGCAGCAGTACTAAAGAAGCAATATGTTCTATGTCATTGCTTGATAGGCTTATTAAACAACTGAGCCTCTTGGGCTGGCTAATCAGAAGGTCAGCAGTTCAAATTCCTGCAATAGAGTGAGCTCCCGTTGCTCTGTCCCAGCTTCTGCCAACCTAGCAGTTCGAAAGCACACCAGTGCAAGTAGATAAATAGATACCTGTGGCAGGAAGGTAAATGACGTCTCCGTGTGCTCTGGCTTCCGTTGCGGCAGAAGCGGTTTAATCATGTTGGCCACATGACCCAGAAAGCTGTTTGTGGACAAACACTGGCTCCCCTTGGCCTGAAAGCAAGATGAGCACCGCACCCCATAGTCACCTTTGACTGGACTTAACCATCCAGGGGTCCTTTACCTTTTTAAGGCTTATTCTCTGGAGAAACCACACCACATCATTTGGTCATTTGTGCCACTTTAACAAATGCAAGAACCTGCAGAGAAAGGAGCAAAGACTAGGGCAACCTAGCAGTGCGTTCTTTTCTAGCCAACCCCTGTCACAATTGCAAAGGAAGCAGGGAGCTCCTTTGGGGAAGGGCCACAGCTCAGTGAGAGAGCATTTCCTGAGCATGCAGGAGATCCTTGCTTCAATCCCCTGCTTCTCCAGGCTAGAGAGCTACTGCCAGTCAGTGTAGACCATGCAAAAATGATGGACTCATGGTCCTCCTGTCTCAATATAAGGCAACTTCCTATGTAGGAATACGACCACCACGTATGACCATGCTTGGGACCCATGGTCTTTTTTTTATAGGTTTCCTTGGCCTAGACTAGACCTGCTCCCTCCCTTTATTGCTCATGTGTGCCCAACTCTCTAAAAATGCTTCCAATCATTGCAGTCCTGCAACGGAACAACATGTGAAATCAACAAGCAGCATCAAAGAGCATCTCTCCCCACTCTCCCCCATTACTACCTCCTTTCCAGCTCTCCTGCTGCCAACACTTTTAATACTGAATTTTAAATTGATGTAACCTGCTTTGACACCTGCTGGTGAAGGGCGGGCAGTAATTTTAATAATGGTGGTGGTTGTGTTAGTATATGATAAAAACAAACTACTTAGGGGAAAATGACACATAAAACTAAATTGCTTCCATTTTATACGCGTGATCTTCCCCCCTGCCCCGTTGCTCTTAACCTTCTGACTGCAGCATTTCTTACTCATCTGCAGTTTGTAATTTTGTCTTCCATTCCCCTGCTCCAGCTTGCTTATTTTTACCTCTCCAAAGTTAGTCCCTAATTCTTCTCTCCGTTATGTCAGCTACTGGCTTAAAAAGAACCCAACTGTCCATTAGCATCGGTCTCTCTTTCTCTCTCACACTCATTGCCCGTCACATATTTTCAGCCATCTCCTCACAGTCAATGAAGGGACAGGCCTTGAACTCAATAGGGAATCCTATTTCTCAAGGGTCATTTTTAGAAATTGTCATTGGACTTAGAAGTGCTGCAGATCACCAGCAGGGGGAAGGGAAGGTAAAGGACCCCTGGACGGTTAAGTCCATTCAAAGGTGACTCTGGGGTTGCGGCGCTCATCTCGCTTTCAGGCCGAGGGAACCGGCGTTTGTCCACAGACAGCTTTCCAGGTCATGTGGCCAGCAGGACTAAAGCACTTCTGGCGCAACAGAACACCGTGACACAAACCAGAGCGCACAGAAACACCGTTTACCTTCCCATCACCTATTTATCTACGTGCACTGGCATGCTTTCGAACTGCTAGTTTGGCAGGAGCTGGGACAGAGCAACAGGCTCTCACCCCATTGCAGGGGCCAGCAGGGGGAGCCCACAAGCCAGCAGCAGAACTTCATATTGCACATGAAAACGGGGTGCCGGAAGAGGGAGCCCTCCAAGGACAAATAGAAGGCAAAGGCTTTGCAAACCTCACTTGCAACCACAAGGCATGGAATACTTTTAGCATTCATTGTACTACATCTGTTACAAGTATGCACTAATCTGAACAGAACTGAAGGGAAACAGCCTGTATCAGTAGTAGTGCAGATTTGCTGAACAAAATTACAAAGCGCAAGAGAAACTGAGAGGACCTCTGAATGTGCCAGAGTGCCGTCCAATTAATGCATCAATGCCCTTGAAGCCTCAGCTTCAATTAAAAGCAAAACGTCCGGAAGCATGCAGCAAAAAGATAATTTGTATGTAAGCTGTCAGCTAAACCAGCAAAGCAGCATGCAGTCTCAGGGGGTTGCCGCTATGTACCTTGCATTCCTAATAGAAGTGAAATCACCATGAGCTTTTTACCTTTCAGGCTTTTGTAGTTTGGGCAGCAATGATGTCAAAAAAGAAAGTGCACATCTCTGCAAATTGTATTAGCTGAACCGTTCAACAGCACAGCAGGCAGGCAGAATGTTCCTATCACCCAACATGCAACATTTTAAAGCCTTATTGAGGCCGTTATTTCCTGTAAGCTGCTATATTTTTCCTACATGGAAATATACAGCAGTAGCTAAATTGCATGCACACTGGCTGCAGGAAGAAGAAAAAAACCTTGTGCTCTGTGTGTGTGTTTTTCTATACAAAGATTTGTTTAGTGGGGGACGTATGAAGCAGCTCTAAAATTAACCTGCACTGATCTGAAAGAAAAAAAAATTCTTGAACTGCAGCCTTTTAACTATATTTAAAAATTTAAAACCCCATAGACAATGAAACCTTTTCCTGACACTTTGACAGTTACCAGACTGTTTTGCAAGAAGAGTTATGTTTGCAAACACTAAGAAAAACCAAAAGGAGAAATCTCAGTAATTTTAATGTCTTTCTTAATTTGCAATACAACAAACCCTTATGAGGGCCAGTCAATTCACAAAACCACAATTCCTGTTACTGGCTGAGTCCAGACAGGAAAATGTACATTAGGAAGTGGCAATCTGAATCCTTTGATCATAGATCTCCCACGCCTGTTACCCTTCTAACCAATACAGCAGCTGTGCCGTACCTCTCTGCCTTAACCTTCTCATTTGGAGCCTCTGAGCATGCAGGATTCCACTTCTGTACAGAGCTTGGCAAACTGCCAGCACTAATTAAATACTGACAGGAGTAACATGTTCAACATCATTCATAAGCAGTATCGCAAAGGCAGGGGTAGATGATAACTGAGGAAAAGTGTCACTCAATTGTCTACAGCAGCCTTCCCCAATCTTGGAGTCCACAGATGTTGTCAAAGAGCACTCCCCCCCCCCATCTCCACTCAGCCTGGCCAACCGTCAGATATGATGGGAGTTGTAGTCCAATGATATCTGAGGGCTCAAGGTTAAGGAAGTCTTGTCTACAACATGAGGCAATATTTCCACCTCCCAAGCCTCAGTCACCTTTTGACTTCCCCCCTCCTCCAGCTATTTTAAATTTTGGAAAGTTTGTCCTTCCTTTGCCTTATGGGGGTCAATTACTAACCTAAGTGTACACAGATGGGCTGATAAGTCAGTTAACGCTTGTGGATTTGTTTACAAGACTGGTCTACTTCGAATCCACAGAAGCTTTCAGAACTCACTAGATTTTCAGCACAAGAAGATGCCATCCCCTTTTCTACTCACAGATATATACATGTTATGTTCTGACTTTACAGACAGGATGTACTGCTTCTGGCTATCTGAATTTGTCCATTTTGCACACTCTCTTGGCAGAGCCAGTATTTGTCCCAGCACTTACAATGCAGCTTCTCACAATAAAACAAGCCAGCCCCTCATTCATCTCTGTGACAAGCTGCTCGAGCATTTGACAATACCAAACTACATAGCATCTAACCCTGGCTTCCTCAACCTCGGCCCTCCAGATGTTTTGAGACTACAATTCCCATCATCCCTGACCACTGGTCCTGCTAGCTAGGTATCGTGGGAGTTGTAGGCCAAAAACATCTGGAGGGCCGAGGTTGAGGAAACCTGATCAAACCACTTCACCCTGCAACCTTACCCCCCCCCCCGCAAAGTAGTGGGGCGGTGGGGGTGTGAGGGCGGGGAAATACCTGACAAGAGGGGCATGAGGTTCAGCTCTAAAAAAGCTATTCCAAACTTCTTTGTCAGAGATGTTGAAGCTGCAGCTTCTTTAGTAGTAGATTTCTGGGTGGTCGATGCAGATCTTTTTTCTAAAACTCGTGAGGGTTTCTTTTTTTCTGGTAACTGGTGGTGCCCTGAAAGAGAACATATATTTCAATGGTCAAGTGTCTGATAGAGAACAGAATTTTATCTGATACCATCCATCAACATTAAACAGTACTGGTTTGATATATTTAAGAGAGCAACTGCTTGACCTGAAAAAGGCTGGGAAATTAACGCCTAGGCCATTGGCCGGGTTCAGCTATAGGTGACAGTCACACAGAATCACCTGCACTGAACACCTTGCTGCGCTTGGGTAAAATAGCTTCATCCAGTCTGCGACCAATTTTCATGCACTTGCAGCCTTACCCACTGCCCTTGCTTCGCAGGTGACCAGCGTGTGCCGCCATGCACACTCTTTTCCTTTCAGCAAGAAGGAGGGAAGAGAATCTCGACACACAACTTGATTTGTGTACAGTATCTCTGGATTCAGCTGAATGTGTTGTGAACAGGTGTATGGATCTGAACTTATTTCTACGGTTTATCTCTGTAGATCATAGTGTAAGTGTAAAGGTTGACATAACTTAAATACAGTGGTACCTCAGGTTAAGAATTTAATTCGTTCCAGAGGTCCGTTCTTAACCTGAAACTGTTCTTAACCTGAGGTACCACTTTAGCTAATGGTGCCTCCCACTGCCGCTGCACGATTTCTGTTCTCATCCTGAAGCAAAGTTCTTAACCTGTGGTACTATTTCTGGGTTAGTGGAGTCTGTAACCTGAAGTGTCTGTAACCCGAGGTACCGCTGTATGCCATGAGATTCACCGTCATGAAACTTGCTTGACCTTGGTAGAAGCCCAATACCTCATCTCAAAATGTGCCATCACACCTTGTAAAGATCAGCACATGCAAATTTAGTTGCCAAGCACAGCCTATTCAAGCTCCTGAATGAGGGCCATCAAGACAAGGGTAAGGCAGAGAGCACACAAAAAGATGGCCAGGTCCTGTCTGGTTCATTTCTCTCTAGGAAATTAAGAGTTCCTTCAAACTCTTAAATCTGCAAGATGGGCAAGGTGAGAAATGGGCGGGGGGGGGGGAAGAGAGCCAGGAATGAGTCACCTCAAAGCCCCTCCCTTCCTTCCCTACTAAGAGGCATTAGCTAACCGCCCCCCCCCCCCGACTTTCAATAGTTAGCTGGCTATCATAGCTATCCCTAGCTCCAATGAGAAACTCTCTTTTTCTCTGTGCTCTCAAGGAACAGCACGTGCCCACTTCACTTTAAGGACAGGTATACTCTTTCCTTTCCATTTCTTACCCTTAGTGTGGGCGCTGCTGGCAAAACTGTCTCACCCACATTTCTGTAAATAACTTCACTCCTTAGATAAAGGGGTGTGGGTGGGTGTATTGTAGGAGTTGCTGCTTGCTTAAATTGCAATTTTGCTTTCTGAAGTAGCATTTATGTATTCTATTTCGTATAATAAACCAATCTTTCTTTATTCCTTTGGTGTGAGATGTTCTTGCGGGCATAAGGTTAAGGGTTATTCATAACAAGCGCATGTTGTAATTCCAGCAAAAGACCTTAAATTTCTCTTTAGCATATGCGTCCTTGCACACACATGTAGGTTCAGACACATACTGTTGCAGTGTTAGTTTACAGGAAGGAAATACTTTGAAGAAAGCTAAAAAACTTGTTCTATGCACCTATAGCTGTCTGTCATTTGTAGCGAAAGTTAAAAGATTTTGCTCTCTACATTTTCACATTAGTTTGAATTTTACTTTATTTTATTTTCAAAAGAGTCCTCATGAGAATTCATCAGCATTTTAGTGTGAATTTTTCCTGATATGCGTATGTTTATATGTAATCTTGCCCCATAGACACATTTTTGGAAGGAAATTATCCAGAGCACAATGGATTTTTGAATGCCATTTTCACTAATATATGACTCTATATGCATCCTTTACCCAATATATACAATTTGCACACATTAATTGGTTGAAAACCCGCATTGTAAGTTTCAGAGAAGCGTGCCTTTCAAAGAATGGGTGTGCTTCAGTTCACATATTGTTTCAGAAAGTGCAAATTAAGTACGTTCTCCTTTAAATATGAACTGAAATGAATTTCTTCCCCATCCCTACCCTACGATTCAGATGAAGAACCGTGATGTAAATTATTATTGTATCTTTTTTTTTTAAGTGAAAACTTGGGGAAAATAACTACAGCACGTTAAGCAACTCTGGGAGAGAACCATCCAATCATGTCTCAGCAGGCTTGAATATAACAAGCAAGCAAAACTCCCCAGAAAAGTGTGCAAATGCTTATCAAAAGTGTATAGAAGGGCTCCAACTGCCTTCGATGTAAAGGAAATAGCAGCTTGAAGATTAAGACACAATGTGTGGAACTGATCTCATAAGTCACGGGTCCCTGGAGTCATGGGAAAGAGGGACTTAAACAGAGCCACAAAACAAACAAGGCAGACATGGCGAAGGGCTGAGCTTCTCAAGCAGAGATGCTTGCTGCAAATCTGCATGCGTGAGAGCAGGCTACAAAATGCTCTCTATTCTCTTTGCTTTTGCGTCAGATAAAGGAAGTGTCTGACCCGCAGCAATACTGAGTTCTCCAGCGTTAGCAGGCTTCAACAATGACTCTCAGGTCAGGAATCAGAGCAGGGAAAGTGTCACTGAGAAACAGAAAATTGAGGGAGATCCCACAAAAAACAAAACAAAAAAAAAAACCAGTTGCATAGAATGGGCTATTTGACAGGATCACCACAAGAGCAGATTTCTAGATTATTCAGGGAATGCAGTAGCCACTCACAAACGTGTATGACTATTTGCCAGATTGTAGTATAAATAACTTGCACCATAATAAGCTGTCAGACAATTTGTCCAATTAGCCCTGTATCATCTACTCTGACTGGCTGTCCAGGGTTTCAGGGAAATTGAACCTGGGGCTTTATGCAGGGAAAGAACATGACCCGTCACTTTAGCTACTAGCCTCCATGCACGTGGTCTAGGAACTTTAAAGTTTTAAAGTTAGGGGCAAGTTCTGCAAGTGGATGAAGATTCCAAGGTCAAGAGTGTATGGTGTCACAGCTGGGGGATTCCTACTCAGTGGTCTCGGAATTACAACAAGCCCTGGATAAGGTTCAGTATTGGGGCAAGGGACCAGGAGCCTTAGAGGAGGCTGAGGACGAGCCGTAGGCACCATGGGTTGGTATGGCCTCTGATGCCGAGGCTGAATGAATCCTGAGCCCAAGGGAGAGATGCCATCTGGAAGTAATATGCTCCTATTGAAGACAACTGGCAGGAGTCAGGTGGATCAACTGGGTTGTTCCAGCAGCTCCAGCTCAAAAAAGCCCAGTGCCTGGCTGGAACAGGAGCTGGAACAAATGTTTTTTCAGCAGCACTGTGACCAATCTGACTGGTTAGATTGCATCTGACCTTGGACTGCCCAGGACCTGGTCATTGCCTATGCTCTCGACTGTTCACAGACCAACTTGAACATGACTTTGACTGCCCTGACCTTGCCTCTCACCTCAACTCTTGTTTTGGACTCTGATGACTTGGGCTCTGACTCCAGACCAGCCCTGGATACCACTTTTGCACAGCAGTCACACTTGAGCTTTTAGTACAGGTCTTCAAATCCTACTCATTACCCCCATTTCTACACCGCAATCTGACTAAATTAGTTGAGCTAATGTTAATTCTTATGGGTAGGGGGCAGGGAGCAGACCTAAAATATTTTTCTTTTTTACATTCTGCCACCCAAATGAAGGCATGTAACACACACAATTTAAGAATATTTCATCAGGTGTTAGCTTGCGGGGGAATGTATTGTTTTGAGGTTTTGCATTATTTGTTGAATACCCCTTAATAAATGACCCAGTGTCTACCTATTGCATAAAACATTTGTCACCCATTACAGGCAAACTTTCCTCCACTGCTACCCTATTATCTTAAGTGGTTTGCTATTTCGTCTAGAGCTACAATCCTATATACAGGGTTTTGGGAATAAGCCCCAGTAAACTCAGTGGGACTTTAAACATTCATAGGATTCCACTTCACATCCTTTCTGCACTCACCTCCATCTGGTGTCTCCTTCCTTTCTGAATGCTCCATCGTTTTTCCTATATGAGTTTTCATAATTGCCGAGGCTTTAGCATGAGGTTTCGAATGCAATTTCTGCTTTATAGCTTTGGCTTCCTGTAGAGTTCTTTCTTTCAGGGAAGAGGGTATGCTCCCAGAAATACTGACTGCACTTAAAGAAAAATAATTGTTTTTTGAAAAAAAAAATCTCAGAAGCATTTGGAAGATTAAAAAAATATACACAGCAACGATAGAAAAATGAAACTAAACTCAACACAGCAAATTGTACAACCAAGGGAAACATCACAAACTTTTAATTATTTTAAAAGATGTAGCTGCCGTTATAAAACTATGTACATTGTAAACCAGGGATGGGGAAACATACACATGAGATACTACAGCTTTTGTCTGCTTTAGGACAGGTGCATGTGAGATAGCTGCCAGTTGGCTTTATTTTTTTTTTTTAAAGCAATTTATTGGGTTTTACAATAAGAATAAATGTAATAAACAATATAGCATTCGTCTTAACATAATTTCACATTTTCTTTGGACTTCCTCACATCTCCCACTCCCACCTTCATCATTATAACATTTTGTCAGCAATTTATCATCTTATTTAAATTCTTATATCTCTTCGATATTTCATAATCTTAAAGTTCTCATAAAGAGTTAAACTTTCACAATTTTTCTTGTTTCCTTAAAAATTTCTAAGTTAAGTGGTGCTCAGTTATTTAGTCCAGCATCTTATTCAGCATTCAATCAAATCACAATGTTTTTGTAGGTAGTTCTTAAATTTCTTCCAATCCTCCTCGATTCTCTCTTCTCCCAGGTCACGGATTCTGCCAGTCATTTCAGCCAGTTGCATATAGTCTATCAGTTGCATCTGCCATTCTTCCAGTGTGGGTAGATCTTGGGTTTTCCAATGTTTTGCGAGTAGTATCCTTGCTGCTGTTGTTGCATACATAAAAAATGTCTGGTCCTTCTTTGCCACCCCTTGGCTGACAATACCCAAAAGGAAAGCCTCTGGTTTCTTAGTGAAAGTATATTTAAATACCTTTTTCAATTCATTATAAATCATTTCCCAGAACGCCTTCACTTTAGGGCATGTCCACCAGAGGTGAAAGAACGTTCCTTCACACTCTTTGCATTTCCAGCACTTATTGTCAGACAGGTGGTAAATTTTTGCAAGTTTGACTGGGGTCATATACCATCTATAAATCATTTTCATTACATTTTCTTTCAAAGCATTACATGCAGTAAATTTCAATCCATTACTCCACAGCCTTTCCCAGTCCTCAAACATAATATTATACCCGATATCCTGTGCCCACCTTATCATAGCCGATTTAACCATTTCATCCTGTGTGTTCCATTCCAACAGCAAGTTATACATCCTTGAAAGTATCTTAGTCTTTGGTTCTAACAATTCTGTTTCTAATTTCGATTTCTCCACCTGGAACCCTAGTTTCTTATCACTTTTAAAAACTTCTTTAATCTGAGCATAGTGTAACCAATCTCGCACTTTGTCTTTCATTTTCTCCAAGCTCTGCAATTTCCAATTGTCTCCATCTTTTCTAGTATTTCCCAATATTTTGGCCATTTGGCCTCCATATTGGGTCTTTTCGAGCCTTAGCTTCCAAAGGTGAAAGCCACCTTGGTGTTTTATTTTCCAGCAAGTCTTTATATTTTGTCCAGACATTAAACAGTGATTTTCTAACAATATGGTTCTTAAAGGCCTTATTTGCTTTAACTTTGTCATACCATAAATATGCATGCCATCCAAAAACATTGTTAAACCCCTCCAAATCTAACACATCAGTGTCTTCAAGAAGTAGCCAGTCTTTTAGCCAGCAGAACGCTGCGGCTTCATAGTACAACTTTAAGTCCGGCAGGGCAAAGCCCCTCTTTGTTTAGCATCGGTTAGTATCTTAAACTTAATTCTGGGCTTTTTGCCCTGCCAGACAAACTTCGAAATGTCTCTCTGCCACTTCTGAAAGCACTCCATTTTGTCCAATACCTGCAGTGTTTGAAATAAAAACAACATTCTTGGCAATACATTCATCTTAATCGCAGCAATTCGGCCTAACAAAGAAAGTTTCAATTTTGACCAACTGTCTAAGTCCCTCTTAATTTCTGTCCAACATTTTTCATAATTATCCTTAAATAGACTTAGATTTTTGCTGTTATGTTTACCCCTAGGTATTTTACTTTTTAACCACATTAAGTTCCGTCTCATTCTGAAACCGTTCTGACTCTGTCTCAGTCAGATTTTTCCCCAAAACCTTAGTTTTCTGTTTGTTTAATTTAAATCCCGCCACCCGACCAAAATCATTAATCAATTGTAATACTCTTTTCGTACTAGGCTCTGGCTTCTGCAAGGTCAAAACCAGGTCATCTGCAAAAGCTTTTAATTTATATTGTTTCTGACCAACCTGAATTCCTTCCACCAGCTGGTCCCTTCTAATCATGTTCAATAGCACTTCCAGGACCGAAATAAATAACAAAGGGAAATAGGGCAACCTTGTCGTGTCCCTTTTTCAATTTTGAACTCTTCTGTAACCACATTATTAACTATCAGTTTTGCTTTCTGTTCTGAATATATCGCCTCGATCCCATTCTCAAAACCCCGTCCCACTCCCATCTCTTTTAAGTTTCCCATCATAAATTTCCAAGAAATGTTATCAAAGGCCTTCTCCGCATCTATAAAAATTAAAACAGCTTTTGTATTTATGTCAGTTTGGAGAAGTTCCAAAATATCAATAATGTTCCTTGTGTTAGCAAACAAATGTCTACCTGGGAGAAAACCGGCCTGGTCCTTATGAATTACTTCATTTAAAACTTTTTAAATCTACTTGCCAAAATATCTGCAAATATTTTGTAATCCACATTTAAAAGGGAGATGGGACGGTAGTTCTTCAGTTGTGTCTTTTCAGTTTCTGACTTTGGTATCAATGTGATAAACGCTTCCTTCCACGAATCCGGTGCCCTCTTCCCCTCCATAATTTCATTGCTAACCTCCATCAAAGGTTGTATCAAATAGTCTTTTAGTATCTTGTAATACTTGGAGGTCAGCCCGTCTGGCCCTGGAGATTTGCCAAGTTGCATGTTCTGAATAGCTTGTTCAATCTCCTGTCGTGTTATTTTAGAGTTCAGGATTGTCCTATTTTCTTGTGACAGTTTAGATAATCCATTTTTGCCAAAAATTGTTTAATCTCAACTTCGTCTTGCGGCCCTTGGGTATATAATTTTTAAAATATCTCTGGAAACACTTTCTAATGTCCACTGGATTCTGAATGTTTCTTCCATCAACCTCTAAATTTGTAACCGTGTTTAATCTTTGTCTTCTCTTCAACTGCCAGGATAGCAGTTTTCCACATTTATTCGCCGACTCAAACGTTTTTGTTTCATTAATTTGATCTTCCATTCAATTTCCTGATTTATCAATTTAGAATACTGTGTTTGGTACAGTTTAATTTCTCTCAGAGTTGGCTGTGACTTTGGATTCACTCTTAATTTCTTCTCTAATTCTTTTATTTTATCCAAAATCTTGTCTTTTTTCTCATTTTGTGTTTTTTTCTTTACTACATTCTGTTGTATCAGGAATCCCCTCATAACAGCTTTGCTTGCGTCCCAGACGATTCTTTTTCCACCGAATTGTTCATATTTATCTCAAAATAATCTTTCAAAACTTTTTGGGCCTTCTTGGTAATTTCCTGATCTCTAAACAAATTGTCATTCATCTTCCATCTAAAGGATCCAGTTGGTAGTAGTGTCATGTCCATCTTTACTGCGTTGTGGTCAGAACAGGTCTTTGGGCAGATTTCCACTTTTCTAACCCTAGGTGCCAGGCCTCTAGAGATCCATATTTGGTCGATTCTTGTCCAGGTCAGTTGGGCTTCAGAAAAGAATGTTCCTTCTCTACCTAGTGGGTTCTTTGTTCTCCAAATGTCGATCAAGTCCATATTGTCAGTCATTTCAAAAAGGTTTTAGGTAGTCTGCCATCTTTTGTGATGTTTTGACTTTGCGACTTGTCCATGTTAGTTGACACGACCCCGTTCATGTCTCCCATCATTATGATGTTGTTGTAATCCAGATGATCCAGCATTGTCCCCTGCAACTTCTTGTAAAATTCCGATTTCCCTTCATTAGGCGCATAGATTCCTAATATCAGCAGTTTCTCTCCTTGATATTGTATCTCAATAGCCAAAATCCTTCCATGCTCATCTTTAAATAGAAATTTAGGTGACAGGCTCTCTTTTGCATATATCACCACTCCTCTCTTCTTCACTTTATCCGACGAAATAAATTCCTGGCCCAATCTTTTATTTATTAACACTTTTCTGTGGAGCCTCGTCACATGTGTTTCTTGTAAGCAAATAATGTCCAATTGTTCTTTTTTTAATATATGAAATATTTTCTTCCTTTTCTCCGGAATATTGCAACCATTAATATTCCAGCTCAACAGTTGCAGAGACATCCTGGATCTATCTGGTTATTTCTCCTGGGGTGGTGTCTTCTCTTGATCTTCAAGTTCCCGAGGTGGAGGTATTGATGCTGGCTTTGCCTCAGGCCCGGAAGGTAGTTCAATTCCTTTATGTAGGTCCTCTCCGTGTGTAGCCAAAAATTTATCTCTCTCTTCCAATGTTCTAATTTTAACCTTTCTCGCTCTAAAGGTAAAAGATAATCCTTGGGGAAAATCCCACCTGAATGGAATTGCGTTGCTCCTTAATAGTTTAGCAAGTTCAGAATAGGCGGCTCTAAGGTCCAACAGTTGTCTTGGGATATCTTTATATATCTCAATTCTTCTATCCAAAACTTCCAGTGACTTTTCGTAATGTAGGCCCAAAATCTTATCCCTTTCCTCCTTCGATCTCAATGTAATCAAACAATCCCTGGGCCTCTCCTTCTTTATAAATCTTCCAAGTCTGAAAGCTGACACAATTTTAAAGTCCTTTTCTTCCAAATTCCAGAACTTGGAAAGTTCTTTGGTCAAAAACTCAGTTAGATTTCCTTCTTCTGCCTCTTGTAATGATCTAATCCTCAAATTATTCTCACGATTTCGCAGTTCTATCATAGAAAGATAAGTCTGATGTTCCCCAACTTGTTTAGTGAGTGGTCTTACCTCTTGCTCTAAATTTTCCAATTTTTGTCTGGTATCCTCAGCCAATTTTCGGTTTTCTACTGAGGCCTCCGTCAACTGTCCAATTGCTTGTGTATTCTGTCCCACCTGTGTAGTTAATTTGTTTAGACAATCTGTATTTTTATCAATCTTTGCTGATTGCGCATCTACTTTCTTGTCCAAAGCTTCCAATTTTTCAAAGATTTTTCTAGCACAGAAACAGATGCTCCTGAGGCCATATCTTCCAATTGTAACTGCTCTACTTCACCCTCTCCCTCTTTTGCCTGTAGCAAGGCAGCTTCTTCAAGTTGTACTTCTGAGGGCAAAGTAGGCACAGATGATCTACGTGTCTGCGAGGCTGAGGTTAGATTTGTTAGAGTTGTTTGTCTAACTCTTCCTCTTCTTCTTGTACCACTCATTCCAATGTTATCTATCAGTCAAGGTCACACTGAGTTTTCCCACAGGAATAGAGAGGCCCAGAGCATGCAGACAACAAGAGAATCGAAAGTAAATGTTTTTATAAAGTCACTGTTTTAATCCAATCCTCTAGAGGGAGCTTAAAGTGTCTTTTCAGAGTCTGATTTAATGTCCCAGAACCTTCCAATATAAGTATTAAGCAGAGTTTAAAAGTAATCACTTTGTTGCAGACAGTGCTTATTTGTCTCCAAAAAGAATGTTTCAAATTTAAAAGGTCTCAATACCCTCAGATTGTTGCAACTTCTGATATACAGTATCCAAGTCAAACACTGACAGCCCACTGTTACAGTGCTCAAGCAATCCTGACTCTGGGTTACACCTTCCAATTTGTAATCCGATAAAAGGGGAAAGTCAAGTGCAAATAAAAGGTCCAAATCTTTAACTTGCTAATTTTACTTTAAATTGTAAGTTCCATAGATGCTTGGCTGTGTAGAGTTTAAAATCTCTTTCTTTCAGCCTCCACTCCTCCACTTTAGTTGCTTTTTTTTTTCAAGTTCAATGGCAGCGGAAGACGGACTTCCTGTTTCCACGTCTCTCCGCTTTCAGCCAAATTCAAGTCAATTTAAACCTTCTCATTTAAAATTTGTAATTCCAAGTGATTCAGTCTTTACTCACGAGTAAGTTGTTTTCTTCCAGATCCGAATTTTAACAGGAAAAGGGATCAGCGCTCACCGGCAGCAGCAGCGCGGCTTCACTCCGCTGACTGTGAAACGGCTCACAGCGCCGCAGCCCCCCTCCACGCTCCGGAGCCTCTTACGAGGCTCCTTCTGCAGTTGGAGGGCTGCTCTTGGCGCCCGCCGAGCCTCAGGACCCCAGGCTCTTGCTGCCTGGGGTTTTTCTCGTTGAGTCTCCGCTTCGCCGTAGCGGACGACCCGGTTTCAGCGGAGCTTCTTCTCCGGTCGGGAGAAGACCGCCATTACCGTTCGCGCCGCCCCCCGGAAGTCGCTGCCAGTTGGCTTTAAAGTTCTCTCCATGTTTACTGCCTTCATGCAGCAAACCATCTGCATACAGTGGTGTGCCAAGGGGATTCTCTCTATACACCATTTCAGTCTTCCAATAGAAAGCTTTTCTGGTGCCACAGAGGGGAAACATCCGTCCTTCCCTGTGGGAGGCACTGCACACAGACAGCTTGCCATATAGACAGCCATGATGGGGATGGCTTAGAGACCTCTCAGTCAAACCCATGATGCCTCACTGAGCACAGGACAGAGCTCTTAGGTTCTAGATCTAGATTCTGCGTTCAAACATCTCCAGTAATCTGTCCTATCCTACACAGGGTTGTGGTGTCATCATGTATCAACGGTACTTCTTTCATAAGGAAATGTTTTGCACTAGCAGGGTGCGATGTGCTTTGCTTACAGAACAGACCCAACTTTTTGTATAAACCCTGCAACTCTTTGCTGGAGGATGACACACTTGGATCTTTAACGTGGACTAGGAATATCCATGGGCTTTTCAAGCACTAGTTTATACTTAGAAAGCTAAGTCATCTACAATGCTATTTTCTGTGCCTTTTCTACATGCCTAATTTTCTATATTCCTAGTTACAGGTAGTTAGCCGTGTTGGTCTGCCATAGTCGAAACAAAATAATAATAAAAATTCCTTCCAGCAGCACCTTAGAAACCAGCTAAGTTTGTTATTGGAGCTTTCGTGCGTAACTGAAGTGTGAATGCACACGAAAGCTCATATCAATAGCAAACTTATTTGGTCTCTTAAGGTACTACTGGAATGATTTTTTTAAAATTATTTTGTTTCTATATTCCGTTTTCCTAAATAAACTGTATTTTTTTGCTTAACTGGCTTCTTGGGAAAGGGAAAAACAAAAGCACCTCCTCCATTCTGCCACCGGGAGCATTTTGTGAAAGAAGCTTTGGTCACAAGGCCCTCTCACCAACAACTAGAACCTCAGGTTCCAAGCCATAATTTTGCCAATAGTAATCTTCAAAGCTAGACAGTTGGAAGTATAAAAAGCCACTGGATAAGCAATTTCTACATTGTTCCTCTGACACCCTTGGAAGAAACTCCCTTTGGGAGAAAGGATACACAAGGCATGGCAATCTGTTGCTCTAACAGAAGAAGGCTGCCATTCTGTTTAATGTTAAGAATTTTTTTAAAAAAAAAACATCATCTCAGAACATTCTCCTTGCCTTTTTGAAAGCAGATATATTGTCAGGATATAATGAGACAATTAATAAGGTGTGTGCTATTAAAATGTTGGATTCTTAATTAACCCATTAAAATAATTATACATGCCAAGGGAGGTCTCAGTTTTAGACATTGCTTTACAATATTTTGGAACAGTGATGGCACAGGATTGTTAAAAAGATTCTGATAAAAAGCTCACTAAGAGCTATATTTTTATTGGCGAGAATTAATTATGTAATTAATCATCACATGACATTAAGTAGACTACTCGTATAATATAGATGAAATATGACCAGTGTTATGAGATTTTGCAGAAACTGACACACCAAATAATCAAGTGAAAATTGATTTATGCTAATGCTAGTCAAGCAAATAATTATGCCAGGCAATGTGTGGAACAGCCAACGTGAATGGAGAAGAACCCTATCAGGCCGGCTAACAGAGACCCAATACCAAAACCCAGCAAATTGTTCCTTCAAAATGTCTAAGCAATCATCAGACCAGTCAAGTTTTAGATTCCTATTCAGGCTTTGAGAGACATACTGTATGTCTAATGAGATTGAAGGCTCAACTAGCTGAAAAACTCAACAATTATTGAAATTCTTTCTGAAGCACAAAACCTAACTAGCATAGTTAAGGGGGAAAGAATGGTTAATGGCCAATATTTTTAATACTGACCTCTAAGACCTCTAAAAGGGATGTGGGTGGCGCTGTGGGTTAAACCACAGAGCCTAGGACTTGCCGATCAGAAGGTCGGTGGTTCGAATCCCCGCGACGGGGTGAGCTCCCGTTGCTCGGTCCCTGCTCCTGCCAACCTAGCAGTTCAAAAGCACATCAAAGTGCAAGTAGATAAATAGGTACCGCTCCGGTGGGAAGATAAGCGGCATTTCCGTGCGCTGCTCTGGTTCGCCAGAAGCGGCTTAGTCATGCTGGCCACATCACCCGGAAGCTGTACGCCGGCTCCCTTGGCTAATAAAGCGAGATGAGCGCCGCAACCCCAGAGTCGGCCATGACTGGACCTAATGGTCAGGGGTCCCTTTACCTTTCAAGACCTCTAAAACATATGTGTTGGGAGACAGCTGTGCTGGCTGGGGTTGGTGGAAGTGCTAGACTAAAAGCATATGAAGGGCACCAAGTTGGCAAAGTCTGCATTAAAATGTGCCTCTCCTAAAATCCCCTTTCTGTCATTCTACATCCATTCAATTAGGGTTGCCACCTTTGTTCTGGCAAAATACAGGGCAGGGCAGGGTAGGGAAGTTGGGGGGCATTTCCCCCTCATCTGGCGCTGATGTGAAAGCAATCCATTCTGATCTATTGCTGTCTTACAGGATGCCCCCTCTGGAATTTCACACACACAAATTTCTAAATCTGTCTGCTCTTGGCTACCTAGAGCTTAAATATGGCTCAGTTAGTAGAGCATGAGACTCTTAGGCTAGATCTAGACACATCAAAGAAGCGATTCAGTTAAGCACATTGTAAACTTCATACAGGGAAATCCCGTTGGCGAAAAATGGGATTCCACAGTGCCATCTGGTGTCACAGTGTTACAACACACATAAAGCACTTTATCTTTACAAAGGTAGAAGAGTTCTTAATCTCAGGGCGATGAGTTCAAGCCCCACGTTGGGCAGAAGGTTCCTGCATTTGCAGGGGATTGGGCCAAAGGACTCTCGAGGTCCCTTCCAACTCTACAGTCCTATGGTTCCTATAACCGTTTACACACCCTTTCAAACACATACATTTGGAGAGGATTCCCAACGTGGGAGACAGAGAAAGTGTGTGTGTTGAAATACAGGAAAAAACTGTATCAATACAGGTCATAGCATTTTACACTGAAATATGGGACAATCCTTTATTATACGGGACAGGTGACAACCCTACATTCAATGAATACGTATCAAGGGTGAGGCACTAATGCAGGCATCCCCAAACTCAGCCCTCCAGATGTTTTGGGACTACAATTCCCATCATCCCTGACCACCAGTCCTGTTAGCTAGGGATAATGGGAGCTGGATGGCCGAGTTTGGGGATTCCTGCACTAATGCAAGAAACATTCCCTCCCACCCGACCTTCACTGTATGGCCGAAAAAGCCCCACTACCTGCACAGACAAGCAGAGGGCTCCCTCTGAGTTTGGAAACCTGTAATACCAGTGCTCCCAACACAAGAGAACTTGTTATATGCACAGGGACCTCTGTATGAGAACTGCAGTGTGCACAGCCAGGACCAACCTAAGCTACACAGAGCAGCACTTTTACACATACAGGGAACAATGCAGATACAAGATACCACAAGAAGCAATTCTATAAGTGGAGCTCAATTTAAAAGGGCATGCTTGAATCCAGCATTATCCCTGCATGCTAAGTACTGTCAGTGACTGAGAGGAACTTTCATGTTCTCTGGCAGGCTAACCAACCACAATCCTACATGGTTGGTGTGTGTGTCCTCAGTTTAAAAAGGTAAAGGTATAGGACCCCTGTTGGTTAAGTCCAGTCGCAAATAACTCTGGGGTTGCGGCGCTCATCTCGCTTTACAGGCCGAGGGAGCCGGCGTTTGTCCACAGTTTTTCTGGGTCACGTGGCCAGCATGACTAAGCCGCTTCTGACGCAATGGAACACTAAAACCAGAGCAGCGCACGGAAACGCCGTTTACCTTCCCGCCGGAGCGGTACCTATTTATCTACGTGCACTTTTTTATGTGCTTTCGAACTGCTAGGTTGGCAGGAGCTGGGACCAAACAACAGGGGCTCACCCCATCACAGGGATTCGAACCGCCAACCTTCTGATCGGCAAGCCCAAGAGGCTCAGTGGTTTAGACCACAGCGCCAACCACATCCCTTGTGTCCTCAGTTACTCATGCATTAATTACACCCAGCTTGAACTACTGCAATGCTCTCTACAGGGCTAGCTTTAAAAACAGTTCAGAAACTGCAACTAGAAGAAAATAACACAGCTGCCAGAATCTTCTAGGTGTACGGTAGTTGGAACCTATTACACAAATCCAGTTTCAATTTAAAATGTTGTGTTAACCTTTAAAACTCTTGAGTTGCCTGTAGGTAGCTTAATTCAAGGATCACCTGCCGACGTGAACCTGTCAAAGCCCTGAAATAAGCATCAGAGGCTCTGCACTCCAGCCTTTTAAATAACCCGTTGGCAAATACTAGGAACAGGGCCTTCTTAGGGTGGCAATTCTGGAATTGGTTCCCTTGGGAGGTCTGTTAAACATACTCTCTTCCAGTTTTTAAACAGGTGCATTTTCTTGTCTTTATTTTTAATTGTTTTTGTGTTTTCAAGCAGGTAAATTTTAAAGCTGATTTCCATTATTTTCGTGCTGTCTCCTTCAGCTTTAATGCTTCTTTGTTCTGTACCATTTTATTTAAATTGATTTTTAATCTTTATTTTACTGTAGTCGGAGGCTGGGTTTTTTTCTGGCAAATCACTTGGGGAGGACTAAGTGGGGCATACAATAAAATAACCCTTTAAAGGTCCACAACAGTGGAAGGGACAATGCCTAAAAATAAGCAAGATGTTGAATTGGCTCCCAGCACTGTGTGTCAACTTAATGTGTGCAGTCATATAAATTGTTCAAGTCATGAATATAATGCTACCATAATGGGGTTCAGAACAAATCTCTGAACAAATGCAGGATTCCTCTGCACCCTAATCTATTTTCACAACACGTGGCTATCTTCCGGTGGATGAATGCATATAATTTAGGATTATAACAACACGCCACAAGTCAAGTGCAGAAATTAACAAAGTGCTCTCTTTCACAGTACAATTCCAGAAATCTGCATTTTTAGTATGCCCTGAAATCACTGAACAAGAGATTATATTTTATTAAAGGACTAGCACAACTTGAATGTTTTATTTCTAAAGGCACAACTCCCTCATAAATTTACAGCTCAGACATTCTGACTTAAATCACCTGGGAGAAAAGCTGTTTGCTTTTTTAAAGGATTCAAATGTCATATTTGAAAGCCATAATCTGTCTAATTTATAACCATATCATGAAGAATTCTTTTTCATCACAAAGCTTACTTTCAAGTCAGATCCAGTAGTTAACACTTTAATTATATGAGGCACAATTTATAACCACATAATGAAGTATTCTCATTCACACCCCAAGTGATATCATGTTACTTTATTTACAGGCAACAACAACAAAAAGAGACTAGCATTCAAGACCACAGGACCAACCTATACCATGGGCTGCATCTAACAACATCATCTGATTTATTCAAGGACTTCTGCTTGTACAAAAGAACTATTCCTCACCCTCCTCATACTTCTCAGATATGTTCTGGGTGTCCTCTGCCATTCTCCAGAGCTGATTTGAGAGGCGTGCAGGGGAGGCCTCTTGAAGGGGAAGTTCTGCCAAGCAGAAGTGGAAATGGAACAACTGTTGGATACAACCCTAAATCACCAGTATCAGAAAATATATGCAGGCAGACGAGATGAAATTAATCAAAATTAATCTCTTCTTGTTGAAGCCAATTGTAGAGCCACACCCATGCACTTAGGACTTCCATTAGGTCCATCAAAGCACCAGTGTGGTTTAGTGGTTAGAGTGATGGACTAGCACCTGGGAGACCAGGGTTCAAATCCTGACGCAGCCATGGAGCTCCCCGAGTGACCAGGGGCCAGTCACCGTCTCTGAGCTAACCTACTTCACAGGATTGTTGGTGGATAAAATGGGGAGGGGAAAAACCATGTGTGCTACCTTGAGCTCCCCTTGTAGGAAAGGTTGGGTACAAATCTGAATAAATAACTTTCCCCCTTTCTACACACATGTATGCATGTGTGCAAATGCAGGCAGTGCTACAGGACCATTATGGGAAGCAGAGGGCCTGGGTGTGCCTTCCACACTAAGAGGTAAAAAGGTAAAGCACCCCTGGACGGTTAAGTCCAGTCAAAGGCAACTATGGGGTTGTAGTGCTCATCTCACTTTCAGGCTGAGGAAGCGAGCATTTGTCCACAGACAGCTTTCCGGGTCATGTGGCCGGTATGACTAAAGCGCTTCTGGCGCAACACTGTGACAGAAACCAGAGCGCACAGAAACGCTGTTTATCTTCCCACAGCAGCGGCACCTATTCATCTATTTGCACTGGCATGCTTTTGAACTGCTAGGTTGGCAGGAACTGGGACAGAGCAATGGGAGCACACCCATCGCGGGGATTTGAACCACCAACCTTCTGATCGGCACGCCCAAGAGGCTCAGTGGTTTAGACACAGTGCTACCTGCTTGTTGCACTGTTGTGTGTGTGCTTGCAGAGGAAGGAAGAAGGCTCCGTTGAACTTATGTGAATCCTCCTGGTATAGGTGCTGTAGCAATGGTTAATCCAAACACGTTTGATAAGAGGGACTGCAGTATTATGATGGCTTTTGCTTGTATCTTAAGGTACCTCGAAACCTTGCCCCTGAGACTTCCAGTTACTTCCTTTACTAGTGGGAGCAGAGAAGACTGAGCTGGGGTTACAAGTATTGCAAAATCAGAATGAAGCGTCAGAAACAGGCTGCAACTTAATTAACCATATTTGATATGCTAGAAATGGCCAAGAGTTGACCAGTGTAGAACTTCCCCCTATTATGCCATATAAAAACAAATTATTTTCATGTGAAATATTGCAGCGAATACTTTAGCATTTCCACTTGGCAAGAGAAAGCCAAGTCTACCCCCTTGTGGCCCACACAGTTCTCATATAGAAGGTGTTTGAATAATTCAAATGTGTACCACAATTAGGCATTAGTCAAAACAATGGTAAAATCAGTTCTATGCCTCAAGAGCGCCCTAAATATAAAATAAAACCTACATTTACTGGTGGATATAAGCTATTACACAGGTAGGAAATAGGAAACATTACAATTCAAAGCTGAAATAACTATGGTGCTTTCATTTGCATTAGTGGCAGAAATGAATCTTTCCTACAGCACAGTGTTAGAAACTGAGGTATGAAAACTAGGAGCTAAATTGCACCTTAGACCTAAGTTATGGGTGCAACAACGGAATAGGTGCACTTTTTTATAACAAAAATACAAAGCTGAAAACGAATGAACTGTAACTAAAATCTGATGTTCATTTTTCACATGACCCAGTCCTCATCTGAAGCCTTCAAAAAACAAAGCCATGCTTCCCCTGCCTGCCTCCCTCATACTCTTAAGAGGCTTCCTTCTGCAGTCTTCAGAGAGTGGTTGGAAGTGGGGAGGCAGAAAAAGGTCCTCCTTTCCTTCCACTTTACAGACAAGCCCTGGATTCTCCCTACACCCCATTTCCTTCATGTAAACAAATCTTTTTGGCACCACAATTAACGCATATTAAAGGCCTATACAACTGATGGCACAGACACCCATCTTGAGTGTCCAGTTCGCAAACCTAAGACTTAAGTGTCCTTCAATGATCCCACTCCAAAATTTGTTTTGACTTTAAGCATCACTGTAACTAACTGGCTAGTGTATTTCAAATTGAAAGTACATCATACATTAAAAGTACATGAAACAAGGCAACTAAAACCTAAACAAAACATGTTGGGTTTTACTTAGGACGAAACCCTATAGAACTTGGTTGGAATTTACTTCTGAGTAACAATGGCAATTTTAATCTGAAATCTTCGGCACAGAGCTCAGAAACTGCTCACGTTTATGAAATTCCCTGTCGCAAAATGCGCCTAGAACAATGGGAATTTCAAACGCTGCTGCAACAGGCCGGAATACTTCTGAGATGACCAATAATAAATAAGAATCTCCAGGTGTTGCAATTAAAGCAAGAAGCTAATAGGTACATGGTACGTGTTACAACTGTCACAATTAAGGATTTATTGCTGGGCTTCTTAGAAACAAATTCTCACCTGCCCATTACAGGCAGAACACTACAGAGGTTGCAATACCATCTGTGGGAATTTACAATCCCACTGAGATTTTTTTTGCTGGAGCTGAAAGGGGAGGAAAAACCCTGAAATACTGTGGTTGAAATGTTCTTCATCCCCCACGCACACCAAGACTGTGTGCTAAGACAAAAATAGCATTTCTGTCCAGGAATGTATGTTGTTCGCCAGATGTGATATTTGCAAGACTTTTTTGTGACAGTAATCACCGGTACAGAGTAGCAGATTTTTTCTGCTGGCACTCAAAGCACTTTTATCAATTTAAGAGTACTGGCAACTCATATTTTACCCCCCCCCCAAAAAAATCTACTGAATATATGTAACAAAATTGTGGATGTGATAGGGCTGCAGCTCTGACTTTTGGAAGACCAAATGTTCGTGATCTTTAGCATGTCACACATTGCAAAAGAATTATTTAATTGTTATCACCAATTATATCAATTGCAGTACAATGTCAATATTCTTTTTTTTTAGCTGACTTTTCTCCATGACTAACTTAATAAGGTACCCCACCTATGAGACATCATGGCAGACATTATGGTACCTGACTTCATGGCTCACAGGGGTTTGTTGCTACTTGTCCTATTAGGGTGTTGCCCACAAGCCACTGGTCTTGCAGTTTTACTGTGGAAGCAGCAGGCTGTGTGCTATGCCCTCCTTAAGATAATTATTTGGGCAACAGCAGACCAAGTCAGATCAGATGCTTCCCATGTGCACAAATTCCTAGAAGAAAACTGTGGACGACCGCTGTGTTGACACGGCACAGTAAGCCATAGTTAATAGGGGGATGAGGCTTGTTTCATTTCAAACAAACATGATGTGAAGCAAACCACAATCCCCACTTCAGGCATAACACTGAGGCAGGCATGATAGTTTTATTGTTCCCACTAGTAGTAGGGGAGAACTGAAACAGGAACCATCCCGACATTCACAGTCAACTATTAACTATGACAGCACCATAGTTACTGTGTCATGCAAACTGGGCCAGAGTGCGCCTCCAATGGCAATGGCCCCCTTGCTATACATTTTCAACTGCCCACACTTAGTTACTGGTGACACATCAATGGCCAGACAGAAAAAGGCTTTTAGCACTCTCCATTTCAAAAAAGTGTCCCTGCCCAATTGCCTAGTGTTATTTCTTCCTAACTATGTCTACCTACACAAGAAGGTATTTATAAGCCTCACTTAAAATGTACCCATGCATTTTATGTCAACCAACTTGCTTTCCGATGTCAGTGTCCAGAACAAGACATAAATGGTAAGCGGCTGGGAAGTGGCTGGGGGAAACCCAACCAGATGGGCAGGGTATAAACAATAAAACTATTATTATTCTTATTATGAATAAGTCCCACTTCTGCTCTACTTTCCTTCCATCCTGGAAACATCTAGCAATACAAAATTTGCAAATGATGCTTCTATCCACTGTGAATTGCCCCATCACATATGCAGAGCTAATGATGTGAAGTACAGACAAGGAAACCTGCAGTGTTTTGCATTATCACATTTTACCAAGCAAGGAACCAGATTTATTAGCTACTGTCCATTAGCTTTTCTTCGGAAGGTTTAATTCAGTTTTTTGTTTTGTTCAGTGGAGGATGCTCTTACCTAAGACCATATCCCACACTTAGTGAAACTGAAATGTCATGTCTGGCATGCCTTACCCTACACACTGCCAAGAATAATGGTTCTTGGAATATGTTAGCTAGATGAGAGGAATCAGACATATACTGCAACTTTGATCAACTTGTACCAAGCCACTTGTGATTTATGTCAATGCCAACCATCTGCCACCATCCTCCAATTATAGAATCAGGGTGTCCTGCAGTGCAAAGCATCATTAATAGTCAAAGAACTATTAAATGAACTTTAAATAGGACTTTAGTTTCTGGCACTCTATCCAAACATTTGTGCCAGCAAATCTGCTTGCAATGACAGGGGAATATTCCTGTGATGCCCAGTATAGCATAATGTGTGATGTTGCCCTGATAAAGACAACATTTTGTTTGGCTGCAAACCTTATGTCTGTAAGGTTTTTGGAGATGCCAAATCTACCACACCCAAGTTATCTGGCAATAAAATGGTGTAACTCCACTTTCTAAGTACCAGTCAAAAATAATGTAACTTGTATTTTAAAAATGTCTACAAAAATTGGACTCGTGGGCTTTTCTTAATATGCTTATTATCATCCTGTGAGACTGTTTTCCTACTGGGAAAATAAGAAGAGAAAATTATTGAATTGGCATGGACTTCAAACGACAAGACCAGGAAATGGGTATTTAGTCTACAAAGCAGGAACTAAGTACTGTTGAAGAAAGGAGACGCAGCAATTCAAGAAATCTTAAAATAGCAGCAGGAGGAGATTAAGCACACTGTACAATTTTCTCAAAAATCAAAATAAGCTTAACCCCATGCAACAAACATTAATATTACCCAGTGGCTTAAAGTAGTATTTTACATCAACACCTCTGTCCTATGAACATTATTCAGCTGTTTACTAGGAATCGCTTTCCAAGTTGCAACAGATAGCAGCAATCCATGGTCCTATGCACTCACCTGAGCTTCCTCACATCTTTCCGATTCAGAAGCCCCTTCCCCTGCCAAACTGCATTCAAGCTTCCTTTCACCTAATAAAAGCCACTTTGTGGTTCAGGGGGAGAGCCGCTAACGAAAAGGATTTACAAGGCACCAGATGCACATGCAAAACCTGCCTGAATGTCTATTAGCAGCTTCTCCACAATGCAGTCAATATACATTGCAATAGGCTGGCAAGATAGTATGGGTGGGGGAAAAACATTTTTATGCTAAGGATCTCTCTCAACTCTCATAAAACATCTCTTGAAATAAAACCAGTCATGTTACTTGCATACACTCCTACAGTGTGGCCGTCATCAAGCTGTATTTTACAGCACCCTATCAGCTGGGTGGCTGACAAGGAGAATAGCACTACAATAAATCTGAAGTACAGGAATGTGCCTGAAATGAAGAACATTTTCAAAAGTTCAATTTCCCCCTACTTTTCCAAGAAATTAAAGGTCATCTGAAAATGTCAAAGGAAGAAAGTAACAAACAAACAATAGCCAGCTCTGTAATCTATCCCAAGATGCAATGATTAAAAAGTGAGCATGTTATGGCTGCTGCCTCTGTCTCTTCATCTAGCTACCAACAGAGTACTTAGACTGAGTGCAACCCAGCCTCTCCCGGCTTCCTTCCCTCTTGCTTTTTCCCAGATATCAGGCCCTGGCCAAGCTTGGAGTCAGGCTGCCACTTGCCCATCCTGGTACAAGCAGACTGAGATCCGAAGGGCCAGAGGTAGATAACATAGCCAAGGAAAGACAAAAGTCATGTTCCACATCACATAAACCAGGGATGTCCAACAAGGTTGATCGGGATCGACGGGTCGATTCCCGGGAGGTTCTGGTCGATTGCAGGCTCCTTTTCCTTTGCTTTTGCCTAAGAGCATCTGCCCCCGCTCCCTCGCCCCGCCCTCCGTTTCCACATAATCGCTTGAACGGGAGACGTAGTTTTGGCTATGAGGCAGATTGTTTCCATAGCGATCTTTTGGTGAGTGACTAAACCCCTTTTCCCTTTAGTGTAGTCTGACATTTCCCTCCCTAAAAATACCTCAGCAACTTTGGCCTGAACCGCCCCCCCAAAAAAGGGGTAGATCACTGTCAGTATTTTTTTCCTGTGAGTAGATTGCCATCTCTCGGGAGTTGGACGTCCCTGACATAAACCAATAGCAAGGGCTAGATGCAGGTCACAGACAGGCTGGTGGTAGCATAAACACACTGGACGGATGAGGCAAGGACAGGCAAGAAGAGAAGCCTGCATAGCTATTGAGCACAACATGTTGCTCAGACTCAAACAAGTGATACAGAGTCAAACATGCACCCATTGATTCCTTAAGCCATCTGGCTTGGCCACAATGATGAGCTGCATTATCCTTTTGAGACATTACCAGGTAGTGTCAAGAAACTACTTCAGTCTCCAGAAGCTACTTCAGTGGCACTGGGAATATAAAGCACTTGGGCCCCCCTGCCAAGAGCCCTCAGCAGTTTGAGTCCCACACTGCCTTACAAAAATTGTGGAGAGAGGCACATGAAAGCAGCCACTAAGTTTTGCACTATGGAGAAACGGCACAGAGTTGGTGGCAGCAAGCAGTCCTGGCCCCTCTTTGTACCTCCTGGATTAAAGTACTGGAGACAAGAAGAGATCCATAAATGTGTTGTGACCCACCACTGGAAATTTTGCAGTTTGGCTGAGGACTTGGATGAGGACAAGTTTTGTGCGGTTTCCTCGAGGGAAGAACCACCGGTACCTTACTTTGGGCCCTCCCAGCTAGAGAAGACAGCCTTGCCACCATCCTCTGCCTCAGAAAATGAGGCACTACCTCTGTCTGCCCAGACTTGTAGAAGCTAAAGACTACAAGATAAACCCCCTTGCTTTTTTTAAACCAACAAACTTAACTAAGTCTAGTGCTTTGGCAGCTTGCCAAAGGGGAAATGTTGCAAATTAAGACGGTAAACAAGAAAACAAGAGTTTAGTAGTGACAAAAGCTGTTGACTCAATTTATATATTTAAAAAGAGACGAATTTGCTTGTTGCAAAATACATCGCTATTGGTCTTGCATTTTAAAGCTATAAGAACTTTGCAATCTTAAACAAGTTCTATAGATGTCAATGTCTAAGTATAAATTACAGCCCCAGGTTCTTTTGGGAGTATATAAATCAAATCAATATATAAATGACATGACATGACATCTGGAAAAAAACAGCTGACTTCAGTTTTCTTTAAAGAAGTACGTGCATGCCCCAGTAGAAACAGAAATTGTTCCAATAGCCCTATGCCCTGGAGAGATTTACCTCAGCGAGTGAGCTGGGGCACCCACAATAGATTTACGGGAAGTTTTTTGTTCAATGAAAGAGTCTTCATCCAGAGGCTTGCTTGCAGCCGAACCAGGAGAACCTGTAACATACACAATACTAATTAGGGCTGCACTGTTCGATTAACTGGTCATAGGTTAATTAATTTAAAAAGCACTTAACTGACTAAAAGTAAAAGTTTTTATTTTATTTATTAAAGTTCTACACCACCCTTCATCTGAGGATCACAGGGCAACTTACAATATAAAAACACAAAGATAACAAACAAAAAAAGAACCACTAATTAATATGGAAGACATTTTTAATGATAATGATGATGATATAATAATAATAATACTACATCTAAAACCAGGAGTTGGAAAGCACCATTGTAAAGAGGCATTCTTATGGAAGGCGCATAGTTCAGTGGTAGAGCATGTGTACTGATGAAGAAAGTCCCTGGTATTTTCAGGTAGGCCTGGGAAAGACTCTTGTCTGAAATTCTGGAGAGCCGCTGCCAGTCAGCATGATGATACTGAACTAGATGAACCAATGGTCCTCTCTTAAAAAGGAGAGAATGTATTTTCTAAGATGTTGCCTGCTATGAGACAGGGCGCATTTTCACTTTGAAACTAGAATTATCCCCTTTTATATTTTCAAATTTCTCAACTGAGAGTTAAATAATGTCTTTTCTTCGTGAGTTACCTTTAGAAAACTCAAGGGACACAAAATTTATCTGAACAGTTCTTGAGTCATCTCCAACCAACTGAGCCCTTGTGTCCCAGCCCAATCACTGGGATCATCTTGACGATCACCGCGAGTTGCCCCCCGTATTACAAAGGCCCAACTGGCCTCAGCCAGAAGTCAGGCATTTAGTCCCTGGCTGTGGAACACTATTCCAGAAGTCATTCAGCAAGCATCCTCACTTGTGACTTTCAGACTTTTGAAGACTTTAATGACTACAGGCCTCTGCAGTTGTTTACAATTTTCTTGAACAGCCCATTTTTTAAATTATTGTTCTGTATTGGTTTTAAATGTTTTTATGTTGCTGATGTGTTGCAAGAGAATGGCATATAAATACTTTTACAAATAAATAAGAGCAATTGTAAATGGACCATTTACAGATACATACTTCATTGATGCAAAGGAGGCATTTGACAGAATTGAGTGGATGTACCGCGTGAAAATTATGGAAACACTTAAAACTGGAATTAATCTTTAAAAATGGGTGAATTATTTTACACAACTCCAAAGACAAGGTGGTTGTTAATGGAAATACAATCACATTAATTCTCCTTAGCCAAAGGACTCTGCAACAATGTCATTTGTCTCTACCTTTACTTGCTTTAGTTACAAAACTCTTGGTAATGAGTTGGGATGGATCAGAGTATAAACGGAGTTAAAATGGGAGAGCAAGAGTGCCCCCATGAAGTAAGGTGTGGTGGGTGATTGCAGGAGATAGCAGCCAAACTTTGGAATATCCTCGCCAGATAAATACACTGATGCTATTTTGTAGCCAGAAAGATCTTATTTTCCCAGATTTTTAAATCTGTTTTAGCTTTACTCTGTTTTTTACTTTCTCCACAGTTTTCATGCTTATTTTTATTGTTACTGAACTTTCAATAGTTATGAGCTGCTATCAGAACTGTGCCATAAAAGAGACTATAAAATAGTATCTTGGATCTGGTCAGAGTTTGTCTCCCACAAATGAAAAGCATCCTTCGCTCTGCAGAAAGCTGTTAATCCAGTGGAGAAATGCCTCTGACGGAGGAAAGGAGAAGACAATTTTGGCTGATTCCTGAAGGGGCTGCAGCCTGCTCCAGAGGGTTGGGGAAGCTCCCCGCCCCCAAATAACATGGAGATGGCCCTGGGGGAGTAGGCAAATCAGCGAAAGACATCTCTACTTCTCCAACAATAGGAGCAAGTCTGGATCCAACCCACTGTTGCTAAATACAGTGGTACCTCTTGTTACGAATGCTTCTTGTTACGAACGCTTCAGGTTACGAGCTCCGCTAACCCAGAGGTAGCTGCTCCTGGTTGCAAACTTTGCCCCAGGATGCGAACGGAAATTGCGTGCCAGAGGCGCACGCGCAGCAGGAGGCCCCATTAGCAAAAGCACGCCTCAGGATAAGAACGGTTTCAGCTTGAGAACGGACCTCCAGAATGAATTCAGTTCATAAGCAGAGGTACCACTGTAACATGTTATACAAGTTCAAGCAACAATGAAGGCTGAAACAGTGAGATGGCTCATTGTTTCTGTAGAATAGTCACATAATGTAGCACCACACTCATACTACTGTACCTGCTATAGTGCCAATTGCTGACTTCTCTGATATGGGGGACACTTCTGGTGGTTTAATTTTTGTGTAACTGGCTTTGGGTTGACATTGTTCCAGGAAGTTTCTTTGAAGCGAAATCATATGCTTTACTGTACATTGAGGGGAGGAAAGGTAAGAAGAAATTACATTCAGGACTCATGAGTTTGTTAATATGTGGTTACCTTGTCATGTTCTCATTCATTTATTAGGCCATAGTCAAAAATAAAACTATGGCTTACTATGAATGAGAAGTTTGCTGGTTTGTTCCTATCTTACTACTCAGAGATGCTGTGTGTGTGTGTTGGGGGAGGGGGCACAAGCCCTGGTTCACTCATAATGCTAAGCCAAGCCTTCTGGTTGTTTCTTCCAAACAGGAGAGCAAAAGCAACTGTACCATGTTTTATTTCTGAATATGGATTAATGTTATGTGTGAAGAAGGCCCAGTTTCCAGTTTTTCTGATTCACCATACAAAGCAATCATCCCTGAAACCTACCAGGCTATGTTCCCAACAAAACCCTAAATAAGAACAGAAGTTTTCTGGGGGGTTTTCTGCAAAGTAAAATATGTCTATACTAGCAAAGGCTCAAGAGTTCACCAACAGATATTTGCATGGGAGGCAAGTATATTGGGTATTCAGGAGTAGGATGGAGGAGTAATCCATTTTAAAACTGATTTTACACATGGAATCTGGCAGTTCTGAATTCTGCAATTCTGCAACTTGCAACAGACCATCAGTGCCTGTGGAGGAATCTCTTTTCTCATAAGGTTTTAGAAGAAAATTGGACAAAATCGGATGGGAATCTTTCAACTGATTTGGATGGGGCTTCAATATAGTCTTGCATCTAGGCAGTGACTAAACTGAGACCAGCTCAGGGTTAACCACAGCAGCCTGTGCCCTCCAAGGACATTCTTCAGTTATCATAAAAACAAAAACAACAAACAACAAACCCATGCAAAATGGGAGGAAAACCCGAATGCATTACTGCACTGAGTTGGAAAACCAAACTGCTAATTCCTTTATCTGCACATAGCGTTTATAAAGTATTTTGTTACTTAAATACTCTGCTTACCTTCAAGAGATCCTTGATCTGATGGTGGTGCAGCAGCCTTTGCTTTACTATACTTGGCTTTTGAACAAACCTTATCCTTGGTGTCCCATAATCTCAGCTTTATACTATGATCTCTTAGCTTCATTAGGAAGTCGGTGGTAACATTAATTTCAACACTATGATTCCATGACACCCATATCTGGTCCTGTTCAAGCCATGGTCTCACAACCTATTTTTTTTATTTATTTTAAAAAAAAAACACGTTTAAAAATAAATAAATTAGGGGCCACAATTATTCTTTCTGCATTTCAAAAGAAACTTAAGATGTACCGTATTTTTCGCTCTATAAGACGCACCAGACCATAAGATGCACCTAGTTTTTGGAGGAGGAAAACAGGGGAAAAAATATTCTGAATCTCAGAAGCCAGAACAACAAGAAGGATCGCTGCGCAGCGAAAGCAGCAATCCCTCTTGCTGTTCTGGCTTCTGGGATAGCTGCGCAGCCTGCATTCGCTCCATAAGACGCACACACATTTCCCCTTACTTTTTAGGAGGGAAAAAGTGAGTCTTATAGAGCAAAAAATACAGTATAAACTGGGCAACTTACAGGGGTTGCCGAGAACTGCTGTCCCTTCTTTAGTACCCACCAAAGCCCTCCTGGACATCCTGGTTTTTGGTGCTTTTTAATTTTATTTTACCCTCCAATTGCTCCACTCTATCCCCCATTTTCCCACATTATGTCTCTGGGCTCCATGTGACACAGAAGCACACAAAGGAAGGGAGAGTGATCAGAGTTGCCAAAGGCCTGGCCTTTGCTTTCCTGCATGAGGGCAGCCCAATTTACCTTTTTTTTAAAAAAGGGGGGCTGGGACAAAAAGGGACTTCAGCATCATAAGCAGGGAGTTGTTGTGGGTCAGTGGAGTGTGGCGGAAGAAAACCTGTAGCAGGGGGGAGTAACGGAAGCCAAGAAGCATTTTTACCTATTGTCAGCATCAGTATCCTAGAGCTTTGCCTCCATTGCAGGCCTGAATTTGACTAGGCCCACCTTGCATTGCAAAAAGAGGTCTTACTGAACCAAACGGGTCCTTTTCTATATTGTAAATTGCAGGTTTGGGAAGGGAGCCAGTTTGGATTGAGACCATAGTGGGAGGCCAGAAAGTTAAAGGCCTTTTACTCCCCATGTCCTAACCCGAATCAGTCCTCAATTTTTGAAAATTTCCTTTTCAAAAAAAAAAGAAAAGAAAAGGGCCCTATTTGATTCAATGGGATATCACCATCAGGAGCATGTGAGTGAGTGGAAGATCCCTAATTTTCCAGGTGCGGGGGAGGAGGAGGACAGTGCAGAGTAATGGAGGATTTTATCTTGTATATGGTTGCAACGTGGTGTGGCTTGTAGTTCTGCAGGAATGTGATTGCTGGAGTGTGGGGTGGGTATGATCTTTATGTGAGGAGCATTCCATTGTCCTTTTCAGGGTCAAACAGTAGTTTGGGCCTCGGACTCAACCTCTACCTTGTTTTATGGGAAAGCCATTTCACCTTTGTGACTGGGCAATAGCCTTTTGCGACTTGTAGGGCTCTAACAGCAATCATTTTGTGGTGGTGCCCACAATAGTTTTTCCAAACATGCTTACAAGCCACAAAATCCTGACAACTTTACTGGAGCTTGAAAATATATTGTATGAAACACCAAAACATTAAAGAGAAGAAATAATGAATTTTTAAAAGCATTAGTTATTCCTCCCCTTGCCACCAACTGGAAAGACATAAAACTGTAATATTCTTAACTATTAAAATCCACATTAAGATTGAGCAGGGCTAAAAAAATTGAATTCTCTCAAAATATTGAGTCATATCTTACTATGAAGGTTGTGTTCTGGTGACTTGCCTTCACCCAAAACTATGATTCATAGCCATCTGAAGCTGCCTTATACCTATGAGAAATCCCACTTTTCCTGCTGTGCTCAGATCCTGTGAATTTTATGTTTGCAAAACTAAAGCTGAAGTTCATGGGATCATAATGAGGAAAAGGTACTGGTTTGGATATGCAGGAGAGAGAAAATATATTCTAAGGGGTAGGAGCAACATACGGTAGAGTCCAAAGTCCAATAGCATTTGCCATCTTATTCCACAATTTTACCATTTTCTTGCTATATTTGGAGATCAGCTGTAGCAAATGAACAAAGAGACAACATCTTGTTGGAGGGAAGTAGGGAAGAGAAGCATTTTTCAACAGTTCCCTCTGCAGCCTTCTATCCTAATTCCCATGCTATTCCAGACGATACTCCAACCCTCTGGAGCAGCCTCTCAGGAGCGCAAGAGGAAGGGGAAATCGGCAAGTCAACTTTGCTCCCCACTTTCCTCCAGGGAATAGTCCTATATAGTACACAGTGATATCATTATGATTTCATTATTGCCTGACGAGAGCCGTTGGCAATAGGTATTGTGTGATGTCATAACAAAACGCTATCATTAAGAAAGCAATGTTCGTTAAGAGAAACTACGGCGCTCTCTAGTCTCACTGCCAATAGCCAAATATAATCAGCAATTTCTTGGAATGGAATATGGCGCTGGCCACATCTTTCTAGTTCAGCATCAATGGAACAGTCGTGATTAAATGGCGCCACCACATAAGAGAGTGTTCTGCCACCATCCTTGAGTACAGGCCAACAGGATAGCAAGCTCCTGCATTCTCCACCTCATATTTAGCAGGCATAAACTTATTTCTAGAGCTGTCTTACAATCTTATATGCACTCACTGAAATATGCAGCGCGGATGCCTTTTTCGACTTGGGCCGCTCACTGTCTTTTGGAGTCCCTGGCTGATATAGTGAATAGGAAGAAAGAAGCAAGAGCAAAGGAAAGGAAGAGACAGGGGAAATGTAAAAATGTAAAGAGGTACAGCAGCATGTTTCAGTTGCGTATCTCATACAAACTACACTACAAGAGCTTTCCCTTCCCAACAACACCCCTCCAAAGCATTCACCACTCTAATCTTTCCCAAAACCTATATGGCCTGTACGGATTCTCCCAAAGCCTCGCAGAGTGGCTGGAGCTGCTCAGAGTGGCTGGGGAAACCCAGTAGGATGGGTGGGGTATTATTAATAATAATAATAATCTTCTTCTTCTTCTTCTTCTTCTTCTTATTATTATTATTATTATTATTATTATCCCAATTTCTTGTGCCAACTGTTTCCCACCATCCAGACTGCTACCCCCCACTTCACAATCCCTGTTCCCCCTCTTCTCTGTTCTCTTCCTCCCCTACTCAGGCTCTCTCCAAGCTCTCTTTATTACAATATAATTTGGGGAAGGGAGGGGAGGAGAGGAGAGGAAGGACAGCACAGCACAATCATTACTGTATCCCCGGCACAGGAACTATTGTGACACATGCATGCAGAATTAAAAGAAGCAGCTGCTACTAATTTTGATTGTTTTCTTAAACTGCACAGGAGCCACCACCTGAATGGATTAGGGAAGTGGTGTTTCTCTCACAATCAGGTTTGCAAACCACCGAAAAGGCAGAGTCAATAGCAGTGATTTACAAACCCAATTATGAGAGAAATAACACTTCCCTCTTAAAAAGGAAAGCTTTACTTTTGTTCTGATTTTAAACATCAAGAATGCCAGGAGTTAAAATTGGATAGGAGGTGTGAGAATCCCACAGGAAAATGGGTTTCAGAGATCTGTGATAGTATCTCTTGAGGCTTTTTATCAAAGCTTTAAAACAGCTTTGAGGGGAGAAAACTGTAGTATGAGAATGCACTGAAGAGGAGGGTGCCCCCTGAAGCTGCTTTTAGCAATGGGGGACGGGCAGGTACCACACAAAGTGCACATCTCTCTTCCACAGCAGCACTCATAGCAGCCAAAGGAGGGATATCAACTGCGGAAACACCATGGCGGGAAAACGTCAAGCTTTCAATACTGCAGTCCGTCAGGCCTCTACACTGACCTGCAGCCACTTTTAGTTTGTTCTCATTGGTCAAGGAAACCTATCCAACCAGACTGCCTTGGACAATCCAGGAAATGGATAGGAACACTGTGTCAGGTGTTGCCTGACTCCTGTCAGCCTCAGTTGGCAGGGATAATGGGAGTGATAGTCTAGCAACATTTGTATCAGTGTGGGAAAGCATTATTTGAAATTAATGGCTATTATTTCTAAAGCTGCTTGAATTGCTATGTTGGTATCTAACTTCTTCAGGATCCATAGATTACTTGCACATGTTCCAGCTGAAAAGCAGGACTTAAAACTAGAGAACAGGCCAGGAAGTGGCCTGTGAAGGCTGTGTCAGGTTTCTGCCTGTTCAGGGGCTGAGTGATTCTTACATAAGACGCCCTAAGCTTCCTGAAGGAGGAGTAGGAAAGATGTGTAACAAACAAACACAGCTGAACTTTTCAAGAAACAAATCATAATCTCCTCTCGCTGCATATCAACAGTAACATAAGACGCTGTCTGATGCCAGGAGCAAATATTTGTCTATGTAGCCTATCTAGCCCAGGGAGTGGAACCTGTGGTCTCTAGATGTTGCTGGAATTCAGCCCTTACCACTGGCTGCTATGCTAGCTAGGGCTGCTGGGAATTTGAGTCAACAACATGTGGAGGGTCACAGGTGGCTTTCCAGGGTCTCAAGTAAAGATACCAGGGAAACTACCTGGAACTTTCTGCATGCAGATCATGTGCTTTACCACTAAGCCAAGTTTCTGAAACTAACTGAAATCTAGTCAGCAATAAGTGACCTGGATCTACTGAACCCCCTGAAGTTAGTGGGAAACAGATTCAGAAGAGACACGTGGGAACAGATGCTAGGTTCACCTGATAAGATATAATCCAGGTTATATGTATTGAAGCTGGAGACAAAGAAAATAACTTTTGGAATATCTACTGACAATCAGGGCAGTATTTTGTACATAAATGTTTGTTATAAGTTGTTTTATAGAAACCTCAGAAGAACACAGAGTAAGTATTTCAAAAATCCTTTGAAACCAGTCTGGAATCCAAGGAGACCAACCATATAGGATTAAATTGCTGTGCAGTAACCCCTTTCCTCAGATTTCAGTAATATTAGTAAATGTTGCTTGTTCTTCTTACCTTAGATTCTGATTCCAGAAACAGTTTAGCCACTGGACCAAATAGCACCAAATCTAATTTTCGGGGTTCAACATCATCGGGCAGAAGAAAATATTCAATATGATAAAAACGATGCATTTTTGGAATATATGTGTCTCTCATTTTAGATGCTGTTCTTGAAATATCTTGTCTAGAGGCCGTCACAGGCTTATTTGCTAGAAAAATATCCCAACAGAAATTGGAAGTGGAAAGAGAATCCAACTGTTACAAAATATCATTTTCCACATTTTATGTAAACAAATCTTTCCAAGAATCTTATTTTTCTCACACACATTTGAACACACACATCTTCTGCAGAGCTGTTGGGGTCCCTGCTAGGATCTGGCCTTCATTTCTAGTGGAAGTTGTACATTCAGTTTAGCTCCCTGGCAAAAACCAGTAACTCTCTTCCCAAAATCCTTTCTCAAAGGTAGTTTCCAAGCTGAGCAGGAGCATTAGTTACTAAATTCTGTAGGCATGATACACGATAATCTTTCCCAATTCTTCAAACTTCAAGAGTTAGCAAAAACCATTCCAATATAAAGTATTTATCTACACCAGCCACAAGCCTAACCTAATTTTTTCTTTCCAGAGGGAAAACATGTTAAGCATGTTGCTGGAAAACAACAGTATTGTGGTACTATGACTGTGAGAATGTGCAAGGAAGCCCACACTATTGGAAGATGCTAAAGGAACAAGAGAGTAGCAGCTACAAAGGGCCAAATCAGGCCCAGGAAGGTGTTAACAGAGCATGATGCTCCATAATGGAGGGATCCACACCTTAAACTATTAAGACAAGAGAACACATGAACTAAAAATTATGCCAGTTTCAGGCTCACAAATATACAAGACCTGGGACAATTAGCCCAGTCACACAATATGCCAACGTGTGGGCACTGACAAGAACTCAAAAATAGTAGGTACTCTGCATCACTACCAACTGTGAGACAACCAGCGATGTAACCACTGGGCAATGCAGACTAAGGCTTTTGCATTACTATTGGGGGGGATGAAACAGGTTTTTTTTGGTGGGGGGCAATGTTCTCCTTAATATTTTGGGACAACATCTTCTGAAAAGAATGAAAAGGACTGATAAATGCAATTTACCTACTTGGAGCTACAACTGGAACAGCCAGCGAGACTGAGAATGTGCAGTTAATCCGGTGCTCAGAATCAAGCGCTTCACTTCTCATGGATTGAGAGCATGTTGTGCTTTCATCTTCAGGGGTAGGGTGACCACCCTCACCTGCCTCTGGGCTTTCAGTTCCAAAGGTGCTGTCCGAACGCACGGTGTTATTTGACCCTTTTGACTCAACTGGCTCACACTCATCCTCATCTTGCTCCTCAACATCTGGCAGTCTACTTGCCATCCTGTGATAGAATTAAAATTATTAGTTCTTTGGACTTCCAATTCCTTCTGTTCTGTTTTAGTTCCCAGAATTGAGTGTTCCAGTTTGCAAACATTTTTTGGAAGCAGAACGTCAGCTACAGCTTCTAACTGAGTGCAGGAAGCTTCTGCAGCCAATCAGAAGCTGCGCCTTGGTTTCTGAATATTTTTGGAAGTCGAATGGACTTCTGGAATGAATTACGTTCGAGAACCAAGGTACGATTGTAATTTATACAGTGCTTTTATTAAGCACTTCAAATACTTCAGATACATTATGAAAGGGCAAATTCACATATGCATAATCATCACTTGATAGCCACAACATCAAGTGATGAGTTGCACACCTGAAATTGCCAAATCTAACAAGACTACCTCAGGCACATTGTTATTTCTGTGCTCACACATTCAGCTGGGGCTCAAGAGATTATAACCAACTGAGTGATGAGATGAGAAACCAATTAGCATGTGATTCAGCCACCGGTTAGTTATCCTTAAACTTGTAAAGTAGAATTATAAATAGCCACTCATCTGGTCACCTGTGGCAAGCAATAATTGCCTCCTGGCAGCCAAAAAGCAAAGCATTTGTAATTTGGTAGATAATTATTTTCTTCTCCAAGGCTATAAACATACCAGAAATGGCCAATATTTATAGGTGGGCATTCTGGCCATCTAGCAAACATTTATGTGGGCTAGAATGGAAATGTTGCAGTAAGATACACCAGAGTTAGTCCCACAGATCCAAGGGCAACCCTTCTGAAGCTATGCTGGTCTAGGCCTGATCTTGAGAGATCACCTGAGAATCCTATGAACACCACCACCTTGAGTTCCAGGAAGGAAGGAGCAGAAACGTAACCAACAGTAAACAAAATATTGCTCACGGAACACTAAAGCTAAGAGAGGGAGTTTGCTTAAGGCTGCTTTCAGAATGAGCTGAGATTTGACACTAGGACTTCATGCCTCATAGCTTACAATTAATCACTATGCTACTCCACCCTCTCTAATGTTGACTGAGCAATGTGCCAATCTGATGAAGACTTATCACTTCTCCCACAAGAACTGTGGAAGTTGAATTGAAGGGGAAAGGGGTGGGTGGGAAAACGAACACCCAGGCAGCCACAGGCAAGAGAAGTAACATGGAATAACCAATGGCTGAGCACCCCAAACCAATGATGGAAATGTGCATATAAAAGCAAGCTTTCTTTCACATTCCCCACTACACCCAAAAGGGTGTCATGTACATGATTCCCATGGCTGTATCGTACTTAGCTTTCCCACCATGTGCATTCAACACACAATAAACACATTGTCTAATTTAAAACCGAAACCATCACGCTCCCAATATGCAAACTAGGCAAATAACACTGCCTAGTTAGATGGGAGAATTAGTACCACATTAAATGTATGGGGCGGGGAGAGCACAGACATCTGCTCAGCTTTGCCATTTTGAAGACTGATTTAGGTGCTACCCCCATCTGTAGCTTTGTCTCCTGTTGACGCTACAAGTGGTGAATGCAATATCAAAAAGCTCTTTATCAGACGTACAGCCACTAGCCTGTAAAGCAGCATCTGCCTTGCAACCTTGCATACCACCTGTTGGCAAGGGCGATGGCAGGCAAATGCTACATGTGTTCAAAGCTGAAAAAGCACATCCCCAACTGAGAAGAATCTGTACATCTGCAACAACAACAAAAAGCTTGACTGGAATTGAGGTTTCCAAAGTAGAAAAATATTTCCGGTCAAGCCATTTCTTGGTTGTTAGTACAGTGGTACCTCGGGTTACAGACGCTTCAGGTTACAGACTCCGCTAAGCCAGAAATAGTACCTTGGGTTAAGAACGTTGCTTCAGGATGAGAACAGAAATTGTGCAGTGGCGCGGCAGCAGCGGGAGGCCCCATTAGCTAAAGTGGTGCTTCAGGTTAAGAACAGTTTCAGGTTAAGAACGGAGCTCCGGAACGAATTAAGTTCTTAACCTGAGGTACCACTGTATGTATGTGTGAAGCACCACCATGTCCACATATAAACCAAGAGTAGCCAACATGGTGCCCTTCAGACCAAGGTAGGCAGACCCTGAAGTTTTGGATTACAACACCTATCCCCCCCCCCAATCACTGACTATGCTGGTGGGAGCTGGTGGGAGTTGCAGTACAACACCTTTGCAGGGCACTACATTGGCTACCTCCCCCAATATAGGTTGGTTGTCATCTACGGTAATCATGCGTAAGTGTGAATATCAGCTGGTGCCTGTTGCACTACAATATGGAGATTCATACCTTAACAAAAAGGTGCACTTTCAGGGAACCTGAATACATGTGTTGGCCATCCAGCCACTACCTCACAGATAAACTAGAGAACCCAGAGTACTGGGCTTGTCTCAACAAATCATATGATTTCAGCTTGGCACTCATTAGTGTGGCCATCAAAGATGAGGGATAAAGCACAACACATCATCAATACACTCAAATTCAGAAACACACCCTTTCTCTCCTTCAAGAAATGACACTATGTGCACAATCAAGTTTCTCTTGTTTCCAGGCCCTCTGCAGGGGAACTTATCCTCAAACTCCACAAAGAGGTGTTTTTAAAACCCTAAATACTAAAAATAAAAAAGCACTCTGCACATGGTCAGCGCCTTCCCCCTTTTGTCCCCTAGGATTAGGTCCACTAAAAAACAGAGGCAGCCAAGATGTAACAGTATATATACAGAGAGAGAATGCAGAGCATCTAACCTTCATTCAGACACACACCTGTGCTAATGGTGCGATCCCTACTTACCTGAGAGTAAGACCCACTAAATTCAATAAGGCTTAATTCTGAGCAGGGATTTAAGTTGGGTGGGAAGGAGCAACGGAGTCCAGAGGCCTGTTCAGAAACCCAGGTAGAGAAAGGCAAAAAGTGCTTCAATAACCACAGAAATGTGAGGTGAAGTTTTCTATTAGGCAGTTTACAGGGCAAACCTATTCGGGTCTACTCGAAAGTAAGTCCCAGCGAGCTAAACTGGGCAGAGGTCTAGCAGCTTTCGTCCCCTTGCAAAGCCAACCAAGCTACAAGAATTATTTCACTTCACAGCAAATGGGGAGGAAAATATAGAGGCGCGGGAGGTTGCTCAGCGCCTCTGAACACAAGAGTCCCCGCGTTTACCTCGCCCGACTAGTGTCCCGCGCCATCCCGCCAACCTCGGTAGGAAACTCGCTCTGGCCTGCAGGCGCGCGGCAACACCAACAAAACTAAACGCGCCTTAGGCGTGGGCGTTCTCCATTCCATCTCCATCCGCCACTCTGAAAAGAAGTCCCACTCCCGCCCCTTCCAGCGCCGCAATAGAGCTGCCCCGCGTGCTCGTCGTCCGCTTTGATTGACGATCCTCGGCGTAGGGATCCCGAGAGAAGCACGAGTTGCTAAGAGATTCGTTTGCTCGACCGCAAGAGGCTTTGCCCGAGAGCCCGCTGTTTGCAGAGGCAGCAGTTGTGGGTAAACGCCGAGGGGAGCCGAGTAAGTCGTGCAGACGCCAGCGAGGAAGGAGCACTGGGAGCCCAAGGAGGGTCCCGAGGAAAGGGGCGCAAAACGGCGGGAGGCAGGCCGCAGGCAACACGAAAAGCACGACCTCAAGCAGCGGCCTGGGATGTTGCATACGCGTTGCTAAAAGGCTGCCCTGCGGAGTTCCACGTGCAACGGACGCATTCCAAACGACGCTCATGAATGTGCAAGACTGCTGAGAGAACACTAGGAAGCCCCACAGAACTGGGACATACACATGCTTATGATGTGAAAGCATGTTACTTGGTGGAGCTGCCAATGACACCATAGCAACACAATGTCTCTCATATATATATGAGATGCCATTCCCCACAAATTTCAGTGCCAGGGCCATGCACACTGCATTGCACCCACAGCCATCCATGGTCACAGGGTCAAGCTGGCAGTCCTGCATAGTGTCATCAGTTTGTGGGTGCCAAACCTTTTAACCCCTGGGTGCAGCAAATCTTAAACTATAAACCATTTTAGATTATAAGCCAGTGTGTGACAGACTGGGGGGGTGGGGAGAGGAGGGCATCTCCCATCATGAGTACTGCTTTATAGGGAATATAGAAGGCTTGGAAAGGGCCACAATCCAAGAAAGGTAAAATGGCTGCAAAGATAATGGTGTTAAGCCTCCTGGGTGACTTGCTTTAATAGGCTCATTGCTGGGTAATAGGCATGGGAGATGGTTTCTTGATCGCCAGACATCCTTCTTGGCTGTTTGATATTATATATGCATCAGAATTTGGAATCGGTGGCCCCCCTGCAGCTTGAGGGAGGGACAGGGAGAGATGAACATTTCTGCCTGGCCTTAGTTTGAAATGGTATGCCTTTGGTGGAGGTTACACAAGTTTTCTGGGGATCTGCTGCCTGCTGACAGCATGCTCTGCTTGCATACTTGTAAGTAAATACAGTGGTACCTCTGGTTACGTACTTAATTCATTCCGGAGGTCCGCTCTTAGCCTGAAACTGTTCTTAACCTGAAGCACCACTTTAGCTAATGGGGACTCCTGCTGTCTCCGCACTGCCGGAGCACGATTTCTGTTCTCATCCTGAAGCAAAGTTTTTAACCCAAGGTACTATTTCTGGGTTAGCGGATCTGTAACCTGAAGCGGATGTAACCTGAAGCGGATGTAACCCGAGGTACCACTGTATTGCAAAGATGCCAGTCTCCAACGTACTCTAAAAGGAAACCAAACACTGAAGTATTATTCCACTTATCACTCATAAGAGAAAAGTGCATATCAATATCTTTATCTATCACAAGCTATCTTATTATATATGTAACATTTCAAACATTAACCTGACTTTTTCTTTTGCTTCTATTTTTTTGGCTAAAATCAGCCTTGCTGTAGTAATTAAACTCTTTTAACTCACTGTGTTGAACTTTTTGAACACTTACATACAGGCCTGGCTAGAACATTGTCTCGACTACGAGCCAGAGAGTACAGTCAACACCCATCATACACACCCCTTTTGATTCTCTCACGTTATTCCCATCTGGATACAAAATCTGCCAAATCCTGCGTAAGGGGTTATGAGATTGGAGAAGAATCCCAGCTGTTAATGGTATGATGAACACCAGTTCTTTTTGGTATCTAGTGCATGGAAAATGAGTCATACAATGGGAAGGCTTTGCTCTTGCATTAAAATCTTGAAAAAGGGGTACTGAGTTATGCATATTACTTAAGAAACATAACAGAGAGTGGGATTCACCTAGCATAATCCATCAGTGAAAGCCCTGCAGAAGGACTTCTGCTTGCAAAAAGGACTTTCCTCCTTCACTCCTTACCCCTGCCCACAGGCCTCAAAAACATCAGCCTTCCAACAGCATCTTTGGCTGAATTAAGGGAAAATGAGAAGGAGCCATGGGCGTGGTCAGGATTTTTGTTAAGGGGGACAGAACGTCAGCTGTGTATTTTGATTGATTTAGGGGGGCAGATGCCCCCTCCCTGCCACCCCATGGCTACGCCCATGGAAGGAGCTATAAAAGTAGTGGGTGACCCTTCTTATGTGGCTTTTCCATAATACAAGCATTGCCAATCACAAACAGCTTAGCAATTCCATAAACTGTTGTTCAAAGGACTTGAAAGAAACAAACATGGCCATGCAAACCTATAATAAAGACAACATGGTGGCCGGTTCTCAGAGACTGAATGACATTACTACTGGATTACGACATACAGTACAGCCCTGGTTTATGTCTTCTTGTGTAAACAAGATACTGTGGTCCTTGATGCTGACAGACCACCATGTAAATCCACTGAGATCTATGGTTTGACTGTAGATAGGAGACAAAACGATGCTACATTGCACAATGTCCCAGCAAATTGGCAAGGGGGTAAATAAGCAGATCAAGAGGCTCAAAGTCTCTTTATTTGCTCTTTGTGGATAGGAATCCCAGATGCTCTTGATTACTGTGAACTCAAGAGTGGTGGATGAAAGACAATGCAGAGAATCTGAAGCAAAATGAACAAAGTGACCCTGGACAAAGGAACAAACAATGTAGGAAATACTATTTAGCCAGCGACTAAAGCAAGCTCCAGTAGAGTTGCCTACATTGCAGTCTCCTTTTGTATCCCCCCCCCCATCAGCGTATCAGTTTCTAGGGAAAAAGACATAAGAAGAGTTTGGATTTGATATCCTGCTTTATCACTACCCGAAGGAGTCTCAAAGCGGCTAACATTCTCCTTTCCCTTCCTCCCCCACAACAAACACTCTGTGAGGTGAGTGGGGCTGAGAGACTTCAGAGAAGTGTGACTAGCCCAAGGTCACCCAGCAGCTGCATGTGGAGGAGTGGAGACATGAACCCAGTCCCCCAGATTACGAGACTACCGCTCTTAACCACTACACCACACTGGCTCTACACCTGGAAACAACAGGTTGGTGGAGAGACCTTTTTATGGAACCCATCTGTTACTAAGAAGGTACAGAAACCCTGAAAGCCTAGCTTGCTGGTGTGGTATAGTGGTTAGAATATTGGAGATGGACAGGGGAGACCCAGGTTCAAATCCCCCCCTCAGCCAAAAAGGTCACTGGATGTTCTTGATCTGTTCACTCTCAGCCTACCCTACCTCATAAGTTTGCTGTGAGGATACAGTGGTGGGACAACTGTGTACATAGCCCTCAGCTCTTTGGAAGAAGAGTTTAAGGAGTCAGATTCCCTTCCTGATATCAAGCAGCCTGTCTGTTGGGAAGCGTTTGTATATTATAGCTATAGATTAGTTAAAGCCATAAATAATGGACTTTAACTTTCAGTGTGTCTGTCTTTCAACCGTATTGGTGATTTAAAGAGCTTAGTAGTATTTGTGTGGCTAAGTCACTGATGGTAAAATCTGAATCCTATTGATGGAGAAAAGGAATCCATTGTCTCCTGTAGCTACTGGTCTTGAAGCCACATCTTAGTTCTGCTGCACATCAGGCAGAATCCGTCTTTTAAAAACAAGCCTGGTAACAGCCAGATTTATTTAATGCAAGTTCTTTAATGTCAAGATTTTCAGCTACAGCTTCCTAGATGCAGCTTCTTAATCCCTTAGAATACAGTTCTTTTCATTTGTTTCCACATAAGCAGATTGTTTATCTGCAGTTGCTTTTACAACATTCTAGTATCATCACATTGTTTGGCACCAGCTGTCATATTGTAATAATTATTGCAAAACATTTCCACAGCAGAGAAGTGGCACTCTAGCAGAAACCTTCACAGCAGCTAAATGGTGTTGATGAACTGGTGGTATTTTACCTTTGTGTTGCTCAGTCCTCTCAACAGGTCTGTAGGGAGTCACATGGCTTGGCCACCTTTCTACACAATAATACTGCAGTCTTGTCCCCACTTACCTGGGAGTAAACCCTATTAAACTTACTTATCAGTAAACAAGTAAAGGACTGCAGCACAGCCCATAACTATGTGACTCTGTGTGGTTAATGTGTCTTTAAATTGTTCAGGAAAGGGGATTTGATGCAGCTAATATGTGCTGGGACAATTGTTATTATTTATTAGTCCTCTACTCACAAATGTGACTCAAAGCAGCATACTACACAGTATAAACACTAAAACTATTTACAACAAACAAACCAATAACCCCCCCCCAAAAAACCTACCTCCATACAAATAAAAGACAGGTTTTACAGAACCTGCCCCATCAAAAGAGATACCTTGGTTCTCAGAATTAATCCATTCCGGAAGTCCGTTCCAAAACCAAAGCGTTCCAAAACCAAGGCACACTTTCCCATAGAAAGTAATGCAAAATATATTAATCCATTCCAGACTTTTAAAAACAACCCCTAAAACAGCAATTTAAGAAGAATTTTACTATCTAACAAGACCACTGATCCATAAAGGGAAAGCAATAATCAATCTACTGTGCTATAAAATAAATAAGACAGTATTGTAGATGAGAATTTTTTAATTTTTTTTTTCTTACCTGCACTGATGATAGTCAATGTTTGGATGCTTTTATCCATTTCTGCAGTCACACAGTCAATCAATCAGTAGCTGAACTGGGTTCCACACAGTCAGAAAAACAATTTAACTGAAAAAGCCTCAAAAACAAAAACGCAAAATAAACAGCAAAAGCAAAAGTGCCAAACAATCCATTCTGGAAGTCCGTTTGACTTCCCAAATGTTCAAAAACCAAGGAGCAGCTTCTGATTGGTGCAGGCGTCCCGGAAACAATAGCCAACAACTGCATCGGACGTTCGGCTTCCGAAAAATGCTCTGAAACCGGAACACTTACTTCTGGGTTTTCTGCGTTTGGGAACCAAGGTGTTTGAGAACCAAGGTACCACTGTAATGGATCTAGAAGTACTCTCAAGGCTATGTAGCTTTAAGTAGCCACAGTGGTACCTCGGGTTACATCTGCTTCAGGTTACAGATGCTTCAGGTTACAGACTCTGCTAACCCAGAAATATTACCTCGGGTTACGAACTTTGCTTCAGAATGAGAACAGAAATCGTGCTCTGGCGGCGCGGCGGCAGCAGGATGCCCCATTAGCTAAAGTGGTGCTTCAGGTTAAGAACAGTTTCAGGTTAAGAACGGACCTCCGGAATGAATTAAGTACTTAACCCAAGGTACCACTGTATATGTAAATACGGTACATGTCAATAAGTAGATATAAGCATTGATACTGGACTTGGATTCTTAAATCTCACCTCAACTAGCTATCACTGGGTAGATTTCAGCAGGCTGGCATCTCTACACATAGGTCAGTGTTATATGAGGTGGCTTGCTTCCCATGCTTTTTGGCACATCCTCCTCCTTGCAGATAGTTGTGCTAGCATGATTCTTTAAATCATCTGAACCATGTGGAGTCAAAGAGACCAGCTTCACATGTGAAGGAACAGCATGCACACAGCATCAATTGCAAGTGACCACCATGGCACCGGCCTTCATTTGGCTAAATGAACAAACACATC